GTTTCCTTTGAAAATATTGATATTATATATATACTGACTAGCATACTTGTTGCTTTGTGACAATATTGATATTATATATATACTGACTAGCATACTTGTTGCTTTGTGACAATATTGATATATTTGAACTTACTGTTTTGTTATACAAGCACATCATTTGATATATATCATATAAACTTTATCTTTATTTTGCCGTCAATGGCCAATGAAATCTGTTTCGACAAATAATAGAGATTGATTATTATCTAGCATGTTCTATATTTATGAACCAGTTCATTCTAAATCCATGTTTCTTGTGTTTATATACAAATGCCTTAGATTAAATCAATTCCTAAAATATAAAAATATCCTTACTTTTATTTTAATAATATTTCTAAATTCATTTCAGGAAATTAAACCTGACTCAGCCATTTTGTATTTTCCTTCTGCAATTTGCTCACAAAGATGGAAAAGCACATAACAAAATCAAATTGTAATAAACTGGGTCAGTTCAGGACAGATCATGATGAAGAGAAAGTCATGCAACAGTGTGATGAATACGACTCCGTATTTTTCAAGACAGACTCCTATAATTCCTATAATGCCCTTTAATGTTCATGTCTTTCATAAAGTCACACCGGCATCATTACACAGAGTGATCTCCTTTCTTCTGAGAGAATGCACTCCTAAATGAAAGTGGGTGATTCTTTCAGTGCATATTTCTCTGTCCGACTATCCTTTCCACCGTATTTGGTTAGTTGAAAATCAAGGCCTAAAAGGTCAGTTGTTTCCTTGATCACTCCACTGAACACTTAGGAAGAATATAAACAGCCTACAAGACTGATGAGAATTGTTCGGGAGTACTCACGGGCGAAGCGGCTCCTTTTTTCCTCGCATGCCCACTATTTACATTGTTTTGCTCGTGATTGCTGTAGGTTTTTGCTGGCATATACCTCTTTCTTTCAAATTAAAATCAAATACTATGTGAAGCTGTCAGGCGATGGTGGCTTCGACTTTCAAGTGATCATGTGAGTTTGGTATTGGGGAGCTTGAATTTCCTATCACTTCACTAGAGCCAAGCAGCCAGGAAATTAAGTAGAGAAACAAATGTTGCAGATGAAGATTGGAACAAGTGCCCTGCGGAAACCTGGTTTTCAGTCACGAGTGTGCTTTGTTTTCTAAGACGAAAGTAATGTCCTGTTATTCTTTATTAGATTACAAAGAAAATCTAATATTGTTAAGTTAAAAGAAGTAGCTGACATTTTTTGTGTGGACCTGAGCAAATCCTTATTTATCATCATTTGATTCATGATAACAAGAATCGATTAATTAGAAGTTCGTGATAACAAGTCTAGGTCCCCAGAGTGACTTTAATTAGACAATTTGATCATTCCACTGGTCAGGAACTTGTGGTATAAACTATCTAGTGACATATCATTACTAACTACGTTTTCAACACACAAGTGACATTAACCACTTGCTGACAGAGAATACTAGTGATAAAGGGGCAGTGGGGAAGCCTAGTGGTTAAAGCATTCGCTCGTCACACTGAAGGCCCCGGTTTGATTCCCCACATGGGTACAATGTGTGATGCCCATTTCTGGTGTCCCCTGTTGTGATATTGCTGGAATATTGCTAAAAGCAGTGTAAAACCCAACTCAGTCACTACTATTGATGGACCGCCTCCGTGGTGTAGTGGTTAGAGCGTCCGCCCGGAGAGCGGAAGGTCGCGGGTTCGATCCCCGACCGCGTTAAACCAAAAGACGTTAAAATATGGTACTTGTTGGTCCCTGCCTGGCGCGGCATTAATGGGTACAAGAAGGACTGGTCGGCTCGGAGTCAGTATACTGTGTCTGAGTGGGGTATTCATGCTTCACTGCGGCATGGTATCTCAGTGGGCTAGCACTTTAAAACCAGTTTCAGTCTGGGCTAGTACAAGCAGCCGCACATACACATACACACGCATATGAGCGAAATATGAGCGAAATATTCTCAAGTACGACGTTAATCCCAGTTTCACCTCACCTCACTACTATTGATAAATACTGCACAGAATCATAAATTGATATGTTAATGGTGAATGATATGTAACATAAAATGATTTCTTTTTTCATTCTTGAGTATATATATGTCATGTCTGAAATACTGTTTGGAATACACTTGTTATGTTGGACTCAACTGTAAAACATTTAGATTGGATCCATAACTTCCCGGGCAGTGGGGTAGTCCTAGTGGTTAAAGTATTTGCTCGTCACGCCGAAGACCCGGGTTCAATTCCCAACATGGGTACAACGTGTGAAGCCCATTTCCGGTGTCCCCTGCTGTGATATTGCCGGAATATTGCTAAAAGCGGCATAAAACCATACTCACTCATGCACTCTTTAATATTCTAAAAGTGATGTAAAACTGTATTCACTCACTCATTCTTTAATGCTGCACTCAGCAGTATTCAATCTTTGACAACCGCCTGTCGATAAACAGTCTGGGCCATACAATCAGTGACTGACATTGAGGAATCAAACCATGCAATTTTCAGAACCATAACATATATTGTTAAGGGCCTTGATATATAGGAAATAGGATCTGCTTGTATGATTAGTATTGCCCACCATCAAACAGTGAAGATCAGGGGGCGGTGGGGTAGCCTAGTGGTTAAAGCGTTGGCTCGTCACTCCGAAGACCCGGGTTCGAAACCCCACATGGGTACAATGTGTGAAGCCCATTTCTGGTGTCCCCCACCGTGATGTTGCTGGAATATTGCTAAAAGCGGCGTAAAACCAAACTCAGTCAGTCAGTCAGTGAAGATCATAGTATATCACAATGCGTATCGCAATACAGGTACCTGAATCGCAACCTGGCCTGGCCACCCAATTCCTATGGTTTACAGTAGACTGTCTGGTTTTCTCTTACATTTAACTAAACTGAATATGAGTGAATGAGTTGGGTTTTACGCCACTTTTTGCAATATTCCAGCAATATCACAGCGGGGGACATCACAAATGGGCTTCACACACTGCACCTATGTGACCCATGTGACGTGACAAGCGAATGTCACCGTCCCAAGAGTTGAATATGAGTTAGAACAATATTGCATCAAACCCAGTTCCATGAAAACCGCAGGAGATGTTGCAAGTGTTCCAGTCACATTGGTTCAAGTGATTTCTACTGATGTACTTGATTGGTAGCCTCGCCTAAGTGATTAATCATGCTGTATGTAACAAACCAAGTTATTGACTTAAGGGCAATTCAATTAAAAATTCATCATGGTTTCCTTTTAGTACAGAACTCCTACTTTGATGTTCCTGTTACGCAAATGGAACCTTTTGAAGGATATTTTAAGAAAATTGCTTCAGTCTAGGGTTGGAATCATTTCACTACCCCAAATGTGTCTGTTAAGAGACTTTCAAGAGAGTGTTATTTGGGCATGACATTCATGGCAACACTCCACAGTGTACGTGGTTGGTGTGATTAAGCTGTCATTTGCACAGAAGGGTTTTCCTATGGAAATATGATCTAATAAGGTGGTCACTTACCTAAAACTACTCCATTTTAGCTCAACTGGTAAGCCAGTAGGAGCCTCAAAAGGGGTGTCGTGCGCCTCAAAAGGGCTAGGTCATCTGACCCATCATCCATAATTTCCAGATGATCACTTCAACAAATACTGATGAAATCGGACCTAATTTGGTGTATCTTACAGAATTCTTGATGAAGTTGATGGTCAGAGTGACTGTTCTTATTACCTCGTCAGACTGGAATATAACAGGACTTATTTTAGCCCAAGACTTGTATGATTTACTATTTTGCTGTTTAATGTAGAACTCAGATGATTATAGTAGGTCTGTAAATAATTGATTCCATACCAAACAGTCTCCTGATTGTGAATACACAATGTCATTTAGAAAGTGGTCAAATGTAACAAATGTTATAATTTTGGGGTTACACTTTTTCAGTAAAGTACAGCTTCTGGTGCTTTTGTTGGGTTGAGTCCCATCGGAGTCCCATACCATTGGGATTCGAACCCACACCCTCAGAATCAGGCACCTAATTGCTAGCACGCGGAAGTCAGCCACCTAACCAACTCAGTGAAACATCAGTGTTTGTGGTTTAACTACACGTTGGAAGCCACAGTGGCTGAGTTTGTTAGGTGGCTGATTCTGAGGGTGTGGGTTCGAATCCCAATGGAATAGGTGTCTGATGGGTGTGGGTTTGAATCTCAGACAAGACTCAACCCAACAAAAGTACTAGAATCTGTACTTTACTGAGAAAGTGTAATCCCAAATATGACATTTGTTACAGTCCCCTGATTGATCCAGGCAAATTGGCATACGATGACACACAATCAACTACCTGAGTCAACAAGTCTTTTCACTGGTATGCATTGGGTGAAGGTGAAGAGTATATTCTTACCTGGAATCTCCAGGAGTCGATAAAACTTAGACCAAAGCTTGTATGAATTTAGTAAGACTATATTTGGTTTAATACAGGCAGTGAGTGTGTATGGTTTTACACCTCTTTTAGCAATATTCCAGCAATTTCATGGCAGGGGACACCAGAAATGGGTTTCACATTTTATGCCCATGTGGGGAATCGAACCCTGGGTCTTCGGCATCATGTGTGAAAGGCTTAGCCACTAGGCACCCCACCATCCCTAATAAAGACAGTATCATCTATAAATGTTGATTGTTTTGTCTTATAGCTTGTAAGCACCCTCACAAAAATAGTAATCCAGGTTAGAATTGGTCTTCAAGAACCCATGCTTGTCGTAAGAAGCGACTAACAGGACCGGGTGGTCAGGCTCGCTGCCTTGGCTGGCACATGTCATCGTATCCCAATTGTGTAGATCAATGCTCATGCTGTTGATTAGTGGATTGTCTGGTCCAGATTGATTATTCACAGACCCCCGCTATATAGCTGGACTATTGATGTTTGTGGCATTAAACAACAAACCAAACCAAATCATAAAAATCGTAATAGTTTCAGTGGATGACTGATACTGACTTGTGTTTGTTGATGTGTTTCAGCTGCGTCGAGTCCGGGGCAGCAGTTCCAATCGTGTGGGGTCCAAGCAGCAGTTTGTTATGCACAACAAGGCTCCACTGTGGAATGAGAACAGTCAAGTCTACCAGTTAGACTTTGGTGGACGGGTCACTCAAGAATCGGCTAAAAACTTCCAAATAGAGTTCCGTGGGAAACAGGTACATTTCTAGTCAAGTTTATACCATTAGTCAGGGTAGTGTAAACACCTTTTTGCTCTCCAGCTGCTCAGTGAGTGAAGTGTAGTTAATACAAAGTTGCTGCCGTTTTGAAATTCTGTCAGTTCTGATCAACTCCCCTGCGGACAGGAAGCCATGAATAATATGAGTATGTTCCATGCTCAATAGGGGCGGTGGGGTAGCCTAGTGGTTAAAGCGTTGACTCGTCACGCCGAAGACCCGGGTATGAATCCCCACATGGGTACAATGTATGAAGCCCATTTCTGGTGTCCCCTACCGTGATATTGCTGGAATATTGCTAAAAGCCAATATGACATGCATACTTAGTAAAGCCAATCAACTGTTACTGAATGTCATGCATACTGCTGTCCTTCATACATCATCAGGGGCCGTGAGGTAGCCTAATGGTTAAAGCGTTGGCTCGTCACGCCGAAGACCCGGGTTCGAATCCCCACATGGGTACAATGTGTGAAGCCCATTTCTGGTGTCCCCCGCCGTGATATTGCTGGAATATTGCTAAAAGCGGCATAAAACCAAACTCAGTCAGTCAGTCAGTTCTGTCCTTCATACATCATCATGGCTGAAATAACTTAGCTTGATGAGAACCGTGAACATTTCCCATACTTTTGAAATTTATTACTTTGAACATCAAAGTTACCTTATGCCCCATGTGGGTAGAATGTGTGAAACCTTTTACATTTATCACTCCCATGACATTACTGGAATATTGCTAAAAGCAGTGTAAAACCATACTCACTCACTCAAAGTAACCAAGGTCGAGGATAACTTTACTGTTTCCCTATTGACTAGAACCATCTGGATGAGTGAGTGAGTTTAATTTTACGTCGCTTTAAGCTAGTGTTGGGAATTGGTTGAAATCTCACAATTGATGATTGCTTCATTATCAACGAACGATCATCGAAAAAAATTGGTTAGCGTAATTTTTCTATCCGGTTTGTTATTGCAGATAAGTATAACATGATGCAACTTGCTACTTTAAAGTGATGACTAATATATTATGAACATAAACTTTCCGGAGTCTTCAAGAAATATTCAGTCATGACTTTTTAGTTAGTGAAGTGAGTTTTCTAAGAATTACACAAGTTTGCAGGCCCTGACAATTTCGAAGATATGTTCCATCGTCAAGTGTTTCAAAGACGAAAACAGCAGTTCCAAAATCGTTTGTGTTCGATTATGAGAAAATGTGATCGATTGCTCGGTCGTTTGGCCACTGCGACCAATCTTCGATTATTTCAATTAATCGGAACACCACTACTTTAAGCAATATCACGGAGGGGGACACCAGAAATGGACTTCACACATTGTACCCATGTGGGGAATCAAAACCTGTGTCTTTCGAGGTGACAAGCAAACGTTGTAAGCACTAGGCCACCCCAATACCTACTAACTGTCTGAATACATGATACTTCTCATCGTTAACATTCACCTGATGAAGGTGCAGGAAGTAGTTCTGAAACATTGTGACTAAGAATATAAGAAGATATTACACAACTCTATAGATGATCAAGTTTATCTCCATATCTCTATGGGGTAGCCTAGTGGTTAAAGTGTTGGCTCGTCACGCCGACGATGTGTTAAGCCCATTTCTGGTGTCCCCCGCCGTGATATTGCTGGAATATTGCTAAAAGCGGCGTAAAACTAAACTCAGTCAGTCAGTCCATATCTCTATACCACCAACTTCTAGAATGACACTCAAGCAAATCAAGAATAAAAGAAGTTCTTATCCATAAAAAGTGTCATGTATTAATGTTCTTCCAACTTCTAAATGCCTATCAAAGAATTCAATACCATTTTACAAGACACAGGACATTTCTGTAGAGACTTTGAGTTAGTGTCATATCAAAGAATGTACGAGTGACATGAATTAGTGGAAGCATAACACAGCCATTATTCATCTGGACTGGAACTGTGCTTGTCATGGAGTTCTATGTCATCTCCTCACCTATATGTTGTGAAGCTGTATAATATGGAAAGTTACACTCCGAACTGGTGTCAGTGGTTGGAGGGAGAAGGCGTTTCCTTGGCTTCTCTTGACAATGTCTTGAGAAAGCAAACATTTCATATCCGTAGGCTTGATTTCTGAACATATTTCAATCTTCTGAAGGTGTCGCATTTCAAATATGACTCACGTAGGAGGATGTGAACCCTCTGAATCAGGACAGGCATCTTTTTTTCTTCATTCTGAATCTCACTGCACTCCCCTGAATCCAGAATGACACAAATTGAAACATAGTTAAAACAACATGTAAAGGATTAGTTTACATACTGGTACACCATTGTTATTTTCTTAATGTTCAGCAGTACTAAATGGATTATATCGTGGCATCACGCATACCTGACTGATAAGTTTGCGTACCCTTTTCGAAATAGTTTTCAAACCTTGCATACCACATACTCATTACTTAAAGCCGTAGACCCGTGAAGATCTGGGGTAGAATAGGTCTTCAGCAACCCATGTGCTTGCCATAAAAGGTGACTATGCTTGTCGTAAGAGGCGACTAACGGGATTGGGTGGTCAGTTTCGCTGACTTGGTTGACACATGTCATCGGTTCCCAATTGCTCAGATCGATGTTCATGCTGTTGATCACTGGATTGTCTGGTCCAGACTCGATTACTTACAGACCGCCGCCATATAGCTGGGATATTTCTGAGTGTGGCGTAAAACTAAACTCACTCTCTCACTCTCTCTTAAAGCCGTGGCATGGTAAAATTTTCATCATTATGTCATTGGCGTGGACCTGTCAGCTGCTCCTTTATCTGATTGTCATTATTGACAAATTTGTGAATATTGCTTGATGTGCACAAAACATCACTCACTCACTCACTAAAAGAGCTACTTAGTCCATGTGGATACCAATTTATGAATTGTTTTTGTATTGATCTCAATAGGGATGACATGGATAGCAATGCATATATTTGTCAGGGTGCCATTTACAAAACAATCTTAGCGCTAAGTCTTTTTTAAGGATGGGAGATACAGTCACCTGAGTGCTGAAATCACTTTGTACAATTCTTCATTATATTAGTGTTAATCTCAGTGGGGATCAAGTCGCCAGCAATGTATATAGACTTGTCAGGTGAGATAATGTTTATATGAATCATCAGCCAAGCTCATAATGGTCTGTTTCAGATGATGCAATATTTTGTTTAGTTTCAGGGTATACTGATAACAATAGATATATACCTGCATGCAGCTTGGTGCAGATATAGGCGGCACCTTCTTTAGTGTTTGGATATGTTGAAGTGGCATTGTAAAAGTTGATGATTAAAAATAATATAGGCCAGATGACACCTTCTTTATTCCATTATGATGTGACATTTCAGTACAGATCCTTATATGTTGAGTGTTTTGATAGCCATGTGTATACCTACCTGGTTTTAGGTGAATCAACAATTGAGCATGTGCTTACCTGTTGTCAGTTTCAGGTGATGCACTTTGACTGTAACATCAGCAATGCTTATGAGAGTTTATTGTCTGTTTCAGGTGATGCAGTTTGGGCGTATCGACAGCAATGCCTACACTCTAGATTTCCAATACCCTTTTACTGCTATACAAGCATTTGCTGTTGCTCTTGCCAATGTCACCCAGAGACTGAAGTAGCCATTCCATCTGAAGGGCAGTTAATGATTCCCATCATCATGTGCTGTGTCTGTGATTTGATGGATCTATTGATCTAAGCCCCAGCTGCGATGTCACAACCAGGCTCTCAATACATGTGGAATGGCCTCCAGGTATACAAGGCTCGCGGATGTCCGTTGTTAAATGGTCGTTTACTGATGCCTCGTTCCGCACACACCTGCTTCAAAGGATAATGTTTTTTGAAGTTCAGCATTTTAACAGGTGTGGGAAGCAAAAGCCACAATGCTGTTAAGAATGGCTTTTAGCTTTAATAATTACTTGTAATTAGAACTGTATTATTTGATTCCAAATTATTAGAAATATTGAAATATTTTATCCATATCATGCCAGGTAGTAATATGAATTGTGATAATTAAATCATGCTAATAGTATATTTTGCTATTTCTGTTTTCAAAGTTAAAGAAAATTGGAGACAAATATTTGTATTTTGTTTTTTCAGTAATCACTTTTCAACATATCAGTTTCATAGAATTACTGCAGCTAAATGTATACTAAGTATTTTGTCTGCCCCAAAATATAATGAGATACTTTTATTATACATCACATCAGTGAGATAGTGCCAGGCCAACTTCTGAATAATCAAATCTTTATGTATGATCAGGTTAGATATAATCTTACTCCATGAAGATTTGTATAGAATTAACTACATTCCACCCTGTTGACAATAGAATAGTTCAATTAGAAGGCCAATCTGGACACAGTTGTGTTTGTTGAACATACAAGGGAATCAGCCTCAATCAATATTGAATAGTTGCCTATGTAACAACTGGGTAATTTTCAATAGTTGACATGTAACTCGGATAAATATTCATTAACTGACCTTATAACTGGGTAATTTTCAATAGTTGACCATGTAACAGGGTAATTTCAATAGTTGTCAAAGTAACTGGGTAAATTTCAATAGTTAGTGGGTAAATTTCAATAGTTAATGGGTAAATTTCAATAGTTAATTGGCAGATTTCAATAGTTAGTGGGTAAATTTCAATAGTTAGTGGGTAAATTTCAATAGTTAATTGGTAAATTTCAATAGTTAATGGGCAAATTTCAATAGTTAGAGGGTAAATTTCAATAGTTAGTGGGTAAATTTCAATAGTTAACATACACAAAGTGGATAGTTTTCAATAGTTGGCCCCTATCAACTGGTTAAATGAATACAGGCAATTAGATTCCTGACTCTGAGAGCACATTGGATTTGAATCCCAGATGGGACTCGTTCAACCCAGAAATGTACTGGAATCTGTACTCCTCCGAGATGGTGTAATCCCAAATTTCACATACCTTAAACTGGTTAGATATTTTTCAGAAGTTGACCTCAAACAAAGTCTACATCATTACTGCTCTTTTTTGTAGCATATAGTACTTTCCCAGCGAATGATTTCAGCTGGGGCAATATGACAATCCTTCCCAAGGCCAGTTACTTACCCTTACACCTGTATGATTGGTGATTTGAATTTGTTTCTACCTTTGAATTTTTGAGAATTTCCAGTGTGGTTTGAAAATATTCCAATATTTTCTGTTTCATATGAGTGATGTTGGATTGGTAACTTTGATAAATGACCATGATGTATCACAGTCTAATGTAAGTGACTTTCCTGAAGTCATGTAACCAGAACATTCTGCTTTGTCAAAAAGCAGTTCAGAATGGAAGGATAACAGTATATGGACGAACAACTTCTTTATTGCAGTGAGAGAGACGGTGTTCATTCATGTGTTGTTATATCCTTTCTGCTCCAACTTCAAGATGCTTCTCAAACAAGTTACAGTTCAGAATGGCCTTTTATGATACTTTCAAAATCATTGACTCAGTGTCTACAGAGATACTACAATACAGTCAAGCACAACAAATTTTATATTATGTCAGTGAGATAGTTCCTGATCTTATTTAATTAGTTATATTTGTTGTGTCCTCAGCATTGTTAAATAAATCTTAAAAAATAATGATCAACAGCTTATATACTACTCACATCTTGCTAAGGATCACAAAAATTCCCAACTTTACTTAAACATAGATTTATAATTTGAACTAGATAAATAATGATATGGTAACCCCTCTTTAGGCAAACAGCCACTTTAATCTAACCTTATGCACTTGATACATGAGTAACCATAAAAATGGTTTTCATGGCACCAATCAACCATTTTGCAAATCATGGAATGAGTCAGTGACAAGTACACAACACCTGTCAATAGCAGGTATGGGATCCACAAGATGCAGTGACATACTGAAACCTAGGATCCATGCTTACAATAAGGCTTAGATATTTAAACCAAATTAGACCCCACATCATAGTTTTCTGTTGAATCCATGATTTGATCCTTAGCAAAGTGTGAATAGTATAGTACTCACAGATTTGGCGCTGTTGTCCACAAAACTGATGTTGTACATCAAAGGGCGTCTGATAGCAGCTGTTCTTGTTTCTTGCCCTTGGGATCCTGACAGGGCTGTAGGGAGCCTGTCTCCCCACTTTGGTGTATGTTGCAGTTATATGATGAACTCTGTATAATGTAGGAGATTGGTAGATTATTCATAGAAATATAGATGTGTGTAAGTGTCTTGACATTGAAAAGTGTTTTGTTCATTTATTGGATCTGGTGGCTATGATCTCATTTCAAGTCTGGTTGCATCCATGTACTGGTAGACGATGTTCTTCTACTTACATTGTATTCAGAGTGGTACAGAAATATTTCTTCAAAAGCTATGCAAATTTGTCATGTATGTATATTGAGATGTTGAGTTAATTTCATGACTGATTAGTGTTTTTACATTGGCCCATACTATAGTCATCATTGCCATTTGTGTACAAAATTCAAAGTCATGATCAAAACGGTTCTTATAGCATTGATATTTTATGACTTTGCAATTCTTGTCAGCATTTCAAGATGTCATGTTTGTCTGTCGTGGTACCTTATCTGGTTTCAATGTGTCATGTTACAGTATATTGATGTATTATAATGTCAAAGTATGGAAAGTGTCTCTATCAAGTCATTATTTAATTTGAAAACTATTTTTATTCTTGAATGAGAGATTTTTAAAGCAGGTACTTAAGTAAGAGTCAGGTATAAATGTAATTATAAATGTTATCGTAACATTCCATGATGACGAATTACCATTTCCGTTCCAAATTGGTTCTGATTACAATTCATGAAGACATTCCTGTGATTGTTAAGAATGTGATTACCTCTTTTTTAGATGGTCTTTCTGTGTAATTTAATAATAAAACCATTATCTTGTTATGCAGCTACAAAGTAGGAGGATCTGATTCCATTATCGAGAACAAGCGACTGTAACTACCATGGGATCCCTCCAACCTTCCAGTTCTGGCTGGTTCAGCATTATTTGAATGATAGCACACTATTGTACTGACACACAACTTGCACAGGTGACAGGACCTTATTTATGTTGTACTTAAAGGGTTCTACAGCAAAATTCTTTAAGTTTTGTTTCAAAATTAAATTTAACTTTGACTTCAGTTTGTTTCCTATGCTTGCAAATTTCATATTTGTTTCAGTACCTCCTGAAAATGAAGTCCTCACAGGGGTGGAAATAACTTTAAAATTGCTAGTGTACTCCGGTACAGTGGCACATGTAAAATCACTTGCCCTGATAATTTTTCCACTATACCGGCCGTTTTCTTGTTGATTTTTTAAATAAACAACATAATTGATATTGGAAAGTCAACTGGACACCGGTACAGTGTGATATACAAATTTGCTTGCCCGACAGAAAAAAACACTGGACTCGGGCGTCGGGCAATGGGTTATTTCCACCCCTGCCTCATTTAGATCAGAACTGTTGTGTGCAATATGGCACACAAAATGGCAAATTCAGTATTTTGTCTGAAAACAATAGCTATTCAATTTGCTAGGAGAATCTGTTTTCTTCCCAGCACAAACAAGGAATCCATCAAGCATTGGAACACATGTTCTTTTCTTCCAAGATGATGATGGAGCATGTTTTTGTCTTGAGTCAGTATATTTAAGGGTTAGCTCTTCCTGGAACTGTTTCCGAGCAGTAAGTAGATTATCATATTGTTATACCTACCTGCTGCACACCCAAGTCCTCATCTCAGCTGTTTATTTTCCAGGATGGCTCTCCATGTCCTTTCTGTATTCTGCACAGCTGGACATAGGTGGATTTGTGCTTGCAGTTGACAGTCTACTCAAACCTTTATATCTTAATCCAACACATAGGGTATAAAAGTAAATAATACAGGTTGTCTTGGAGTACTATGGAGAAGGATTTTGTAACTGCAGATAAGCAAGTGCTTGATGTCAGGGTAGTATGGGATTGGAAAAGATTGTTGTGGCATGTGATAGGTGCCTGAGTTTAGAGTAGTGTGGGATTGAAGGGATTATTGTGGCAAGTGATGAGTCGGTACTTAATTTTGTGGCAATAGGGAAAAGAAACAATTTCTGAGGCAGGTGCTTGATGTCAGAGTTGTGAGGAGGAAGATAAGACTATTACACATTTGGTAAAGGGGTTTGGAGTAGGAGGAATATGGTAAGTCCAAGATTAAATCAAGAAATGTACACACAGACCAAACACTTGCCAAATCTACTCTGAAAACAATATCAAATGTCACCTGGTTAACATAGAAACATATGTCTTGGTGTTTTCTGATGTATGTACTAGAACATTTGATATTTTGCTGTAAGTGTATATACAGTTATGAGGAAAATATATAGAATTTTAGAGGTTAGATACTTGTGTACCAGATAGTCACCCACAGACTCGAATTTGATTCCACTTTATGTAGAACTGCATTGTTGGGATTGTTGTAGAACAAAACTGCATGAAATGAAACTATCTTCAAATACTCTGTTAGTTTTAAAGTCACTATGTAACACAGTTGACTAGATAGTTTTATTACCATGTAAATTTGCAGTCTCTATATCCTAAATAGGGCTAACAAGGTCACCACCTTGCTATGCAGAGGTGCATCCCTAAGGCATGTAACAAGTCTTTGATCAGCATGAATGCTAGATTCACCTGGATTATGTTTTTTGAGTTGCTACCACCTACCTGTGCTGATGGGTTTCACCGAAATGTTTGTCTCAGGACTACATCACTCTGGGCACTCCTCCCACTAGCTGACTTGCCATGATATAACTGAATAGAGCGGTGGGTAGCCCAGTAGTTAAAGTGTTCGCTTGTCACGCCGAAGTCCTGGGTTTCGATTGAACAGTTCAAAATGTTCAAAGCAGTTCATCTCTCTTCATGGGAAATAATTTAATAAAAAAAATTGTTCACAAGAGCCTGTTTTTTCGTTTGGGTCAAAATGCACAATGCAGTTCAGGATAAAACATTGTGGTTTGAAGTAAGAACTCTTATCAGTACAGAACATTTCACAGATTGGTCAAAAAGGTCCTTGAGGAATCTGATGTTGTCAATTTCTAGTTTTCAAGGAGGATTCACAGCAGTTGCCGCATTGATTTTACAATACCTCACCTTACTGAATAGACTTATAGTAAACCTCTCAGATTATAGCCAACAAGTGTGAAATACACATATACCTCATAAACTTAACATAATGTTCAAGTTGTAAAAATCAAAATATGTATCAAATAGTTTATTTAGTTTATATGTTATGTATATATTTTATTTATATGATTTTGTTTGAATGGTTTGTGTGGAAGAATGTTGCTGTACATGTAAATAATTCCATTCGATGCTCAATTCATTTCATGTGTGGTATATTGTATTTGTTGCTGTACCTACTGTAATTTGTGAAACAGATGATTTGCCCATTCTTATAATTTTACATATCTTGATTCCATTGTTAGTATCTGATGAATGTCCTAGTGACTGTGTGAAATTAGAAAGATTTTAAAATTAATACTTTTATAACACCCTTGGTATGTAACACAGGGAGATATAGTATTTAACATGTTTTCATTATTTGTCGCGATCATACATGTATCTCTAAAAATAGGTATTCTTTCATGAAACTTTACAGAAAGACCAGATTGTCAACTGGTGCCATTTGCTTTTTAGGGATAATTAGAACTTCTATATTTTTCTGTTGTCACAGCAACGGGTTTGGTGTTGACGCTGTTTTGTTTATAACCACATGTCTATCCTGACCATAGCTCTAATAGTAAGGGTATACTTTCTTGAAACTTTGCACACACTAAGACCAGGTTGTCAACTTGTGCCTTTTGCTATTTAGGGATTCATAGATATTATCTTTGAGTCCGTTTTTCATGGAAACAAGTTTGACTCAGTTCACAGGGGTGTGGTTTCCAGGGTTTTCTTTACTACGCACACACAATGTCCAAATTGTAAAGTGGTGCTTGTAATTCTTGACAGAATATTTAACATTGCATGCATGACATCCACAAACTTATATTTTTCAAAAAGGGAACTTACATAAAAAATTGTCTGATTGTGGTATTGTTTTGCTGGATCAATAACTACACTTGTATACAGACTGATAGATTAAACACCAAAGTTCTGATCAAGTTGGACAGAGCAGTCGTTGGACTTGCTGTAACAAACAGATTTGCTCTTTTGAATTTGTGGGGCTGGGGGTGAATTAAGTTCCGATGACTGTGTATATTAAAAATAATTCATTGTATTGAACATTCCGAGGTTTGACTTAGCATCTGTCCATTCCTAGATAAACATTCCTTACATATAGTGAAATGTGCAAAATATTGTCCAATTCCATATTGACAAACTGTAATTGCCATATTAAACACCCTTTGACCAACTTCTTCGTAATCTTTCTAAGAGCCCCTAACAAAGATGAACAATTTTCACAACAGTCCATATTTTGTGGTGTATAATACAAATTCATTTAGCGTCACAGAACTTGTAATTATTGATGGAAAAGTGTTGGTTTCATCACGCTGAAGACCTGGGTTTGATTCCCCACTTGGGTGCAATGTGTGAAGCCCATTTCTGGTGTCCCCTGCCGTGATATTGATGGAATATTGCTAAAAGTGGTGTCAAAACTAAACTCACTCACTCTCTCACATGTACCACGTTTGCTCAAGTTTTGAAAATAGACGTAACTTGTGTATGATGTTCGACAGGTCTCCCTTTTGTCAATCTTTTAAGCGCACTAGGTGCTTATTAGGGGTGTCACGATACACCAATCTCACGATACGATACGTATCGCGATACATAATTTTCGCGCCTTTTCATAGCATTACCTTACCGGCAACGTACGCGCTCGCTGATTGGTCCATCAAAATAGTCTAGCCATCACAAAAGCTGTTAGTTTCCAACCTATTTTTTAAGTAAAGCTAGCTACATCTATTTATCGGAGCGGTCTCGTATAATTTTTTTATCAAGACTTTGAAGGAGATGGATATAGCACAAAAATTTGAATCGATAAAGTTTTAAAATAGGAATCGATACACGCAAGCATGTATCGCGTATCGTATCGTCAGTAAAAATGTATCGATGCATCGATACATTCGCGTATTGCAACACCCCTAGTGCTTATTAGTGAATATCATAATTGAATAGTAAAGTGATGCAATGAGTTACGTCCCTTGACTTTCTCACGAGTTTGAATCCTTTCTTGCTGATTACTGCACCTTGCTTAGGTTTTAATCAGGGTAAATAAATGAGTGTTATTCCTGCTGTTTGGAAACATAACCTGCCATAGCAGCCGTTAAATGACTGAAATGGTGTATCAACCTTTAACAATATTATATTTCTAATTGAACTGGGGCGGTGGGGTAGCCTAGTGGTTAAAGCGTTAGCTCGTCACGCCGAAGACCCAGGTTCGATTCCCCACATGAGCACAATGTGTGAAGCCCATTTCTGGTGTGCCCCGCCGTGATATTGCTGGAATATTGCTGAAAGTGGCGTAAAACTAAACTCAGTCAGTCAGTCTATCTAGCAGGCTAGCTGGTGGTTTGAAACAAGCTGAGACAGTAATGATTGCATTCAAACTGAATAAAAAATGGGCTTTTAACTCCCTTTTCATGTAACCAATCTTTTTTGCTTCATAATTTAAATCATTTTCCAGCCAGTGACTCTAGTGATAAGCAAAAAGTAAAAGTTACATCCTGAAGGTTTTCAAGTTATTGCAAACTGCTGTTTCAATTATAGAATGGAACTTTTGGAAATAACACTTCAAAGTATACTAAAAATAGCTTGTAAATTAATTGCACATGTTCGAATAAAACATAGCTCTTCAACTACCACACGCTGGCTGTGTGTTTGTGGCAAGTATTTGCAGGAAGCAATATCCTTGTGTCAAGTCCAACTAATCATAATGAGAAAAACAGGTCTTTTATCATTGCTCTGTCTTTGTAGTTAGGGGGCAATTTGTTACGGAGAATGTGAAACGGTCATGATGGATCATTGCAGAAGATCAGCTGTTTGTGTCCAGTGGCTGTAGGATTGACTTCATTAGTTGAGAGGGAAGCAGTATGTACAAATGGCACATTTCTATACAGACCTGGAATCATGTAGAACAGTCATGTCAGTCTTGTGTACATACTGAGCGTTTATTGACTGTACTTCTACGTGAGAATTTTCAGTTTTGTATATACTGTGTTAAATTGTGTCAGCTTGTTTACTAACATCTACATCCCGAGTCAGTCATCTAGGAACATTCAAAAGACATTCAGGAAAAGGATAATTTGAATAATAATGTACTTCAAAAGACATTCAGGAAAAGGATAATTTGAATAATAATGTACTTCAAAAGACATTCAGGAAAAGGATAATTTGAATAATAATGTACTTCAAAAGACATTCAAGAAAAGGATAATTTGAATAATAATGTACTTCAAAAGACATTCAAGAAAAGGATAATTTAATAATAATGTACTTCAAAAGACATTCAGGAAAAGGATAATTTTAATAATAATGTACTTTCCAACAACACAATCAGACCACATTTGTAATACTTGATAATTCACCTGCCTCATATTTGCACTTTCTAGCTGTCGTCAGCTCAAAATACAAAACAAAATTGCAAGTTTGATATCCAGAAGACATTACCTAGAATCAGCAGCCATATGATTGCCATGGCTACAATCTTCATTGAAGCAGCACACAGTACCAATACTATTTTCCACAGAAAAGGTAACAAGCAGGCAATTTGTGGAAATGTCCATCACATGCTGTTGGGTTTTACCTGTGCATTACTACCCAGTTTCATAGTTTCTGGATTACAATTATCTAGAGTGACTCTTAAATAGCATTCATTACAGCTACATTCTGTTGTCCAATGAAAATGTTTCTTCTGAAGAACAGCGTGAACACATTAGCGATACTTCTAGATGTTGGACTTAAGTAATCATTGTGAGTAGCATTCATTCCAGTTGGCAATACTGTGTCCTGTAGGTCACAGATGGATTACCCTGGTAGTTCAAGTATGTTTTAACTGCTGTGAATATGTATGATAGCTTCATTGCTTTCTGTGTGCCAAATTCCTAATATTTCTCATCAATATGTGGAATAAACTTTGTTAAAGAATATCAGCCAGTATTTTGTTGTCCCTTGATCAGTTTTTTCTGGTTCCAGCAATATCCGCGGCGGGGACACCAGAAACCGCCTGCGTGGTGTAGTGGTTAGAGCGCCTGCCGGAGAGCGATTCCATGGAAGGTCAAGCATAAGGAATTAGGCTTCGATCCCCCAACCGCCATACCAAAAGACGTTAAAGTATGGTACTTGTTGGTCCCTGCCTGGCGCTCGGCATTCATGGGTACAACAAGGACTGGTCAGCTCTGGAGTCAGTATAATGTGTCTGAGTGGGGTATTCATGCTTCACTGCGGCATGGTATCTCAGTGGGCTAGCACTATAAAACCAGCTTAAGTCTGGGCTAGTACAAGCAGCCGCACATACATACACATGCATGCACGTCGTCATATGAGGAAATATTCTCAAGCACGACGTAAACCCAATTTCACCTCACCTCACCTCACCTGTTCTGCTTCCGACCAAGGTCATCATGGAGCTATGATGGATTCATTGGATGCTGGGGTTGCAAGTGTATTAGTCAGCAATATTCATTACAGCAAGGTCCATAGTATAAGTGAGTGCACGTGAGTATGGTTTAATGCTTTTAGCAATATCACCACAGGGGACACCAGAAATAGGCTTCACACTTTGTACCCATGTGGGGAATTGAACCCGGGTATACGGTGAGACAAGCAAACGCTTTAACCACTGGGCTACCCCACCTGCGACACCCCCCATATTATAGAACATCATTCCAATGAAAACATACAATAAAATATGACTGAAGCATGGTTAAAAACAGTAAAGACCTGTCAGCATTGCTGGTTCACAGTCGTAATGACAAACTAGCCACAAGCAAGATATGATCTCAGCACTGGTGCTTGGGAGTTCGCTTTAGACCACTTGCTCTTCAAGTTGAACACCAATCTACCTTTTGTTTGTGTTTTTTTCAATTAAATTTGATCATGGTCATCACTTCAGGTGACGAGTGAGTGTGTTGGATTTTAAGCTGCTTTTTCAGAAAAGGGGAGACACCAGAAAAGGGTGTCAGACGCATGTGGGAAATCAAAACCAGCCCTTCCTGATGACAAGCGAACACTTTAACCAAAGGCTACCGTCACCTCTGGATTGATATGGCTAACAGCTTGTCCAAAGTAAAGATTACTGCATACCCAGCATTGTTTAAGCCAAGTGACTTGCATTGTGTTTGAAGTGTTTCATCTCTATGTGTCATAACATCGTTAAAGGTAAAATTTATGGATGTCAACTTCTGTAATGAGGGACACATGTCAGAGTATATTCTCCTTCATCAGGTGATAAGAAAAATAAGGTCTCGGAATGGCAGTTAGAAGTGATAGACATAAACAGGGCTCCAGATATTTTTTTCAATATAGGAGTACTGGAAAAATGTAAGAGTACATTTAGAGTACTGAATGGAGTATAATGGAGTATCAGTAATATTGTGTCTCGTTTCATACATGCACCACAACATTGCTGCTCGTGTAAACAGGTCAATAAACAACAAAATAATATGTTTTCAGATAAATACGTCTGTAAATGATTCTAAGACCGTACACCATTGCTGTGGTGTGTATCTGCTATGTTTTCTAAATTATTTCCTACCGTATTGTGCATATTTTGTATCCGTACATGCGCCTATACGGCCCTTATCTGGAGCCCTGCATAAAGGTTGAAACTTCATCATCTGATGAAGTTAGAATATGCTCTCGAACATTGTGTCCCTTATTTTATAGAAGTTGACATCCATAAATTCTTAACCTTTCATCTTAATAATCAGTTATGCAAATATGTTCATTAAAGTAAGGCCAGAAATGCTTGGAAAATGCTTTTTGGCAATTATTTAATAATGGTTGATATTTCAGATTCAAAACTCATATATATAATCATTCATACTACCTCGACATAATATGGCCATGAGTAATCACGATGTACCATTCCCTAATCATAATGATTACTTATAAAACATTGAAAAACTTAGAAAAAAATCCATTGTAGAAACACTTCAAAGAAACAAACTATACTGTGACCCACCTGGCAGACTGACAGCGTTATGTAACGCACGGGCAGTACATGTCGGGGACCGTCTCAAAATATCAAGTGTCAGTATCACTGCTGGTCAAGGACTCTAGCGGAATTACAACCGGTGCAGCGCCGTCCCGCAGACGGTATTCGTCCTCGATTTTGAAAACACGGTCTTCAGCCTTTTGCCACACTTCTGGGGTAATTCTCGCAAAAGAAGCATACACAAGCTCTTTAACGTCTGAAGCTGAATGTGGTATTATTGCGAGCAATAAAATTCTTACAGTTACCCAAGATCAGCTCAATGGGATTGATCTCACTGCTGTACCTGTGTACGCAGAACTATGTGGCCTTATTTTGCAGCTAGTTTGTCAGTGATATACTGGACTGGCTTTTTGTGGTGCTGGAACTTTTCCATGAGCTGGGGCTTTGTTTCTGATTGCCTGTAAGGCATGTTTCAGTCCAGCTGCGGTAAAAGCTGATATTCGAACCAATCTAAAAATACCTGCCCATTCATTTCGTTATAGTAATCACCTTCAGATTTCTTGGCCTCAAAAACAAAGTCACAACCCCCAATCAGTCCCTTGCTACTGGTACCAGCATGCAAGATGATCAGGCGTCTAGCTTTGCCTGATGGTAACACTGGTGCCTTAGAACAATCTGAAGGAAGCCACAGATTTTTATTACACCAGGTTTCATCAAGGTATATAATTTGAAACCCCAAATTGCGGTATTTTTCAACTGTTCTGAGATAAGCTGATCGCATGGACAGGATTGAGTACTTTTCTCTAACCATAGCTCTGTCATCTCCCCTTTTGGTGTTCCTAAACCCCATTTCTACCAGAGCTACAATAAGTGTTGTTTTCGAGACGTTTATTTTGTATCTTTGATCTAATCTTGGATTTTGGCACACGTCGGTGGGATTTTGCGTTCATACAGTTTATAAACTGCACGGTGTATGACACCCTTATCAAACCTATCCAGTTTGTGTTTCCTACCTGGTTTTAATTTTGACATGACCCCTGAGGTAACTGATTTGTTTACAACTTTGTAAACCTGACTATGTGTCACATTAAGGGCTTTACACATTCTATAGTAAACCCTGTCATAGCTGACGAGAGGTTTCCCCCTTTGTTTCTCCAGTATGAAATACTAGTATAAATTTGAAATTAATTGTTCTGCAGAGATATCAAGTCGCATTATGCCAGTTTAGTGCTCATACACGACGTGAAACTTCTATGGGTGAACAAGATTATCTATGCGATTTGAATTAAGACTTATTTACATAATTATTTTGAATATAACTACTACAAGAGTTCCATCTTTTTCACATACAGATGTTAAAAAACCCCAAACTTTTTACAATTATATATGTAATTTAATTAGCTGAGGCTATATGAATAATTATAGTCTGTATTTCAAAACTACAGTTTGTACTTAGAATATTTCAAAACTGTTGAAGCGTCAAAATGTCCTGTTTTCTTATCTGAGCATTTTTCATCTGAGCTTTAATATCCAACTAGGTTGAGTCGTACATGTATCATATATGTGCTTTTATCTTGTGTCAAATTCATCATATTGAAATTGAAGACAAAAAGCATTTTCCAAGCATTTCTGGCCTTACTTTAGATACAACTGAGTCTTGACAGCTTTTACTCTTAAAGAAATTAGACTTTGAGCAGATATACTTGTTTGTTCACGCAAAGCGATACAATATCATTTTCTTACCACCAGAATTTGTTTTGACAAAAGTGTAACCTGTGGATAAGCTGACCCCCTTCTACAGACTGATTTGTTGGCCTATCTACGGTAATATACAGTATGTTAGTCATGTTTTCATTGGAAAAGGGACATTATGAAATATTACAAAACATTATGACATATAATAAAGCTATTTGTTCACAGCCAACAGTTGATGCTTTGCTGTGAAGTAACTCAATAGAAATTATTAATTCACTCTGAATAGAAACATGATTGAATTTACGGGCAAACAAGTGAGGAACTGGCATTAGCTCGAGAGAACTATTCCCTCATTATCTGAAGTATCAGATATTCTTGTCATATTGACTTGTTGTGAGCTCAGGTCCATCATATCAAGATGTCACAACACAGTCTCACATAAATGAGTCTCGTTTAGAACTGGTGTCAGCAATGCCGGTCGATCATTTGATTACATCACAAAAGGATTCCATAAATACTTGTGTCTGATTCTAGAGCTGAAAACAAACATTTAATGACATTAACAGCAACGACACTCGATTCCAGAGCAGGAATGAAATATTGATGGTAAAAACAGCCATGACTGATGCTTGATGCAAACACTTGATGACTAAATGCTCATGACCAATCAAGTGAGGGTGAGGTGAAATTGGGTTTTAACGTCGGTACTTGAGAATATTTCGCTCATATGACGACGTGCATGCGTGTGTATGTGTAGGTGCGGCTGCTTGTACTAGCCCAGACTTAACCTGGTTTTATAGTGCTAGCTCACTGAGATACCATGCCGCAGTGAAGCATGAATACCCAACTCAGACACATTATACTGACTCGAGCTGACCAGTCCTTGTTGTACCCATTAATGCCAAAGCGCCAGGCAGAGACCAACAAGTACCATATTTTAACATCTTTTGGTATGACGCGGTCAGGGGGATCGAACTCGACCGTCCGCTCTCCGCATGACCTTCAAACGCTTGATGACACTGGGCAGATACAATAACAACCATGACCGATCCTGGATGTCACACACAAACACTGATGACAAATAAGAACCCAATGACCAATAGAGCACCAAGAGTCACACCCAAACCAATGACAGTAAAGGCCATGACAAATTCCAGAGTACCACACAAACACTGATGACAATAAGAACCCTGACCGATCCTAGAGTCAAACTCAAACCAATGACAGTAAAGGCCATGACAAATTCCAGAGTACCACACAAACACTGATGACAATAAGAACCCTGACCAATCCTAGAGTCAACTCAAACCTGACCAATGTCTGATTCTTGAGAACCACTCCACCCGATCCTAGGGTCACATTGATGACAGTAAAGGCCATAACTGATTCACACTCAAACATGATGACAATAACAATGGCAGTAAAGGCCATGTCTGATTCTTGAGAACCACTCAAACATTGAGAGTAAAGGCCATAACTGAATCTAGAGTACCACTCAAACATTGATGACAGTAAAGGCCATGACTGAATCTAGAGTACCACTCAAACATTGATGACAGTAAAGGCCATGACTGAATCTAGAGTACCACTCAAACATTGATGACAGTAAAGGCCATAACTGAATCTAGAGTACCACTCAAACATTGATGACAGTAAAGGCCATGACTGAATCTAGAGTACCACTCAAACATTGATGACAGTAAAGGCCATGACTGAATCTAGAGTACCACTCAAACATTGATGACAGTAAAGGCCATGACTGAATCTAGAGTACCACTCAAACATTGATGACAGTAAAGGCCATGACTGATTCTAGAGTACCACTCAAACATTGGATGACAGTAAAAGGCCATGACTGAATCTAGAGTACCACTCAAACATGGATGACAGTAAAGGCCATGACTGAATCTACAGCACTAGTCTAACATTTATGACAATAATGGCCATGGCAAACTCAAGAGCAGCTAAAAGCTTGATAACAAAAATGTCAAAAGAAAATGTCCATGACCAATTCTTGAACACTAATCAAACATTGACAACAATAATACCCATGACCAATTTCACTCAAACATTGATGACAATGACCCTCGTGGTTGGATTTAATAACACCAATTAGAAACTAATGACAATAACGGCCTTCATTTGCACCAGTTAGAAACAAAGCGACAATAAGTGTTTGCCACTGATATGGCAATGTCCCCACTGCGAAAGAATGGAATATCTATAACATATTTACTACTTTTTATTTTTTGGTCACATACAAGATGCCTGAAATGACTGGTGTCTGCATAATCACCCAATGTAGGCTGTTGACATAATTGAAAATAAGTTTGAAAAGTGGTCAAAGTGTCAGGGTGACCTTGAAGATAAGGTCAAGGTGACCCAAATCAACTGGTGTCTGCGTAATCCCCAAATTTGAAGACCGTGTTAGTGTGGGACAATAACAGCCTTCAATAGCACCAATAAAAACTAATTACAATAACGGAATTCAATAGCACCAATAAGAAACTAATAACAATAACGGCCTTCAACAGCACCAATTAGAAACTAATGACAATAACGGCCTTCAATAGCACCAATTAGAAACTAATGACAATAGCAGCCTTAAACGATTCTAGAACCCTGAACAAACACTGACACCCCTCACAGATTTCAGAGTACTATTCAAACATTAGTGATGACCCCTATGGCTTTATTTTACAGTACAAACAAGCATTGTCAATAAGGTGACATAATCCCCCCCAGCAAATTATCAAATCAAACTTAAAAAGTAATGAAAGTTTAAGATGAAGTTAAATGTCAACAAAAACATGACGAGTCAACCTCTCTTAATATCTTGCTCTTTAGTTGTTCAAACACACAAATACTTTCAAGACTGACTTTGACATGAATGTCATAGTGTATGAAATATGCAAAAATGGTACTAAAGAAAATGCTTACTGAAAAATATTCAAGGGAAGTCTTGAAAGTCTATGAAGAAAATCCAGTGAATACAGGTTAACATGCTGAAATCTTCAAAGTGTCTTCGTGACCTTGAAAATTAAGTGAAGGTCACCAAAATCGACTGGGCCTTCCACTTTTCCTAGATGAAGCTTGGTGTCACATATGAAGAAGGTCCAGTGAATGGTTCTTGAGATATCTCGCTGACCATCTTAACATGCAGATTAATACAATGTAATCTTCAAAGTGTCACTGTGACCTTGAAAATTAAGTGAAGGTCACCAAAATCAACTGGGCCCTGCACCTTCCCTTGATGAAGCTTGGTGTCAAATTATATGAAGAAAATCCAGAGAATGGTTCTTGAGGTATCTCGCTGACAAGCATAACATGTAGGTTAATATGCTGAAATCTTCAAAGTGTCACCATGACCTTGAAAATTAAGTGAAGGTCACCAAAATCAACTGGGCCCTGCACCTTCCCTAGATAAAGCTTGGTGTTGAATATGAAGAAAACCTAGTGAACGGTTCTTGAGATATCTTGCTGACAAGGGTAAAACGTTAAAGTCCCCTTGTGACCTTGAAATTAAGGTCAAGGTCAAGGTCACAAAACCTGACTGGGACCTTTCTTACACTGTGATGAACCTAGGTACCAAATATGAAAAGAATCTAGTCAACAGTTCTTAAGATATTCCAATTCGTACGGACAGACAGATAAAGCCTAATACTATATCCCCCGCTAAGCGCGCTGCGGGGGATAATCAAGCGATAACAACAGTAACTCCCAAACCATATTCTCTTTTTTTCTTTTACAAGCTACACTTCAACAACCATTCAAAAATATCATCATTAATGTCAGTTTCCTTACAGATGTAATCCCTTGACACTCATTTTTCAAAATTGATTTCACTCCCGCCACCCAAACCTCGCAGAATCAGAAAACAATTCCCTAAAACAAAAACATGTAAAAGTTCTATTATCAACAAGAGCTGACTTGGGGTTTAACACTGTGTTGAAGATTATGGCACGTTTACAGCGACAAGCATGCGTGAGTGAGTGCGACTGCTTGTACTGACTGGTTTATGCTGGTTTTATAGGGCCAGCACACTGAGATACCAGGAGCCCTCCACTCAGACAAAATATACTGACACAGAACAGATCAGCCCTCGTCTCATCTGTTTAATGCTGAGTGCACTTCCCTGTGTTCCTTCTCGCCAGGCACTAAACCACAGAGTCAAGAAAAAATCTGGACCTTTGTAACCCATGACGTGCATGAAACAATTTGTAACTCAAACGCCCACTGCATGCATTTAGTACTGATGAATATCTCGATTTGAACTGATATCTTTTTTGTACAAATTAAATATCTTCTAAATTGAATGACATCAATTATTTTGAACATATCCTGGAAAAGTGTCCGAATTTGAGCTCTGAAATATAGAAATTCTGAATAACATTATGCTCTACAAAACCAATTGGATATGAGTGGAAGTACTCCATCCAAGCATTTAATCAAACAGACGACATGGTTGGAAAATTGAATTTTATCATAAAAATCCATTTCAAAATGACAATGTGTATAAAATCCTCCAAGATCATAAAGCACTTTTGCTGCGCAGCGCTTACAAATATGTCTGTCTGCCAAAATAGGAATCTGGCATTTAACAAGAAAGTTTCTGAGGTTTTTTCAGTTGCAGACATAAACTGATTGATCTAACTGCGTGAAGTCTCTCTTAAGCAGAAAAAACATGCTGAAAATATGCACTGCAGATTGGCTAATCAATCTCTCCTTCAATACATCATGTTTCTTTTAGCGGTTGCTCATTTTCATAAGATAATCTCACTTAGGCTTGAGAAGTGATATTGTTTGGAACTGAATACGCTTCGGCTTACTCCCAGCCGTCGTACTTGAGCCAGAGACGGGTTTCACAGAAAGTCCAGACCCATTTTCAGGACACTTCATTTCAGTGCTCATTGGTTTTACGGATATATTGCTACTTGTGGAGGGAGCTTCGTCTTTAGTCTTCTTGTTGCTAGTATCGGTCTCGGCTTTTTCTGAGCCTCACCACTTTTGCTTGTATCACTGCAGTGAGACTTGTCTGAGCCAGACGCATCGTTTGTCGTCTCGTCCAGAATGAGAATAAGGTCCTCGCTTCCAGTGTCTACTTCCATGGCAGCTTCGTCTGGTGAAGATTTCTGGGCAAAATGAAAACACTGTCCATCACAGAATGCACATTACAAACATAAAACCCCACAAGGCTTGGTCACTGATGAATAAGACAACAATTTTATGACGACCATTGCTGAGATGACAGTCACAAAAGTTTAAGTTCATAAGGGAATGTTGAATGTACTGACACTGGATGGGTGAGAGAGTGAGTTTAGTTTTATGCCGCTTATAGCAGTGTATGAAATAAGGCCCGTCAGACAGCCCAACACAGGCTAGATTTCTGACGGATGGTCTGAATTTACAGCTAGCCAGTAATTTTTTTAGATGTTCCATACATCTCAGTAAATTAACCATATATTATTTTATTATTATTATTATAGAATATTATACAGGCAACTAGTGCTTAGTGCTGGCTGGTATTCTTCCCTCGATCATTGGATGTTAATCTCAACGGCACATCGTTTTTTCAATCTCAACTCCCTGGGGAGTATACAACTCTTGCAGCCACTAGGCGCACCAAGTTATTGTGGCTTTCTCATCCTAACGAGGTACCCATGCACAGCGGGGTGGACTGGGACACATATTCACAGTAGTTTATCCAAGTTTACTGCACGTTGCTGTACCCGCAACTAGGTGTTTGCACGTATTCATGTGGCCACCATCTGGTCATATACCAACGGATTCGTGGGTTCTTTTAAGTGCACAGGGTTGTGTACTGTACACTAGGGGTTGTGACAACACTGAAAGAGTCTGCACACAAAGTTGACTCCAAGGTTTTTACACCCGGTCACAGGTGGGCTCGATCCCGACACCTCAACCTCGCTGGATCACTAGCCTGGCGCCTTAGCCAGCTTGCCCAGCTTGGTGTCTGGTCTGGTTAAATCCATTTCAACATGTTACCACCCCTGATGTCTGGCTGTTTTTTTGGCTTATTTTATACACTGCTTATAGCAATATTGCAGTAATTCTTTGACATTCCCTGTTTTCAAGTACTTTTTATCATTCAATGACAATGTACAAATCAAGAAGTGCAATAACCGTTGAAACTGCAGAACTCATTTCATGCACTATCACAGAATACTTCAAAACATTTGGCAGTGATTTTTCTTCCACCTTTTACTGTACTTGCCCATTAATGGTAATTTCCTTCAAACACACTACAGACTAAATGGATTTCAACACATTTCAAGAATCTTCACCTTCATACCTAACAATAAACCCTTTTCATTGTGTAAATCCTATAATACTAATATATAGAGGATATTATATGAGTGCCCATGTCATACTATGTTTCACGACATGAGTGCCTAAATGTTGGTATTTCCTGAGCGAGGCGAGGGATTTACCAATATTTAGGCAACGAGTGTAATATAATATTCTGTTTATTATCGGAAGTCGTCAAATTGAGGAAAATACATCCAAATCTACTTTCAAACATAGGCTGGCTACCTGCCTTGCCGCATGTACAACGCAACATCACAGAAGAAACGTGACATCAATGCATTGCTCATGATGTCACGCCACCATGAAAAGTCATATTTTGCCCCAGGGCATCATTATGAAAAATATGAACCCCGATATTTTAAGCCCCGTAGGTAATAAACTAATATTCTAAACTCTTAAAATCTGTAGAACATTATGGTAATAAACAGACAATGCAAGATATCATCACTACTGGAACAAAAGTCTGTAAAAGCTTTCTCAGTGTTTGTAATATCGGCTTTAGATCAATCTATCGTTGTTATTGCCCATATGCTACCAAAGACAAAAATGAAGGGAGCCTTGATCTAAATACTATTTTAGCAAATCTCAAGTAAGACTTGTGATGATATAGTGAAAACAATGTCAGATATGGTGGACAGATGAGGCGAGTTTAGTTTTATGCTGGTATTAGCAATATAACACAGTGGGGGACAACAGAAATGGGCTTCACACATCGCTACCACGCGGGGAATCAAACCCAGGTTTTTGGCCGAACACTTTAACCACTAGCCTACCCACCAATCCCGTGAATAGATGATAGTGCCTAAATGAAACAATCATTATCATCTTCACAAAATGCTAACTAAACACTGTGATATTCCTTACCCTTTTATAAATCTGATGTTGATCAGGGAAGCATAACTGAATTTTTTTTTTCAAATTCAAAACATTTTTTAAACTATGGAAAGAAAACACTTACATGATTGCTTTCACGATCTGTTAGAAATTTTCAAATCACCCCATCCATCTTCTACATTTGTAGTGAGTGAGTGAGTATGGTTTCGCCGCTTTAGCAATATTCCAGCAATATTATGACGGGAGACACCAGATATTGGCTTCACCATGTACCCATGTGGGGAATCAAATCCGGGTCTTCAGCGTGACGAGTGAACGCTTTAACCACTAGGCTACCCCACCACCTTAAAACCCTTGTAGCCTGTGAAACATATGTTTTACTGATTGTGTCTTGTTTCTCTAAAAACGTTCAGAATCTATTACGATCTGCCTGATATGTCCATACCAATTTAATTGGGCTGGTGGAGGGTGGGGCCATCTTCACTGCTGTCCCGCTCCGCACATGAGATTCTGACTTTAGGTCGATGCTTGGAGCATCTGATGAAGATTCGGAGTCCTTCGCATCTGCCTGTTTCTCCTCGGGTACGTAGGGGACGCCAAGCTCTCCCTCCTCAAATGTCACCAATGTGCAGAAGCCATCAGACGAGGATGCCACCAGTATCTGACCGTTGCTGGACCTGCAGAGGAAAGCCGTGTCAAACGGAGATAAACATAATGTGCTTTTGTTGAGCTGCCGCCTTTAACTTAGTTACCGACAACAAACATTGGGTTTTGTTGCTTCCAAGCTGCTCTGAACAATTTTCCAGTTATTATTATTTTACTATTATTATAGGATATTTATATAGCGCATATATCCACGACTAGTGCATGCTCAAAGGCTGGTATTTTTTCCTCGATCATTGGATGTCAATCTCAACGGCACATCGCATTATCAATCTCAACTCCCTGGGGAGTATACAACTCTTGCAGCCACTAGGCGCACCGAGTTATTATGGCTTTCTCATCCTAACGAGGTACTCATTCACAGCTGGGTGGAATGGGACACATAGTCACAGTACTTTGTCCATGTTCACTGCACGTTGCTGTACCCGCAACTAGGTGTTTGCACGCGTATTCATGTGGCCACCATCTGGTCAAATACCAGCGGATTCGTGGGTTCTTTTAAGTGCACAGGGTTGTGTACTGTACACTAAAGGGTTGTGACAACACTGAAAGAGTCTGCACACAAAGTTGACTCCAAGGTTTTTTACACCCGGTCACAGGTGGGCTCGATCCGACACCTCAACCTTGCTGGATCATTAGCCTGGCACCTTAGCCAGCTTCGCCCACAGCGCCCACAAGTTAATGTTTTGGTCAGTAAATAATCAGTTCTTGACTAGACAATCCAGTGATTGACATCATGAGCTTCGAACTATGCATTGTATTGGGATACAATGACATTCATCAAGTCAGTCAAGTCCTGTCGGCGAGCGTGACCACCTGATCCCATAAGTCGCCTCTTGCAACAGCATGGGTTGCTGAAGATCGATTCTAAACTGGATGTTCACATTGGCAAATGACTGGCAAGTACTGGCTTCCTAACGCCAGTGTTTCGGGCAACACTGAATACCTCCTCCCAGAAACTCAAAAATAATTTGCTAGATTCTAAGACCATGAGGACCTACAGACTTCAGGGTCCCAATCCACAAAGCATTTGTAACGTTACGACATGTCGTAGTGAGTGAGTAAGCGGAGTTTTACGCCACACTCAGCAATATTCCAGCTATATGGCGGTGGGCTGTAAATAATCAAGTCTGGACCAGACAATCAAGTGATCAACAGTATGAGCATCGATCTGCGCAGTTGGGAACCGATGACAATGACATGTCGTAACTCTATGGTTTATCACAGGCTTACGAATGTCGTAGCACTACGAACGCTATAGTTTATCATAGGCTTATGAATGTCGAAGCACTATGAACGCTATAGTTTATCATAGGCCTACGAATGTCGTAGCACTATGAACGCTATAGTTTATCATAGGCTTACGAATGTCGTAGCACAATGAACGCTATAGTTTATCATAGGCTTACGAATGTCGTAGCACAATGAACGCTATAGTTTATCATAGGCTTACGAATGTCGTAGCACTATGAACGCTATAGTTTATCATAGGCTTACGAATGTCAGTAGCACTATGAACGCTATAGTTTATCACAGGCTTACGAATGTCGTAGCACTATGAACGCTATAGTTTATCACAGGCTTACGAATGTCGTAGCACTATGAACGTTTTATGGATTGGGGACCCAGGAGCTGCAGATCCTGACTGAACTTTTCTGGCCCTCATTAAACAAATTCAGGTAATTCTGACAAATAAAGACATTTACCTTTACAGCAAGCCATTAGAACCCATGCAACTACGTGCCTGACACAAGACTGACCTGCCACGGCACACAGGTTGGCACTGAATTCAACAACTGTTTCTAAGTCCTTTTCAAAACAATAATCACACATTGTACAGCTCAAAGTGAGACTCAAGTGAGCTTTCAAACATGTATTAAGTCCACACAACAGAGTCTCATATAGTTTGTTGTTTGAGTTACGGGTTAGTCCTGTGCTACATGACAAATTTAAAGACGAAAAACATTGCAGCTTATTTCTTCATTAACAGTTGAGTAAATAATGGCTGCCAGATTCATCTTTTTGTGGCAATTTATCAAGTGTTAAGGCCTTTTCAACGCCGGACTGCCATACTCAGGACGTTTCAAGCATGTCATCAAGTGAATGTGTGGATAATGTCAAGAAATTCTGATATTTACTGCAAATAATCAATTCTTGAACTGGCAAACCGTTGAGCAATTAACCTTGCATGATGACACGGACGGAGCCTGAGCCTGGCTACCCAGTCCAGATGAGTCATCCCTTACAACCAGTATTGTGTGCTAGAGACCTATTACCACACACGTCCCGATGGGATACTATTTCCTGGTGGTTGTTAAGGCGGCACTCAGCAGTATTTCAGCTTCATGATAGCAGTCTGTACATAATCAAGTCTGGACCAGACAATCCAGTGACTGACATCATGAGCATCGCTCCACGTCACCAGGCTACGATGACCCACATTCATCCAAATCCTGAATCCATGAACCAACTCTGAAGAAACTGAACCACCAATCCCTTTATGGACTCTTATTTCCAGACCCGTGAAGATCTGGGTCAGAATTAATGTTCAGTTACCCATGCTTGTCGTAAGAGGCGGTCAGGCGCGCTGACATGGTTGACACATGTATCCAACTTGGGTAGATAGATGCTCATGCTGTTGATCACTGGATTGTCTGGTCCAGACTTGATTATTTGAGTGCAGCCAAAAACTCACTCACTCATATTTCCATCAGATTTTGCTGGTAGTCAATGATCTAGACATCTGTATCGGCATCCTGGTTTATTTACACAGCTCAGGATGACGTTTGTTTCCAGTTCCAAAGTACATAAACACTGAGACATGTGAACGATGGTTCTATGTTGAATTCGCAAAAGTTCAGTTTCAAAGCTTTTCATTTCAAACACTGATGTTTCCTGGAAATTTTCTTTCCTTAGACAAGTGTGAATTAGGTTTTCAATGCTTACAGCAATATTTTCTAGCTGCCTCAGATGGCCCCATGCAACACATCGTCAGGGACGTCAGACAGGCGGCACCACATGTGCCTGTAGCATGGACGTATATCATCACCGGCAGAGGTTGGCTCCAACTTACATACAGGTATCACCTTCATACACAGGTAGAAAATGTTGAGATTCTAATTTGGAAGATGCTTAGATGGTGTTGAGGGAAAACAAATGGTTAGACTGTTTTAAACTACAACAATTTTTAACTGACATCCCAATACTGTGATTCATTTAACGGGTCTATCCTCATTCATTAATAATAGTTTCCACATCATATCTTGGGTCGACAATTGCAAACACTTGTTCAGGACAGGGGCGGTGGGGTAGCCTAGTGGTTAAAGCGTCCGCTCATCACACCGAAGACCCGGGTTAGATTCCCCACATGGGTAAAATGTGTGAAGCCCATTTCTGGTGTCCCCACCGTGATATTGCTGGAATATTGCTTAAAAACAGTGTAAAACCATACTCACTCACTCACTCTTTCAAGGATGCCTTTTCTTACAGGAACTTCCATCTTCCATACAAATGTCACCCTCATACAGAGGTAGGTATTTCTAGGAGACGGATTTGGAAGACATTTTGATTTTATTTGTTTGTTTGTTGTTTAATGTCACACTCAGCAATATTCCAGCTATATGGCGGAGGTCTGTAAATAATCAAGTCTGGACCAGATAATCCAGTGATCAACAGCATGAGCATTGATAACACGTGTCAACCAAGTCAGTGAGCCTGACCACCCGATCCCGTTAGTCGCCTCTTACATCAGGAGCATTGATCTACACTATTGGGATACGATGACATCTACTAGCCAAGTGCAGGAATGACTACTCAAAGTGACGTCTGCCTCAGATGGCCCCATGCAACACATCGTCATTGACGTCAGACGGCGGCACCACATGTGCCTATAGCATGGACGTATCATCACTGACAGGAGTGTACCCGAAACAGGAGACAAGATGGGAGTCAAGTCCTGCTGATCTATTGACATTCTTGACACCAGGAAACTAATATCTCAATTCGGGACATGGAGACCATTGACCTTGAGGAGAACATTGACCTTGAAGAAAACAGACCAAACACTCAAACATGACAAAGTTTCTGAAAGTTCTTTTCAAGAGGAAGCCTTCTGGGTGTTTTTACAAAGAACATATTTATAGGTTTTTATACTCTTTGAACATTCTTCTGGTGACAGTAATTAAAACATCTACCTGAAGAACATTTCATCACAGTATTTTTTGTGTTAAAGCTGAGCTCAGAACTCTTCAGCTTTGAATTTTCCCCTCATTTTGGTCAAAAACAATTCCAATTTGCCAGAAATGAAGGTCCCTGGGAACATGAAGAACATATTCTTCTGACTTTTACAGTCATTAGCTTAACTAGTAGCAACTTGGGGCGGCTGGGTAGCCTAGTGGTTAAAGCGTTGGCTCGTCACGCCAAAGACCCGGGTTCGAATCCCCACATGGGTACAATGTGTGAAGCCCATTTCTGGTGTCCCCTGCCGTGATGTTGCTGGAATATTGCTAAAAGCTCAGTCAGTCAGTCAGTCAGTCGCAACTTACTTGGATAGTTTTCATTTGTCCAATTTTAAGAAGATGGCAACGAGTATAACTGATGGAAATATGTTGGGGATTATTCAAGATCTAAGGATAGTATATATTTAATTGCATCCTATTGTATTCAAGGAAAAGGAACGCTGATTTGAGTGTTGTTTTAGGCCCCTATTCGCAATGTTCTATCCCTATCACGAAGTGGGACACCAGAAATAGGCTCAAATTATTGGAAAGACCCATGTTGATAATTGAACTCAGAATTAAGCATTACCAGGAAACACTTTACCTACAGTGCTACAGTGCTACTTCACCACCTCAACTACCTATGAAGGGAATTGACTCCCAACCTTCAGGCTGATAGGCCAACACACTAACCACTAGGCTAACAGAACAGTATAATACTTAATGGATAACACTAGGCTAACCCATCACATAATGGAGAATGATGTACTCCATATATCTGCAACTGTACACTCCATCGCATGTAAAGGATGCTGAATTACAATTCTGTCAATGTTGGCTATTTCATAGTGCCTTGTAAACAATCAAGTCTCCACCAAGCAAATCCATTCACAAGCAGTGGTCTACCCCTCTGAGGTGTCTTCAAACACAACTATGTGCAGTGTTAATTATCTCATTAACAAACCACAAATCGGCCAACTGCTTCAAAATAAGGAAAGGTTGCCATTGTCAACTTGGGTTTGCAAACAACACAAAGGCACCATTAAGCAAACTTAGAAACAAATCCAGATGCACAAGTTTTGGAAACAGCCTGTCAACAATAGGATGGATGGATGGATGGATGGATGGATGGATGGATGGATGGATAGATGGATAGATGGATGGATGGATAGATGGGTGGATGGATGGATTTATGGATAGATGGGTGGATGGATGGATTTATTGGATAGATGGGTGGATGGATGGATGGATGGATTTATGGATAGATGGGTGGATGGATGGATGGATTTATGGATAGATGGGTGGATGGATGGATGGATGGATAGATGGGTGGATGGATGGATGATGGATGGATGGATGGATATAGATGGATGGATGGATGGATGGATTTATGGATGGATGGATTTATGGATAGATGGGTGGATGGATGGATGGATAGATGGATTGATTTATGGATAGATGGGTGGATGGATGGATTTATGGATAGATGGGTGGATGGATAGATGGATGGATAGATGGATTTATGGATAGATGGGTGGATGGATGGATAGATGGGTGGATGGATGGATGGATAGATGGGTGGATGGATGGATTTATGGATAGATGGGTGGATGGATGGATTTATGGATAGATGGGTGGATGGATGGATTTATGGATAGATGGGTGGATGGATGGATTTATGGATAGATGGGTGGGTGGATACATGGATGGATTGTTGGTTGCATGGATGGATGGACAGATGGTTGGATGGATGGCATATAAACATAAATACCAAGTCCCTTGTTTCAAGTGTGTTGATAACAATAATAAAGCTGTATGACCATTCAACCCTCGGTCACTTCCCTCTGACAAACATTGGTATCAGGGATATTTTTGTTCCATAAACCTACTCTGGAGTTCACAATAAGTGCAAATCTGAGGTACCATCCCTCCTCACTATGAACACTGCGTCAAGGGAATGAAAGGCGAATATTTTTTGTATTTCTTGGTTTAAAGAATTTGTTTTGGGCAAAGGGCATTCTGGTCAGTTGGCGGGAAACAAAGGAATAATTAAATGAAACAGGTGGTTCCTTTCTTTGTTTCTCACCATGCCTGCAGAAAAAAATCAAGATTCCTTTGTCGCTTAACCTTCAGGAACCTAGTTTTTGCAGTAGCATGAACAGTAAGCATATTTTTTTCTAGCTGTTACATCAATGAACGCACGCAGCAGACATAAACATATTTAAGATGGTTTTTTTAAAGTTTGGGAATCCATGCCATTTTAAAAAAAACCAATCCAACCTTGTCCAAGCACAATCTGAATAGAAGATATCGTGAGGAAGAACAGAAAAAGGGGATGAATGATCTGTCTCACCTACAACAAAAAAGTGTCGTGCTGTTGGGTGACAGAGAAGCAACGACAAAAACTTCCAATATGGAGGCTGCGGATACTTGAGGTAAACAAGAACATAATTGTAAAAAGTACACCCCATGACAAAAAGCATGAGTGTGGCAGACTCACTGTCTTCTTCAGTACTAATGTATCATTTTCTACACTGAATCACTCCAACCTCTAAAATCTGTAACTTGATCGGCTAAAACACTGCCTTTGTTAATTCATTTACAATATGTGATGGACAAAAAGCATTATTTTTCATAAAAATATGATGCTATTGGCTGGTTCATCATCATATGATCAATTTCATGGCGGGAAAACCAGAAAAAGTAGTCACATCTTGTACCAAAGTAACGAACCAAGTTTGTGTCCTTGGCGTGATGGGTAAACCTCTTAACCACTTATCTACACCAGTACATCAAATACCATGACATTTCGTGAAGATCAATTATTAAATCAAACGATGCTTTTTTGTTCAAATCTGAAATCAATTTCACCTTATATCACTGGTTAGAATGAGCATCGTACCAAAAGCCCTAAATCTGTGGTTGACATCTATGAGCGAAGTGAAGCAAGCGATCGAAAAGGAATACTCACCATGTTATGTCTGTCATCTGGAGGTAGTGAGTGTTGCTGATGTAGGCGATGGGGGTCGTCTGCTGGGTGTCGTACAACAACACCGCATCTTCAGACACAACAGCGAACACAACTCGGTATGGTAAACTGGAACATAATACAGCAATTGATGCAGATAGACTCCTGAATGATTCAATGAACTCCTGAATGATTCAATGAACTCCTGAATGATTTCAACAGATTCCTGAATGATTCAATGAACTCCATGATTCAATGAACTCCTGAATAATTTTAAGATTCCTGAATAATTTCAACAGACTCCTTAATGATTCAATGAACTCCTGAATAATTTTAACAGATTCCTGAATAATTTCAACAGATTCCTGAATGATTCAATGAACTCCTGAATGATTCAATGAACTCCTGAATGATTTCAACAGATTCCTGAATGATTTCAACAGATTCCTGAATAATTTCAACAGTCCTGAATGATTTCAACAGATTCCTGAATGATTTTAACAGATTCCTTAATGATTTCAACAGATTCCTTAATAATTTCAACAGTCCTGAATGATTTCAACAGATTCCTGAATGATTTTAACAGATTCCTGAATAATTTCAACAGATTCAAATGATTCAATGAACTCCTGAATGATGTAGTGAACTCACAAAAGAGTCAGCAAATTCTGACTGAAAGTTCAAGAGACTCCCAAAGGATTCCAAAACTTCGTGAACGATTCAACACATTCCAGAATGATTCATGAGACATCAGAAAGTTCAAGAGACACCAGAAGTATTAAAAAACTTCATGAATGAATAAAAAAAAACCTGAATGATTCAACAGAGACCTGAATGGTACAACACACACCTTCAAGTTCTATTTCAAAAGAATGAAAAGTGTAGTTATGAACTTTAGAAATAAAATTTTCAGTCGACTGTTTTATCAAGTCTGTTTATTACCTTGCTGGGAACCAGTTGTCACCATCTGTGTCAGTGTTTATGTGAAATACCTGGACCTATGTTGACAGCTTGTAATACTGTTATGTTAACATCTTGCCATCCTTACTACCGTGCTATCCGTGAAGATCAGGTTAAGAATCGGTCTTCAGTAACCCATGCTTGTCATAAAAGTGACTAACAGGATCTGGGCCCACTTGCACAGAGCGATCTTAGCTACAATTATTGTAAATCCTGAAGATGCGATCTTTGGCCCGGCTTCTAATCGCCATCCACTTGCACAATGCAATTTGTAGGCTAAGATCATTTTAAGTTACAATCAAAATGTACAATCGGTCTGGACCAATTGTAAGGAGCTAAGATCATTGTAGCCTGTGATAAAATGGCGTTCAAGTTAGTAAGGTATCTGTTTCCATAAAATAATCAGCTTTACCCTTGGAGATTGCAATTATATTGCATAAAACTGTGTGGTTCGCCTCGACACTTCAACAACCAGGAGAATGCATACAACCAATTTAACGTCGGATACATTGTTATTTTCTGTAGTGAACCACATAACCATCGGTCGATATCACATAGTACTACTCAATCCGATTCAATCTTGGAATAAGTGTGAAACAACATACCTTTTGATAATCAAGGAAAGGATAAAGCAGCGAACAGTGTCTGCGTAAGCGATTAACAATGGCGAGACCTTTTCATTAACTCAAGAGCAGATAATTTCAGTTTATACACAAGATGGGAGTGGCTTCCCTTGGCATATACTGTTGCCGTCAGAGAGTCTGTCATGCCCAACTGCAGAGCTCAACATACTTATATTTCTTTTCGGTCATGGAGTGATTTTGTCTTAGTTTATCATTAAAGTAATCTACAATTAGATAAAGTTAGCGTGCAAAATCAAGTTTCTTTCTCATCCATAAATCTAAATTTGATAATGCATTTTAAATATATACAAGTATTCATCAAATAGGGATATACACATGCTGAGACATTACAATTGTATGTTTCAAAATAATTTCACTTTTAGAAAAATATTTATCAATGCAATAGGGTTATATCATTAATATGCTGTGAATAAGTATTTAACAACTGCTCTCTCGAAATATTATTTAATATCCTTATTTCCATGCCATGCATTCTTTAAAACACTTCTGTAGCCATTTTCCTATTTCCTACATACATACACACACACACCACAAAAATATCTCCCAAACAGGTTTAAGAAATTCCTACCTTCCACCGTTGAAGAGTTCGATCTTAGCTAAGATCGCGATCTTAAATAAATGCCCGTCTTACAATGGCTCTAAGATCGTCTTTGTGCAAGTGGATTAGCGTAATTGTATGGCGATTGTAAAACTGATTGTAGGGGCCTAAGATTGATTGTAACTAAGATTGTTCTGTGCAAGTGGGCCCTGGTGTGGTCAGACTCAATGACTTGGTTGACACATGTCAGTGCATCTCAGTTCGCGAGGATCGATGCTCATTAGGGGTGGGTATTGCAGAGAATGTTCATATTCGCGATATATTGCGATGCGGAAGCATATATTGAGATATGTATTGCAATATATTGCAAGGATTATTTTTTAACAAAACTACTTAGTATCGAAGTTAATGCTTGATTATAAGCAAACACACAACAAAATCACTATGATTGATTAACCGTTTATAAAAACTTTTAATCATGACACAATAAAAATCTAATTAACATTTGGCACTAATGAAACAGGGAAAAGAACAATTAAAAAGCGAAACATCCGAAGATTTCCGAGTGTTATGAAGTTTTCGAATGCATGTCAAAATACCGTTTTCGATCAGCGTGTCGCAATGCGTATTGTTTTCATGTCTGAACCGGTAAATACCTGTAAACCAGTTGTATTGTGCAGACCTAATGCTCATGCTGTTGATCACTGGATTGTGTGGTCCAGACTCTATTATTTACAGACCTTCTCCATATAGCTGGAATATTGCTGAGTGTTTGCGTAACCAACCAACCAACCAACCAACCAACCAACCAACCAACTTTGCTTTTGGTCAGAATGTCATTTCTTTGGAAAAGCAGATCCTCTGGATAAAGCTTAACATAATCACCTCATATATTCTACACTGGCGTTTATCTGTTAGAAACAAATACATAAAATGTTCATCTATATTTCATTCGTGCAGGTTCAAAAGATGGGTGGAGGGTAGCCTGGTGGTTAAAGCGTTAAGCTTGTCACACCCGAAGACCCAGGTTCAATTCCCCACATGGGTACAATGTGTCAGGGCTGGAAATAACTTTAAAATTGCTAGTGTACTCCGGTACAGTGGCACAAGTAAAAATCACTTGCCCTCATCATTTTTCCACTATACTGGCCGATTTTGTTGTTGATTTTTTAAAATAAACAACATAATTAACATAGGAAAGTCAACTGGACACGGTACAGTGTGATATACAAATATGCCTGTAACACTGGACTCGGGCATCAGGCAATGGGTTATTTCAACCCCTGTGTGTGAAGCCCATTTCAGGTGTACCCCACTGTGATATTGTTGAAATATTGTTCACTCAAAAGCGGTGTAAAACCAAACTCACTCCGCTCACTCATTGATTTGTTGCAGATGTTGATGAGGTGTCCGAGATAGAATAGATCTTTGCAACTCTGGTTCCGAGCCTCGGGAGAACAGGACTGACGAATGCAGATGTTGATGAGTGTTAAACTGCAATGGTCACATGGACAGTGTCACCTTAAATGGCGCTTAGAGGGAGGCAGCTGACAAGGTTATCGGTATTGCTTTGGAATATTAACAAACGGGTGGAAATAACTTTAAAATTGCTAGTGTACTCCGGTACAGTGTCACATGTAAAATCACTTGCCCTGATAATTTTTCCTCTATACCGGCCGATTTTCTTGTTGATTTTAAATAAACAACATAATTAACATTGGAAAGTCAACTGGACACCGGTACAGAGTGATATACAAATTTGCTTGCCCGACAGAAAAAACACTGGACTCGGACTAGCAACGGCAATGGGTTAATTCCACCCCTGACAAAACTCAGTGTTTGCCCTTGGTATAAAAATTTATGAGTCATCATGACTCCTTGTGTCATGAGAGGGAGTCATGGACATGTTTTGGGAGTCAGATACACAAGTTTTCAAGGCCATGGCAACTCGGAAAACTTCCCATTAGGGCTCCAACGAATCCCCTATGAGGCAAACATGATACATATCACTTAATACTGGGTAACAAATACAAATATTAACTAACAAATACAATAACAAGTCACAGTTGAAGTATTATTCTGTATATTCAGCTAAACAACAAAATAAATTTTCTGATACATTTTGACCATGTTCACATTGTTAATTTATGACCATTACTGTCAAATGTAATTCATGAGAGTGCTGATAATTATGCTTCCTGACTTGGATTTATTCCATTTTGCATATCTCACTTTGAAAAATAACAAACTCAAGTAAAAACACTTAAAAATTTTCATGAATATTCAACTCTTGTGATCACAAAGAATGAACTGAATTAATGAAGGTATACGGTTCAATTCACCAGTGACACAAGAGCATTGTAACATCAATAATTATCTGTTTTCTGTTACTGTTTTTCAGTACATGTATTTCATTTCTGTACGTGAACAAAAACAAATAGGTTTTGTCAGAAATGTAACAGGAAATTATTTCAATCCATGGATTTCTATATACTGTATACAGACCCATTGAAGATCCGGGTTAGAATTGGTCTTCAGGAACCCACGCTTGTCGTAAGAGGCGATTAACGGGATCGGGTGGTCAGGCTAGCTGACTTGGTTGACACATGTCATATCCCAATTGCGTAGATCAATGCTCATGCTGTTGATCACTGGATTGTGTGATCCAGATTTGATTTTTTAGACGGTCCAGATTTGATTATTCCGCCACACAGCCGGAATATTGCTGGGTGCCATGTTTAACAAACAAACCAAACCTAAATATACAGAGTGTTGCGCTCAACTTCTGTCCATGTATACCGTAATAGTTCTCCAGTGCAAATGAACTCATCACCTTATGTAGGTCTTCCTGGAGCTTTATTAGATCCCAGCTTCAAATAAACATGACAATTGCACAAAAAGTGTGTCTAATATTTCTTTTTTTCCAAAACTGCACCATTTCAGTTTCAAAGATTTAATTCAAGTATATTTTGAAAGGATTTTGAAGGACTTCTTCATGAGTTTCAAGTTCATTTCCAGGTCGAAAGATATAATTAACAAATGCAAGATGTTCTCTTGCGCCCTCTTATGAAATTCATGAGGTTTTTAAAGCTTTGTAAAGGTTGTTGAGGAAAGCACAGCAGAACAACTTATAAACATATTCCGGTAATTGGTGCAAAGTGTAGTACCTTCATTTCCTTCCTTGATCATACTTTACATCAAGTGTATGACACAAAGTTGAAATAGCACCACAACAGTGCTCATATTAATCTTGACAGACACCTTTGACGAAGAAATATGCATGATGATACAAGTAGCCTTGGCAGACACTTGGAACAAGTGTTATTTTGTCTTAATTTGCATTTTAAAAGAAGCAAGTTTATTTTCTCATCTCATAAATTTGGAGATTTTGTTCTTCTTCAATCTAATAACTTAATTAGGTGTGAATTGTAACTATGTCACATATTTACAGCTGTCTTTTGAGTGAGTGAGTGAGTGAGTTTACTTTTACGACGCTTTTAGCAATATTTCAGCAATATCACAGCTGGGGACACCAGAAATGTGCTTCACACATTGTACCCATGTGGGGAATCGAACCTGGGTCTTCGGCGTGACAAGCGAACGCTTTAACCACCAGGCTACCCCACCGCCTGTCTTTTGAACCATAAACCAGAAAAGTATAATGCCATCTTTTATAAGTTGTACTGACATGCTTCAGTTAATAGAAAGAATGCATCTCAATAATCTAACCAAGGTGTTTGAATAAGTTAAACTGTGACTACATATTGTACCTTTGTTGTTCCATTTCACATTCGTCAATACTTAAACTTCTACATGACGGTAGCATGTCAATATGGCAAATATTCAAGTCCATGACCAGACAATCCAGTGATTGATATTGTTGGTAATGATCTATACCGTGCAGGTTAGATGACATTCAAGTCATTGAGTCTGATGGAAGCATTTTGACTTGAGCAGCAGGCTAAGTCCATTTACCTAGTCAGGGGTAGTTTAAAATTGCTAGTGTACTCCGGTACAGTGGCACATGTAAAATCACTTGCCCTGATAATTTTTCCACTATACCGGCCGTTTTCTTATTGATTTTTTAAATAAACAACATTATTAACATTGGAATATCAACTGGACACCGGTACAGTGTGATATACAAATTTGCTTGCCCGACAGAAAAAAAGACTGGACTCGGGCGTCGGGCAATGGGTTATTTCCACCCCTGCACACAGGCAGGGAACATGCAACAGCCAAATCACTGGTCGTAGGTGGTTGGTTGGTTTGTTGAACACTTCACTCAGCAATATTCCAGCTATATGACGGCGGTCTGTAAATAATCGAGTCTGGACCAGACAATCAGTGATCAACAGCATGAGCATCGATCTACGCAAATGGGAAACAATTACATGTGTCAACCAAGTCATCGAACCTGACCACCCGATCCCGTTAGTCGCCTCTTACAACAAGCATGGGTTACTGGAGACCAGTTCTAACCTCCATGTTCACGGGTATCACTGGCCCTGACAACATGATCCCTTCAGTTGTTTCTTACAACCAGCACTGGGTGCTGGGGACCTGTTCTCACACGGATCCCCACACAGGCGATTCTCCAAAAAGACACAAATACAACCTCAACCTGCTTTGCCAGAGAATCCCAAATAGAGAAGAGGATGACTCACCAAAATAACGTTGAATATTTCTCCCATTCTTTTAGGTTGTTGTTTTCTTGGTCTACAACAATACAAAGAATCCTTGGAGTCAAATTAGTGCCAAACGTATCAAACGGTTTTAAAAGGCATAAAAAATATTTCAATAAATTCCAGCATTTTTAAAACGAAATCACCCAAGCAAGACACATAATCAATTCTCTCACACACTAATACTGACAACAGAAGTTCCGTCTCACTCACTCTTTTTATGTCAAACATTTATAGATACAATACAGACGCAAACTATGTCTCTCAGGACACTGATAAATTGACTTCAGGAAAGCAGTGACTTTGATAAATGATATTCTTGTCCAGGAGAGAATTCTTGTAAAAATTACAATCAAGATTTCTTACCCTTTATATTTTTATTGTCAACTTTCCTCAGTTCAAAGAGTTGAGGGCATGGCCTGACTGCAATGGTGGGCTTCTGTGGGCTTTGCAAGTACATGGCAGGCCTGTGAAAGATGATAATATAATTCTTGGTATCGGAAACACAACTGGACATATACCATGACATATTCTACACAGTATTTGCCAGGACCATCCCATAGAAGATGATCATTTTGATCCTTAACAAATATTGAGTAGAATGTATTTAGCAGAGGCAAAAGAGACTAGTGCTACAAGTGTCCCATGTCCATTGGTTGGTTGGTTGGTTGGTTGGTTTGTTGTTTAACGCTGCACTCAGCAATATTCCAGCTATATGGCGCTTTTCTGTAAATAATCAAGTCTGGACCAGACAATCCAGTCATCAACAGCATGAGCATCGATCTGTGCAAGTGGGATGTGATGGCACGTGTCAACCAAGTCAGCGAATCTGACCACCGATCCCGTTAGTCGCCTCTTACAACAAACATGGGTTGCTGAAGATCAATTCTAACACGGATCTTCACAGATGGCCACTCCAAGTATATGTATGAAACTCAGAGTTACAATCACCTGAAAGCTAAGATTGCTTTGTGGAACAGGACCCAGAGAGTGGTGACATGTTTATGCGTGGATTACTCAGGGATTTACATGGAGCCCTGTATTTGCGGGTCCCTGGGACTCATACTCTTAATTTTCAGGGGTCCTGGGTGCCATTGTACAAAACGACCTTAGCGCTAAGGCTACCTTAGTCTACGTTAAGGAATGGGAGTTACGGTAACCTTATCGCTAAGGCTACCTTAGTCTACGTTAAGGAATGGGAGTTACGGTAACCTTAGCGCTAAGGCTACCTTAGTCTACGTTAAGGAATGGGAGTTACGGTAACCTTAGCGCTAAGGCTAAGGCTACCTTAGTCTACGTTAAGGAATGGGAGTTACGGTAACCTTAGCGCTAAGGCTACCTTAGTCTATGTTAAGGAATGGGAGTTACGGTCACCTTAGCGCTAAGGCTACCTTAGTCTACGTTAAGGAATGGGAGTTACAGTAACCTTAGAGCTAAGATCGCTTCGTACAACGGCACCCGGGACAACAAAATGGGGGTCCCATACACTTAAATATTATTATTAATACTGCTGTTGTATTGTGTATCATGATCATCACATTGTTACAGTAGCTAAATAATACCATAACCCAGCTAGTAGCAAACTCAGTGATAACTTATTGTGACTTGATTGGAATTTTTACAAAAAGTATTTGGACCTCTTCAGGGTCCCTGTGGACACACTAATAAAATTTGGTGCATCCATTGTCAATTTTTATGAGTATAGGACGCAGGAATTCGCATCCTGTAAATCCCTGGATTACTAATAAAACAGCATCCTGAACATATCCTAGAAGCAGCCAATGAATACAGTCCTAACTTTGTGTGTGGGCAAACTACAACTTTATTTTATCACAATAGTTGTGCGGTACTATTGATGGCACAATTTTCATATTGATAATCATTAATAATTTTCCTATAGACGATATTTCCGATTATCGACCATTTTAGCCAGCCCTACAGTCTTATAGATCAGCGTTCCCTACTTTGAAAGACAGTTCCTGGTGAAGATGAATGTGGCGTTTGTGACTTTGTCTCCTTGCTCAACACACCCAGCAGGGGTGATGAGAAACTGGCCGTCCGGAGAGAATGCGAGACGCCGGAAGAAGGAACCCATGGTGTCGTCGTGGTACATCCTGAAAGGCTTCTGTTTCACTTCCGGGTCGGGAGTCGTGGATGGGATGATCATCTTGGAGACGTTATTGACACAGGTCTTGCCTGTCATGCTGAACACTCGCAACGACCTGGTATATTCAAACATACAACTAGAACAATAGTTCCGTTCCAATTTATTGATTTTATAAAAAAATTAATCTTAAATTGGTTTCAATTTCCCATCAACACAAAGAATGATTAGTCATAAAATGATCTATATTGAAAGATTTTACAATTCCCAAAACCTGTTGCAGCTTCTGACAAGGGAATGCTTACGTTAGTGTTGGTTCAATGTTATTCCATACTTATTCTTTTGGCACAGATTCAGTGAAATACCCTGTTATGTTTTATTTTTCCCTATTTCTGTGTTTGAAGAAATATTAACAGATGATAAAGATGATAACAAGCCTCATTAGTTTAAGATGACATACCGGTCAGAGCTAAGTGTGGCAGCAAATTCATTCTGAGGGTCAAGTGCCACACCCTGTACAAAACTTTTGTGGTCATTGAACAAAGCTAGTTTGCTGTCTGAAAAAGTGAAAGAAACAGAGAAAAAATAACATGTGGTTATCATTTTCAGATAATTGATGTAGAAGGTACTTTTTCATTACCATCCCATGACTATTTAAAAAAGACCAACCTGAAATAAAGGTAACATTTGACAGATTAATACAGAAACAAAGAAAGGAAATGGCTGAATTCCTGAGTGAGGGAGTGAGTTTAGTTTTATGCCGCACTCAGCAATATTCCAGCTATATGGACAGCAGTCTGTAAATAATCGAGTCTGGACCAGACAATCCAGTGATCAACAGCATGAGCATTGATCTGTGCAACTGGGAACCGATGACATGTGTCAACCAAGTCAGCGAGCCTGACCACCCGATCCCGTTAGTCGCCTCTTACGACAAGCATGGGTTACTAAAGGTTCATTCTACCCCGGACCTTCACGGGTAAGTGAGTGGAGTGAGTTAGTGAGTGAGTGAGAGAGAGTGTGGATGGGTGAGCGAGAGTTTGCATGCATGGGTGAATGAGAGAATGAGTGACTGAGTGATTGAATGGCAGTGTTGCATCCAGGAATTTGGGATTAAGAGGGACATCCCCCTTAACTGTTACAAAAGAGGGGGACCTGACACCAATTAGGGGGGATCACATATTGACTAAAGACAGGTATTTATTGTAATGCTGATGCCGTCACAGCAATGCTTAACTAATCACATGAGTTTTCTAACCTGGCCTCTGGCTCAACACTTGTGAAATAAACGTCTCTCTTTCTTAGCTTTCCATAGGGAAATTCCTTAGATCTGGGCCCCTCATTTTGGATTTTAGAAGGGGGTTGGCTTATCCACTTTCGTGGAACGTTTTTTTCAGGGGGTAAGAAAACAACATTACTTATCGCTTTGAGTGAACGAAAAAGAGAAGACGTCTATGTCAGTAAAGACAGTAAATTTGCAATTAAACATCACTAGACAAGTTTGTTTACCATTTCAGTTCTAATTTGTTTTTGCTTTGCATTGTATTATATGCAGGGATTAAGATTACCATGTGTATTTGTCTCGTATACAGAGCTGGAAATAGCTTTCAGCTGTGCACACGTCCCCACGATTTACCGGTGATTTTTAAGATGAATTTTGATGCAGTGATCGGAAAAATATAGTATCTGAAACTTATTTTATAAAGAGAAATATATTCTAGCATTGTGTAAGTCTAATTGCAGGTTTTGCTCTATCAATGTAAAATATTTATAATCAAAACTAAGGTTATGTTACAACACTTCGGTTCGCGCTGTTACCACGTTCTGAAGTATACCCTTGGTGTGCCAGGCTATTTTGAGATTGACACGAGGTCGTGATGTTTCCACCAATCATCAAGCTAAAGAAACTAAGAAAGTTGCCGATCTGCTTAATATGCAGCACCTGATTGGCTGAAAACCTATGGACTATACCATACATTAATATATGCAAAACCGAAAATAGATATAGGTCAAGAAACCGCTTTGGGTATTATTCGTGAAAAGAGAAAGAATGATGAAACCGGTTTGGTTTAACAAACGGAAGAGTTTATCAACATGATTCGTGGTCTTGTTTATATATGTTATGCAGGTGCGTGAGTTGACACAATATGATAGGTACGTGATTTAAATATTGCGTGACAGGTCGCACATTGATTTTCATATATTACGGGAGATATGTATGTCAATAGGGGGGAATGCTGCAATCGCGCGGCCTGGATGCAACACTAAATGGGTGCGTTGAGTGAGTGAGTGAGTGGAGTGGGTGAGAGAGTGAATGTGCTTATGTTTGGGTGTGGGTGAGAGAGTGAGTAAGTTGGTGGGTGGGGTCGTGAGTAGGTGTGAGTGGGTGTGTGAGTTGAGTTTCAGTGAGCGAGCGATTGGGTGGGGGTGTGAGTGTGTGCGGACATGGGTGAGTAAAAACACCAGAAACACACAGACGAACGGAGATGGTAATAGTCCATAACTCTTCTTACTGGAGGACAATGAGTGAGAGAGTGAGTTAAAATTTAAAGTCACTTTGGCAATATTTCAGCCATATCGTGACTATGAGGACAATGAGCAAGTGTAGAGAAGAAATCATTACAGTGAGTTAGTTAGTTTGGTTTTACACAATTTTTAGCAATATTCCAGCAATATCATTGCGGGGACACCAGAAATGGGCTTCACACATTGTACCCATGTGGGGAATCGAACCTGGGTCTTCGACGTGACAAGCGAACGCTTTAACCACTAGACTACCGCCGCCCCCGAAATCAGTACAGATTTATGGAACTAGATATTTATTCACTTTTCTATTTGCCTTTACCTTTACTGGTGTCCCAGAGTATAGCGCTGTTGTCCACCGACCCTGAGATGAGATACCGTCCATCAGCTGACCAACATAAGTCATACACGTCCTCCAGATGACCTCTGAGAGAAAACACAAAAGAGTGAGCGAGAGAGGGAGGATGGTTTATAGGGGTGGGTATTGCAGAGAATTTTCATATTGCGATATATTGCGATGCCAAAGCATGTATTGCGATATGTATTGCAATATATTGCATGAAGTATTTTTAAACAAAAAACTACTTATAATCGAGTTAATTCTTGATTTATAGAGCAAAAACACAACAAAATCACTAGGCTTGATTAAGCTTTAATAACAACTTTTAATCATGATAAAATAAAAATATGAATAATATTTGGCACAAATGAAACAAGGACATATCCGAAGATTTTCGAGTGTTACGAAGTTTTCCGAATGCAAGTCAAAATACCGATTTTCGATCAGCATATCGCAATACGTATCGTTTTCATGTCTGAACCGGTAAATACCGGTAAACCGGTTATATTGCACAGCCCTAATGGTTTAACGCCGCCTTTAGCAGCAATATCACAACGGGGACACCAGAAATGGGCTTCACACATTGTACACATGTGGGGTCTTCAGCCTGACAAGAGAATGCTTCAACTACTAGGGTAGCCCACTGCCCCAAATACAGGAGAGACATCACAGATGTAATATTTCACTGCTAATTCTAAACTTCATGTGTTTCTCCTGTATTTTAATTTGAAAACATTCATCCACATGAGGTACAACTTTAATCTTTTATTTAACTCTGGTGCAGACATCATTACAAATGTATTTACAAACCGCCGTTATATAGCTGGAATATTGCTGAGTGCAGTATTAAACAATAAACAAAACAAATATTTAACACTGGACACATTCCATCTTTTACATAACAGGGGAACACAGAGCATTTTCTAAAATATTTTAAGCTGTTTCATCAAATGTTCTAAACATTTATCTTGTAACCATGGTTACAGTTTGGAGCATATTTAATTTTAACTGAAGCAGACAGTCCAAAACATTGGAAAGATGTCTCCATGCCAACAGACCATCAATATATTGCACAGAAATTGATGTCTATTTTTCAAACATTTATTACGGAGATTTTACTTCAGATTAATGATTAAAATCACATCTCTGATATCTCCCTGCATCAAGATCACAAGTGAGTGAGTGAGTGAGTGAGTGAGTGAGTGAGTGAGTGAGTGAGTGAGTGAGTGAGTGAGTGAGTGAGTGAGTGAGTGAGTGAGTGAGTGAGTGAGTGAGTGAGTGAGTGAGTGAACAATATTCCAGCAATTTTGTCAGGGGTCACCAGAAATGGGCGTCACACATTGTTCCAATGTGGGAATTCAGCCCAGGTCTTTTGCATGACTAGTGAATGCTTGAACCACTAAGCTAATTCACCACCCTCGCCTCCACTGAGGGTCATGTAAGGTGAACTATGAGCAAACAAGAGAATGCGTTGGTACTAGAGCCAATCTGATGTCAGCTTTTTAAGTCAATTCATCTTCATTTCTTTACCAGCTCCATTTGGAGATTTTGATCTGAACAAAATTCACCAGCACGGAACAAAAACGAAAACCTTAACACTATATCCTTTTGGAAGATGAAATTGCACTGAGACGTGTGACAAATCCACAACAATATTCCATGGACATGTACTCCGACTTCACAGAGGAATCGTATTGAACTAGAAGATATGATTTTAATGAGACTGACTTCAGACGGGCTTTGGTTATGAAAATTCAAGGCAGATAATCTATCTCAAGGTCTGTAAAAGCCAGAATCTAAATTGATCTACTTCTGAAGACAATTCTCAAACCCAAGTCCTTTTCATCCCTGTGCAAACCAAATCCCCTTGAAAGTTGGGTACACTGATTACACATAGATGTACACATCAAAAACATCTCCTACTAACATAGCGTCAGCACTTCAATGAAGTGCTTCACATATTTGCATTGATTCACCTCTACTGGTAGAAACATTTTCAAAGAAGTTTTAACTATCGTTTGTGTAGGTTCTTTCAACTAGCAGTCAAAGGGGGATAACTCTGTAAGGTTAGTTTGATTCCAGCCAATATCATTTGAGAACACATGTCAAAATATAGGAAGGAAAGCAACTAAACGCTTATAATTTCTTAAAGTCCATAAAGTTGTATGCTTTATCATTGACTCACTAATGTTTTAAATGCCAATCAAACAATTATTATTTCTTGTCATTTATGTTTTACAGATATTTTGGTACAATACACCACCTTGAATTATACACGATATAGCACAAAATAAGGGCTTTTGAGGATTCATAGAAGTTATTTCCTAGATCAGATGCTTTTAAACAAAAATACAAACAAAACACATAGTGCTCATTTTCTTTGTACTGACAGTCCCTGTGTGCTGGACTTCCTCAATTACCTAAGTGTTGTCGAGGCAACCCATGTCTCTTTGTTATCTTCGTCCTCCTCCTGAAAGATGTTGTTAGCAGGCGTGGGAGTATCACTGAGACGCCAGAACAATATCACATTATCTGCAAGAGTGAGTTTAGAGAATCTGTATTTTCAAACTGATATAAACAGCAGTGTTTGAGTGTGAGTGACTTTAGATTTATGCCGCTTTTAGCAACATCCCAGCAATATCACCACAGGGGACACCAGAAATGGGCTTCACAAATTGTACCCATGTGGGGAACCGAACCCGGGTCTTCGGCCTGATGAGAGATCATTTTAACATCTATGCTAACCCACGGCCATGCGGTTTTCGAAAGAAAGCACGTAAGATAAAAAGGTCCTTGTCATAGCTCTTTTATTTAAAATATAAGATTTAGAAGTCCCCGGATTTCAATAATTCATGAAGGTCCTTGTCATAGGTCTTTTATTTAAAATTTAAGATTTAGAAGTACCCAGATTTCAATCATTTATGAGCAGGCCTAAGGACCCCCAGAACCCCCTAAATTTTACACACTTCACACTACTCCCCTTAAAATTCAAATAAAACAAATCAGAACATAATATCTGATAACAAATTAAAGTGAAATATTAACCTCATAAAATAAAACAAAAAACATACCATCTCCAGCTGATGCCAGGGTATCTCCTGAAAAATAAAGAATACAGATTTAGCACAAATGGAAACAGCATTGTGAGAACATCACTGGTCATGCAGTAAGTTTCATCATAAGACTATCACAGAACAACTGGATTACTGTAACAATACTATCGGTATACTATCACAATACTTTCGGAAAACTATCAAAACACCAGTACGATGTTACTGTTTAAAATGATACCGCCATGTGTTCAAAACGCATAAAAGTAACTCCTGTTCCTTGTTATTGGCCATAAAGAACTATTTCAGGTCACATGACTGTTTGCGCGGGAAAAGGGAGGCAACTCGTGGGTGAGAGAACTTTTACGTCCTCTTCAGGGAACTACAAGGGATTCTAAGTGTTCCACTACCATTCGCATGGAAGGAAGAGAAAGCAAATAAGCATGAGTCAGGACAAGGAAAAATTACCACTTTTCGATCAGTGTATTGCAATACGTATAGTTTTCGTGACTGAACCGGTAAATACCGGTAAAGCAGTTGTATTGCGCAGCCCTAGTAAGCTGTTGGAAGGAAATGTTATTAATGAAATTTATGCCATAAAGTCACCAACACTTGTCTTAGTAATATCAAATAATCACATGCACAATATTCCAGAAATTCTACTTTCACTGAGATGATGGTACTGGGTGTAGAATCATAACGAAAATGAACAAATTGTACTGGGTAGGCACCCAGGCTCCAAGTAAACTTTAGTAGGCTCTTACAACAAAAGTGTGATGGGCCCTTCATCACAGTCCCCACGGCATACAATCTCAAACAGGCAATGTCTGCAGAAAATACTCATCTGCTTGAGTGTCTTAATATCGTCAAACTAAGACTAACTCATCAAATTGTTATGAGAATAAAACAAGCTTACCATCGGGAGAAAATCTGCAGACATTAACTGAGCGTGTGTGTCGTCTGAGGTTGGAGAGAAACTCGGTTTCTACCTTGCCTTCCTTGTCCACCTTCACTTGCCATATCTGAAATTGTCCAAAACACTAGTTAATGTCGTGTATCCACCGAAGAATTATTTACAGCTCTTTGTACACATAGTGTTTGATAACTTCTTGAAGGGGCATTTTAGAAGTTGTATAGATGATGGAAAACCAAGTTCTATGGATAGTCAACTTGTATCTCTTTGTATCACTTGCTTGATAATGGTGTTAGTACATACACCGAAATGTCGCACTCATTGCAATAGAGAAGTTGACTACCCATAGAACTTGGTTTTGCTTCATAATGTTTGATGATAAGACACAAATTCAACTCAGAGGGAAACAAATGAAACCGATGGTGATCAACATGATGGTCAATCAGCAGTCAGGATCTGTGTTGTATTTGATGGCTGAAGGCTGATTGTCATGGCAAAGCACAGATACACACACACAATGTTCATTCTTGGCCGTGCCCTTGCGTCTTTTGCGCACCAACATTTAACATGGAGCATTGTCCAGGTACAGGGTGGGTCGCATTGGTGCATTCATAAATTTAAATCTGAACGCAAGCAAGCAAAAATCCAAACTAAGTAGTGCTTTGAAAAAAAAACCAACAATATGTCTCACTTGATTGAAAGTTTTATGAAAAGGTAAGTTTACTCATACTAGCGATTAGAATTGAACGGCTGACAAGTCACAACAATTTGACATTACCCATGATCTTTTCTGAATGACCCACATAACTGAGGGCTGGTGAACACTGCACATATGTAATATATATATGCACTCATTCATTGTTTCTTCAAATCTGCAATGCTATCTTTAGGGTCCAGCATTGTAGCACCAATCTCAGTTATGACACATCACAATGAATATCATATTGAAGGATTTCCTTGGTTTCATTTTGAAAAAGACTCCATTTTTTCATAACAGGTGGGCCTTAAGACCCTGTGGTTCTTGACACCTCGGATGAACACTGCAACAGCAAATTGTTACCCTGATGAGCTTGTCCACAGAGGCACTGGCAAGGCGTTTGATGGCTCGGTCCCCTGGCTGGAAGTCGATGCTGTAGATAGGCTCCTTTCCATGCCATGATATCTCGGGTGTTACCACTTTCATCTGTAACCATGGAAACCAAAATAATTACAGCCATACTTGTCACCATGTTTACTGTTAGACTTTGACCTACATTCTCAAGTCTGGTTCACGTCCTTCATTTAGACTTGTTAGCTTGGTCCAATGATATTTCCATCTTCCATGTCAAGACTAATATCTGTTGGAAATGATGAAAAACAGACAAGGCTAGGCAATATCAGTAAGATTTTTGAAAGAAAGTCAATGGAAATCCATGAAATTGATTCTTATGCAATCTTAGACTACCTGGAATACATATCTGTAGTACCTGTGCCGACGACCCCTTCAGCGTAAATAACCGAGTTTGGATCAACAAGCAAGTGACTGGAACTTAGTGAAAGTACGATAAAATCTACAGGCATCAATCTGCTGATGGTTAAATGCAAAATGTATGTACATGGAGACCAGTTCTGATAACTGGGTGGTGAGCCAGAAAAAAGGTTACCAGTAATTTTGAAGGTATTTCAAACTTAATGCCTGTGGCAAGCAAATTAGAAAAAGATCTTTATATTGTTCAAATCGAGATTTTTTCCAGATGCTTGATGGGCATTTACAAGTTGGAAGGTAACATAACAACGTATGGTATGGATTTACAACTTCTTTATTATTTCTGGGCTACTTCTTGCCCCTTCGAGGTGGTGGGGTAGCCTAGTGGTTAAAGAGTTTGCTCGTCACGCCAAAGGCCCAGGTTCGATTCCACATATGGGTACAATGTGTAAAGCCCATTTCTGGAGTCCCCTGTCGTGATATTGCAGGAATATTGCTACAAGTGTCATAAAACCAAACACTCTCACTCTTGCCCCTTCATCAGGTGAATGGACCCGTGAAGGTTTGGGTTAGAATATTGATCTTCAGTAACCCATGGTTGTCGTAAGAGGCGACTAACAGGATCGGGTGGTCAGGATCGCTGACTTGGTTGACATATGTCATTGGTTCCCAATTGCGCAGATCGATGCTCATGCTGTTGATCGCTGGATTGTCTGGTCCAGACTCGATTATATACAGACCGCCGCCATATAGCTGGAATATTGCTGAGTGCAGCGTAAACCTAAACTCACGGTAAGAGTTCCTCCCGTTCCCCCATCCCAAATAATATGTATAAATATTCTAGAATTATAAACAAAACTTAACACAACAATTACTAGAGAACTCACAAAATGGTTAAAAGTCCAAAATTTAAGTTAGGGCTAGGTTTAGAGTTTGGTTTAGAGTTGGGGGAACGGAAGGAACTCTTTCCACAGAAAAGTGTGGTTCCATATATCTACCAAACTTTTAGGATCATAACTGACAATATTTCAAACATTATTTCTGACGAAATTTATTCTATTTTTCATGTAACTGTTCTTCTTTAAAATCAATTGAGTGAAGTTTTCCTCACAGCAATCTGCGTTCAGTGGAATATGCCGATTAAATTTACCTTAAATAACACAAAAATTATTATGTTGAGGCTGAAAAGAGACGTTTGTATAAGAATCTCTGAATGGCCTAGACTCGATTCATAAAATAAATAGCTTCTGTGCAAATTCTGGTGTCATGCACGCACAATTCTGAATTTCCAAATGCCTAGCGAAAAATACGCACATATTTAGAAGTTCAATATGACCCATCAACAGTGATATACAAATACCTTTAAAACGATAAAATTAATGTCTTGCGGAAAAGTTTGTTTTTGTTTTCATTTGGCGCCAATATTTTCCCATAATGCTCCGCTGCTACTAAAAATTCGCACCGAGAAAAATATATGGAAATAAGGATGGAGCTTTTTCATTATTAAGCCACCACGTGACAATTCTTCTGTTATACATATTAGAAATAAACTATTTTCATAATCACATGTTATTGTATGATAGCTGAGAATAGGATTTGGAAGAATTTGTGAAACATGTTTGTTTTAAGGATGTTGATATTTCGTTTTAAATCAAATTTGTTTTTTATATACAAAATGGCGTCGGAAGAGCGGAAATTTCAAACATGAATTGCTGCAACAGTTCAGTAATAAGAATAGTATGCCACGTATGTTGTGTTTCGGGTTATAATGATTATTCCTAAGCATATTGCATTCATGCGTGTCAGTGTCATGTCACACAAGACGGAAAAGCACTGCTGAAGGAAACCACACCGACATCAATTTTGAATGATTTGGATCGAATAAGGCTGCATTACATGACAATTATTCACACATTTCCGTCACCACTGTTCCCAGATCCAACCAGTTAAGCTGCACATAACATGCCACGCTATGACTCAGTGGTTACTACTGAAGCTGTACGTTTTATGGTACCGTATGAAGCATGGTATTATTACCAAACAAACAGGGAAAAGAAGAAATTGTATTTTCATCGGGGCAGCGAGAGCATGTCAAAACGGAAGGGGGTTTAGAAGTTTTGGGGAATAAAAGGTTTGAAAACAGATTCAGATGTCAGGACCTAACCCTAAACCAAGCCCCGGTAAGACTTCCGTCCGTATCCCCCTAAAGTTTAACGATGAGGAAAACTTTCTTTGAGTGGCATTTTTAGAAGTAGAATATATCTTTCAGTATGTTCAGATACAATTAACAAAACACGTTAAAACTCATCCTTATCAGATGAGGAATCTATATTCAGGTGATATGATTTGACTAGAATGAAATTTAAGGGGGGATACAGGTGGAAGTCTTTCCGTGCATTATAATGTGTGTCAAGTACTATTGTACAAGAAGGAAATTACCATCTGTATTTGGTCAGTATTATGTACAAGCTATTATCATTTCATTTCAGATCAATGGTCATTCAACTGCATGCAATGTCCAGTCAGCATATACTTGCTATGGAAGAAGACATTACAGATCCTGATATTTCCTAAACATGAAAAAATTAACAGAGTCATGGCGCCAACAAAAACCATTCACAGGAGTGCGCAAAGCCTCCAATGATTCAGCGTCTAATGTTCTCTCACATTCAGGAAGGAAGAGGCTTGGGAGGATCCCAATTAACCCAGGAGCCATTGCTACAGGAAAGGGGTATGCTGCATGTGAACCAAATTCAAACCAAATCTATGGCGGCACTTTCAAGCAAAATAAAAATAAAATACATTTTGTGTGATAAAATTTTGAAGGATATACAGGGCAGCGAATTCCTGCGTCCTGTACGCATAATAATTGACAATGGACAACGAAATTGATTAGCGCATCCACAGGGACGCAGAAAAATTCCAAATACTTTTTGTAAAAGTTTCGATCAAGTAACAGTAAATTATCACTGAGTCTGCTATTAGCCGGGTTATGGTATCATTTGCAATTTAATTACTGTTACAATTTGATGATCATGATACACAATTCAAACAGTAACTGAATTACAACAATATTTCAACATAGTATTAATAATAATGTGCCTGGGACCCCCATTTTGTAATCCAGGACCCATGAAAATTATGAGTATGAGTCCCAGGGACCCTCAAATACAGGGCTCAAGGTAAATCGCTGGATATATCTTAAAATGTTCAGCAACTGAACAGTTTACATGATTCATCAAATCTAAAACACCAGTAAACCAAATGTATTAAAACCCACCATTCTAAAATTTAAAAACATTCTTTTGGTATCATTGGTTCATTTTGTGAGAAACGATTTATTTTTACAGCTTTTAAGAATATATGAGGCAGCTATATTGAACCTGTTCTGTGATAACTGTACTACCACTTACAAATTGGGTTTTGCTTAGCAAAGATAACATACATTTTATCGTTGAAAGGATGAATAACTAGAAGACAAGAATTCCATATTTTCAATTACTATTATTATGTTTACACTATTACAATGTAAAATACTTCTGAACTATAAAAAAATACATGCTTTTAAAACATTACTTATTTTACGCACAATATCTTTCCCCAAAATATCCTGGCCATGTTCACCAGGTTTGTAATCCTTGCAACAGTGATGTCATGACATTGAAATTCCTTCCTCTGTTAATATTTCAGTTCTGAAAATGGCAGCAAGAAAACTACCCCAACACAATCTGTTAGAAATGGTGGCTCCAAAGATGCTGACATCAGTTCATGTCTCAGCTCCTCCTTTGGACTTGAACTCGACTCTGACTTCATGTGTGCAGTTGATAAAATGGAAGCAGATTATCAAATGGGAAGTAAGGGAGCCCCCATCTGCAGTACACCAGTGGCAAAGTTAACGGACGAGAGAAAAGGAACGCCTGTTACAGACAAACAAAGTGTTCGAAAAGTTGCTGTTTTGAATTCTGTAACCCAACAGAAGCATACCAAAGCAGCTGTGTCTGTCAGTGAATCAGACAACAAGACAGAAGGGATTGAATTGAAACAAGCTAGCATTGAAATAAATTCAAAATATACTTCCTCACGATATCATCATAATTGTGGATCTGGTAATTCCAGCAAGACGCACACACCTACTAAAACCATGACAGGAAAAAGAACCAGAGCCACAAAAAGTTCCACAAAATTACAAACTGCAAAGACTAAATTCTCTCAGCAGAGTCAAGATTCAATCCAAATTCTGACCCCGACACAAAGCCCAGCAGACAAGAAACACTGCAGTGGTCTGGAGAAAGGAAAAAGTACGATGAGTAAGGAGAAACCCATTCAGGCACTGTTCGCAACAATAAACTCCTATCAGACACCACCCATGACTGCAACAGCCACAGTAGCTTTGTGCCCTGACTCTTCCAGCCCCAACCCCCAGGATTCACAGCGGCAGGTCCGGAGGAAGGGAGACAACTGTGGAAAGGAAGCGATGGACGAGGCAGTCAGGGAAAAGGACAGGATGAGAAAAAGTGGAAATGTAGACACCAGTAATAACAAACAATCCTCAAATATTCAAACGTCTGTCCCCCTAACTGAAGTTGGGAACAAAATGATTGTAGGATCGAGTTTGAGTGATCTTCAGAATGTGGAAAAGTTAAAACTTAATGGGAAATCAGGGCTAAGCAAGTCTAAGTCCGTAAACTCAGATATTTGTGGCAGTAGTAATGTGAACTGTAAGGAGAATGCCAGGACCAAACGCTCCCCTTCATCCAAAGCATTAATTACCCCAAAGTCAGGTCCCATATGCAATCAACAGGAACCTAAACCAGCGACTTGTTCTGGAAGTGATAAGACGAAGAGTCCTGCTGGTAGCGATAGTACAGAATCCAATGGGAAAACAGATGTGAGCTCGATTTCAACAGATGCGGCATGTTCAGACAAAGGTACATATTCTAACTTGTATTTCAAACTATGGCTTGTGTACACATGTTCAGTCGATCAACTTCTTTATTGCCATGCAGTGTTTCAGTTTAGATACTAATACCGTTGCTTGATAATGGATTTAGTATCTACATTGATATATCACATTCACTGGAATAAAGAAGTTGTATATCTTTGAATTATCTCCCTTGTCTCTAACAATTTTTATATACCAGATACCAGATTCCAATTAATGCTCTGTAACAAACTCAAGTGGTATTCATCCTACAGCTGTGATGGTGACTCATGCTGATTGTCAAGATGGCCTGAATTGCATTATTACTTCTGGTATCTTTATTAATTAGTATGTATAAACTGACCTTTGGAAAATAGTACTTCTTGTATGATGTATTGTCACTTGATTTCCATGAACTATATAGCTTGGAAGCTCTAAACCTCGTATACAATGTCGTATAGAAGAGGATTTCAATGTGAAAAGCAATCACTGACACCCTAGACTGTGAGAGGATTTCTTTCCAGATTATACATGTAAACAAGCAATGGTGAAATTTGTCAAATTTAATGATTCCAAAAGACATACATTTTTTCTTATCCTGACTCATGATCTTTTGCTTATCTCCCTTTCCTATGGGGCTGAATGGTAGTAGAACACTTGAATCCTTTGAAGTTCCCAAATTTCCGGACGTAAAAGTACACTCACCCACATGAAGTTACCTCCCTTGTGAATTTGCTCTTTCAGCGGACGAAAAACAGTCATGTGACCAGTCTTACTTGTCACTCTCTCCCTTTTCGTCCAAGCGGATGGTTGGGCGAGCACTGGAGTCCCATATACGGCATTATATCCTTTTTATTTAGATCCTATTCTTTGAAATTACGCTGTGTATGGATTTGGCTATAAGTATTTTGTATTATATGTAAAAATTTTGAAGAAATTATTTATATTTGTGTCATATTTTCATCGTAATGTAACTTGTTTACATTTCATTAAATCTTGCAGTGTTTGCAGGCACAGGTTATCCATGGCTGATCCTCACCCCCAATGCCCTTCGTGCATCAAACCATGTTCTTCCAGCTTGCGTTGTACTTATTGTGTTGATTTATCAACAATTTAATCAATATTTGTCTTATATCTATAGACGTGCCATGGATCAGGTGAGGAAGTCATCTCAAGTCACGGCTGATAAATCAGGAGATCAGCCTGCAAACCGTATGTTGCTTGCTACTGTAGAAATTCATAATACTTGTGCTATGCTATGTCGCAGTCGCCTGTTGCAGGGGGTGAAGAAGGGATCGGCTACAACAGAGTTGACACCGGCTAAAAGTAAGAAGAAGTCTTCGTCTTCATCTACGTCGCAGAGGAGAGCATCTGTAGCCAGATCGGAGGGTAAATCTACGAGGCCTAGTCAGTCAATCCTAGTCAGTCATCAGAAATCCTTCAACGAAGAGATTATACCTCCTCATGAAGTAGACGATTTGATGAACCTCTGTCATCATGGAGGAGGATAGAAGGCATGAGATGCCTACTCACACTTCAACATCTACATCTGCGAACCCTCATGGTTTGAGAACATCTAAGGATCCATCCCCAACACCAAGCCGCTCTAGATCGAGATCACATATCTCTACACAGGCGTTCGCAAAGTCAGTCATCACGAGACTGAGGTTGGCTGAAGAGAAGTTTTCGAAGAGATGTATCTAGAGATAGAGGTTCGCTAAGAGAGGATTCTCAAGATAGAGCGTTAAGTGAAGGGAGGAATCTAGAGACAGGTTCATGCGAAAGGATGATGGAGGTTTGAGAAGGGATACAGGTTCGCGAGAAGAATGATTCAAGCGGAGGCATAGCTCTACCGACCAAGAGATATCTGATGAACAAGCAGACTTCGTCGCCTTCCGACTCAGAGGGTACAGCTTGGATAGCCAATGGTTTGAACTTGGAGTCTCCTTCTAAGGATGTACATACTGAAGTCTACACTTATAAGATGTGCAGCGCATCGACTTTGGCTCGGTGACTATCCCTCCGATTGAACCTATATCCAAGGTACCTTCCAACCTACACACAGCTTTCAAGAAAGCTACCAAGTTCCAGAATCAGCATCTGCAATCCTTTAATGTGAAGAAATTCCCCTTACACATCACATGGATCCCTTTATGAAGGCGCTCTGAATTAGATGATAACATGAAGTTAGTCAACAACTCTACCGGAACAAGACATACAAAGTGGAAGATAAAAAGTTATCCCAACTTGATACTGCTACAAGGAGATCCTTCTTCGGGTTGGCCAGGTCTAGAGCAATCAATGAATCAATGATTAACAAGTTCCAGAACCCAAGTTCGAAGAAGAAGATAGAATGATACTATCAGCTCTGCTTCACTCAGAAGAAGGACCAATACTTTTATCGGCCCATCTGGCATTAATATCGGCAGGTCTCACTTTGCTACGCAGACAAGGTCTACTGGCATCTTGTTCATGGAGTGACAGATTCACCCAGCCGCTGCTTAGAGCTCCATGGGAGGCTTCTACTATCTTTGGAGGCTAGATAGATGATGCAGCTAAGGAAGCTACTCAAGATTCAAGACACTGACTGTCTGAGTTTGGTTTCACGCCCGCTGTCAGCAATATTCCAGCAACATCACGCGGCAGGGGACACCAGAAATGGGCTTCACACATTGTACCCATGTGGGGATTGAACCCGAGGTCTTCAGCGTGACGAGCCAACGCTTAACCATTAGGCTACCCCCGCCTCTAAGATTCAAGAGAAGTCATGATGATAAAGTCTATAGATACTCTAGCAAACGTCATTCGGCATACTTCTCAGAAGTACAACAGCAAGTCCAAATATTCCGGCATCCAGAAGGCTCAGGAGAAGAAGTACAACCAGCTTCAGAGGCGGGAAAGGTTCCTTTCGTCGCCCATCCGGAAATTACAGAGGTAACTCAGGGAGAGGCGCGACTCCCAGAGAGGATCCAGAGGAACTAGACGTTGATATTGGGGTTCGGAACGACTGGAGTCTTCCACCCCCAGCCGTTCCTGTAAAACCATCGACAGTGGGTGGACGTCTACAAAGGCACTGGAAAAATTGGGGAATACTAGAGGACGACTACGTCTCAAAAGTACTGCGAGAAGGATACAGAGTGCAGCTCAAGGCCACACCTCTGCTAACTCGCAGCCGATGGTCTTCGACTATGCAGACGAGCAGGCAGACAAGTTACAAGAAGCCATCAACTCACTTCTTATGAAGGATGCGGTAGAGATAATAGATCAACATCATCTCACTCCAGGCTTCTACTCCCCAATTTTTCTAGTACCCAAGAAGAACTCCAAAGAGAAGTTCAGGTTGATTTACAACATGCGCAAATCCTACAAAGACTATCTACTGAAACCAGACAGGTTCAGAATGATCCACCTACCTCAACTCAGACTACTCGTCCTTCCAGCAGATTACATGGCCAGCATAGACCTTCAGGATGCATATCTACACATCCCCATACATCTGGAATCAAGAAAAGTATCTGCAATTCCTATTCAGAAGGCAGCACTTCCAATGGAACATCCTACCGTTTGGAATATCTTCGGCCCGTGGCTATTCATAACGAAAGTAACCAAGCCTATACTTGCATACCTACATCATCGAGGTCTACACTTAATGCCTTCTACCTGGACGACGGCATTCAGGTTCACCAAAGTGCCAGTCAACTCAGACTACAGCTGAACTTCACAATTAAGCTGCTTACTCAACTAGTATGGCTGGTGAACCTTATGAAGTCAAAGAGTTGGAACCAAAACAAGATCTGCAATTTCTGGGGATAAGATTTATCACAACCCAGAATTGTATTGTCGATCCCAGAAGATCGTTAGGTCAAGATACAAGCCATGATTCCTCAAGCAGTCATCTCTCCGTTAACACTACTCACGAACATGGCAATGTCTACTTCGGGTCTACTATCCTCGGCGCTAGGACTTGACTCAAGACAGGAAGGTTACAACTAAGACTGCTGCAACAGTTCCTGACAAAACATCTCCGAGGGCGTCGGGGCCCTATCTTGCTGCCAGACAATCTCAAGAGGTACCTACTTTGGTGGACTCACAGGTGGAACGCTCAATGCGGAGGGACCTATTTACAAGAGCCGCCTTCACACACATCATCTCGTGAGATGCATCGATACAAGGCTGGGGTGTGCATCTCAACAATCAAGTTGCATCAGGGAGGTGGTCCCAAAACAGAGCAGCATCTTCACATCAATCTGCTGGATATGAAAGCCGTGATCAACGCCTTACAACTATGGTCAAGCTTGCTGATCAACAGAATGCTGATGGTCCACATGGACAACTCGACAGTGGCATTCTCCATAATAATACAAGGATCTACAAGGTCTCCCAAGCCTTCTACAGCTCACATTCCAGTTGTTCGACATCACGGAGGAAGCAAACATCTGGATAAAGGCGTGTCACATACCCGGAGCCAAGAACGTGCTTGCAAACGCTCTCCCGACCACTGCACCCATCACCTACGGAATGGATGCTCCATCCAGAAGCATTCCGGCTCATCATAAGGGAAATAGGATCCCCATGCATAGACCTGTTTGCCATGAGGTTCAACAAACAAATACAGACGTTTGTCTCACCAGTTCCAGATCCCCAAGCCTGGGCAACAGATGCACTGAGCATATCATGGGAAGGACTAAACGCTAACGCATTTCCATATTCCTATATTACTACCGAAAGTACTGTTGAAGATCAAACAGACGCAGGCGCTACAACTGACTTTGTTCGCGCCCTATTGGCCAGCGAGAGCATGGTTCCTAGGCCTAATAGAATATCTAGGAAGTCCAACAATCAAGTTACCAGATTGGCGAGAACCTACTCATACATCCGCGACACCAAGCAAGTCCACGGAAACCCGACACTGTTCCAGCTACGGCGTGTGGACCATATCAAAACATGTTTGAAGAAGTGAGGATACTCTGCCAGAGCAGCCAAGGCAGTAACCTTAGCGTTGCATGAATCCACTCAGAACCTGTATGATGACAAGTGGCTGAAGTTTGAGACTTATGCAAGGCGGAAGGCTTCATTGTTATGAAAGCTACTCATCCTCAAAGGCGGAATAACCAATGTCATCTTAGACATACTAGACATCTGAAAGGTTCGACATTATCCACGTATCTAAGCTGCCATCAGTACAGTGATCACCATGAAGACAGGCATCAAGTTGACGAAAGTACCAGAATTACTTGCTCTGATGAGATCTTTTTAAACTAGAGGACCAGCAATAGAAGTTCAGAGCTCCGGCCTGGGATCTGAATGTAATTCTCACGTCATCTGGACGAAGTGATGCCTACGAACCTCTAGATCAGACTACCTTCGAGCTGCTTACACAGAAGACTCCGTTCCTGCTTGCACTAGCCACAGCAGCTCGAATATCAGAGATACATACTCTGGACTTTGGTCGAACTAGATTCGACACCGGGCAACATGCTGCAGTACATCTAGGGCGTAGATGGGACTTTATTCCCAAGAACCAACTACCTGGTCAGACAGATAGACAGTTCCACGCATTCAGCATATCCACTATCCTTGTGTCCTGTCAGAGCCCTGAAGATATATCTTCATAAGACTAAAACAAAGAGGCGAAAATTCAAGCCTGTTCATCCCGTTATCTACAGAGACATCAGCAGAAGTCTCAAGAACAACGATATCGTTCTGGATGAGAGCCGTCATATTGAGAGCCTATAAAGCAGCTTGATTAGAACCTCCAAGAGCTTCCAACCCACCACGAGAGTCAGAGCACTTAAGCGTCAACACTAGCTCTGCATGGAAATTGCTCTATATCAGCAATTATGGATTGCTGCTTTTGGAAGTCGGACACAGTGTTTGCCAACCATTACCTCCGAGACATAGCCACCGAAGACGTCCTCACGCACTCAGCAATTTTAGACTCTCGTTGTAGCACAGCAACTAACGGTTCCACAAAAGCTTGACTTGGAAAATCTCACCCTTTACCACATTGACTTGTTGATAACTTTTACTAAGGAAAAGTATTATTTTGAAAGTCCATGCACAGTCTAGGACAGACTAGTATGAGTGATTAAAGACCCTGCACGGGTAAAGATCTTACCTGTACATTAAGGGGTTGCAACTCATTTATGATAAAAAGACCTTATCATAATCTGTGGGTTGTTATAAGATATCTAGTGATAAGAAGATACTAGTATATCTGAAGCCACACGAATCAACATGATTCAACTTGTCTGAGATTGAAGTAAGACAAGAAAGTGGTCCCCGAAAGTTATAACGGAAGTTTGAAGAATAGGATCTCGAAATGCCGCTACGCAGTTCCCATGGGGAGGCGATACAGGACGTATCTAAGGACAGCTGATGAATCCAGGAAGTGGCTTGACCCACCACCAATCCGAAGGATTCTATAAGCAAAAGATCATGAGTGAGGATAAGAAAAAATATGTAATTTTTCAAGTAAAATTGATATTTTTATACTTATCCTGACTCATGAGGTCAAGCCCTCCCAACTTCCCCGCTGGAAACACTTCGGATTTCACAGTAGATCCATGTGCATGGGCAGAATAATCAGGAGAGAGTGACAAGTAAGGCTGGTCACATGACTGTTTGCGCGGGAAAGGGCAAAAGGGAGGTAACTCGTGGGTGAGTGTACTTTTATGTCTGCTTTGGAAACTTCAAAGGATTCAAGTGTTCCACTACCATTCACAAGGGAAAGGGAGATAAGCAAAAGATCATGAGTCAGGATAAGAAAAAATTATAATAATTAAAGTAAAACACAGAAAATGTTGAAGTGCTCTCTAATTTATTAGTCAGGATAAATATAAAAAATTCCCTTTTGCATTCCACAGGATGTAATGTAATTTTTAGTGTCCATTTTCCCTTTCATATTGTACAGGATGCAATATTTTGTGCCCTGTAAAATTCTATAGTTAGTACTTTTGTCTTTGAGTAAAGTCAGTTGTGTAGAAAGTAGTTTTATTTATAAGATAATGTATCCCTGTGTCAGGTGTGGACCCCAGCCAGCTGTTGCTCTCTGCGTGGGGACTACCCGAGGCTGTGCTGACACAATATCACCGCTTGGGTGTCAGGCAGATGTTTGAGTGGCAGGCCCAGTGTCTCTGTACTGGAAATGTTCTCAGTAAGTATAAGTCTCAACTGTGTCATTTCATTGTTTGTGAAACAGAATCTGTGTTAATGGTAAAGTTGTGGTCATAGGCAGCCATGTGTTGTTTCACTTAGCAGAGCCTTTAATGTTTTCCATTTGGAACTACCTAGTTCTTTCCATTTTGATATGCAGAAATAAGATAGGCTGCTCAGAATGCTTTACTTACTCCAAATTCACCTGTCTTAACCTCCTGTGCACATGACGGAGAGTTCCTTTGATCTTCATATAAAGACAATGTTGTGCCTGAGTGTTAACTCAGATTTGATTTGATTGGTCCACACCAAACCCATGCTCTTCAGTTTCAGGAACTAAATGCATAATATTCTGTTGATGATCGTTTCCATAAAGATGCAAAAGTAAAATCGGCTGCTTCAGTTAGAGGTAGTTGTTATTTGAAACCTCAGATTAACCAATCAGAATCAAGGATTTTCCAAGGTCATGGCATAATAACTTGTATCATCTGCAGATGGAGGTAATTTAGTGTACTCAGCCCCCACCAGTGCAGGAAAGACATTGGTGGCTGAGCTGCTGATATTGAAGAGAGTGTTGGAGACCAAGAGGAAGGCTCTCTTCATCCTGCCCTTTGTGTCTGTCACCAGGGAGAAGATGTTCTCATTGCAGGTAGGGCTCACTGTATCAGGTGAATTGTTTCGGTACAAAGAAATGGGCAACACACGTTGTACCCATGTGGGGCTTCGGACCTGAGAAAGTAGTCTATGCCACTGATCCACAAGGGTGTAGAGAGACCCAAGAGGAAGGCTTTCCTCTTCCTGCCATCATGTCTGTCACCAGAGAAGATGTGTCACTGCTGATAGGGCTCCCTGTATTAGGTGGATTGTATCTGCACAAGGGTGTAGAGAGACCAAGAGGAAGGCTCTCTCCTTCCTGCCTTTTTGTCTGCCACCAAGGAGATGTTCTCCAGTTACAAGTATCACAATAGCAATGTAAAAGTTGAGGACTTGAACCAGATTTTCCATCTCACCACTGACACACATCATGGTGTACTGATTGCAGCAACTGTACCAGGATGCGGGAGTGCGAGTCAGTGGGTTCATGGGCAGCTACTCTCCCCTGGAGGCTTCAGCAGCGTGGACGTGGCTGTCTGCACCATAGAAAAGGGCAACAGCCTCATCAACAGACTCCTGGAGGACAACAAGCTGCACAAGCTGGGTGAGAGATGAAGTTGGTTGGTTTGTTGTTTAAAGACGCACTCAGCAATATTCCAGCTATATGGTGGCGGTCTGTAAATAATCGAGTCTGGACCAGAAAATCCAGTGATCAACAGCATGAGCATCAGTCTGCACAATTGGGATACGATGACATGTGTCAACCAAGTCAGAGAGCCTGACCACCCGATCCCATTAGTTGCCTATTACGACTAATAGATGAAGAGATGAAGTATAGCTGACTATATTCTCAGTATATTAAGTCACTAGGACCAGGAAATATTGACAGATGCCTGCATGTTAAACTTGGCTGTTCTTCAGAATACATGAAGATGTAGGAAAATACAGAAGGAATGAAAGTTTGTGTTTTATAGGCTTAAATTGAGTTTGCAAAACAAAAGTTAAACAGGATTCTTGGGACAATGAATTTTGTATTGTTCATCAGAACCTTTGGCATATAAATAGGTTGGGGGACATATGTGGTGCAACTGCAATTCCGTAGAAATTTGGTTTGCACAGATTTCTGGGTTTTGAACTGTCATCAGTGTCCCCAGAATTCAATGTGTAGAGTTGTAGTCAGCACCGTATGACAGAAACCGATTGCTGTAATTATGTGTCTAGTTTAACTGTGCTTGTAGGTGTCACTACATGACTTTTAAGACCTGCATCACTTCGGGTTGTCCTCTGAAATAATTCTGACAAAAGAGTCTACCTGAAATACTGTCACATCACCAAACTCACTCCAAGCCTGAACCCTTCCTCCATCTCCCAGCCTGAACCCTTCCTCCATCTCCCACCCTGAACCCTTCCTCCATCTCCCAGCCTGAACCCTTCCTCCATCTCCCAGCCTGAACCCTTCCTCCTCCATCTCCCAGCCTGATCCACTTCCTCCATCTCCCAGCCTTAACCCTTCCTCCATCTCCCAGCCTGAACCCTTCCTCCTCCATCTCCCATCCTGAACCCTTCTTCCATCTCCCAGCCTGAACCCTTCTCCATCTCCCATCCTAATCCCTTCTTCAATCTCCCAGCCTGAACCCTTTCTCCATCTCCCATCCTGAACCCTTCTTCCATCTCCCTCCCTGAACCCTTCCTCCATCTCCCTCCCTGAACCCTTCCTCCATCTCCCAGCCTGAACCCTTCCTCCATCTCCCAGTCTGAACCTTCCTCCATCTCCCTGTCTGAACCCTTCTTCCATCTCCCAGCCTGAACCCTTCCTCCATCTCCCAGTCTAAACCCTTCCTCCATCTCCCTCCCTGAACCCTTCCTCCATCTCCCAGGCTGAACCCTTCTTCCATCCCCCCATCTGAACCCTTCCTCCATCTCCCAGCCTGAACCCTACCTCCATCTCCCAGCCTGAACCCTTCCTCCATCTCCAAGCCTGAACCCTTCCTCCATCTCCCAGTCTGAACCCTTCCTCCATCTCCCAGTCTGAACCCTTCTTCCATCTCCCAGTCTGAACCCTTCCTCCATCTCCCTCCCTGAACCCTTCTTCCATCTCCCTCCACAGTTGTCACTGAACCCTTCCTCCATCTCCCCAGTCCTGGACCTTCTTCCAATCTCCCAGTCTGAACCCTTCCTCCATCTCCCAGCCAGAACCCTTCCTCCATCTCCCAGCCTGAACCCTTCCTCCATCTCCCTCCATGAACCTCCTGTCTCCTCCTGAACCCTTCCTCCGTCTCCCCTCCTGAACCCTTCCTCCACCTCTCCTGGACCTTCCTCCATCTCCCCTCCCTGGACCCTTCTTCCGTCTCCCGGCCTGGACCTTCCTCCATCTCCTCCCTGGACCATTCCCTCCATCTCCTCCTGGACCCGTCTCCATCCTGGACCCTCTGTCCTCCATCTCCCCCTTCCTTCCTCCATCTCCCAGCCTGGACCCTCCTCCTCCATCTCTGGCCTGGACCCTTCCTCCCTCCATCTGGACCCTTCCTGGAACCCTTCCTCCTCCATCTCCCCAGCCTGGACCCTTCCTCCGTCTCCCACCTGAACCCTTCCTCCATCTCCCAGCCTGAACCTTCCTCCATCTCCCCTGAACCTTCTTCCAGTCTCCCAGCCTGGACCCTCCTCCATCTCCCTCCCTGAACCCTTCCTCCATCTCCCTCCACTGAACCCTTCTTCCATCGGCCCCTCCGTCCTGAACCCTTCCTCCATCTCCCTCCCTGAACCCTTCCTCCATCTCCCTCCCTGAACCCTTCTTCTTCCATCTCCCCTCCCTGAACCCTTCCTCCATCTCCTCGCCTATGAACCCTTCCTCCATCTCCTCCTGAACCCTTCCTCCATCTCCCAGGCCTGAACCCCTTCTCCTCCATCTCCCTCCCTGAACCCTTCCTCCATCTCCCAGCCCTGGACCCTTCCTCCATCTCCCCTCCCTAGAACCCTTCCTCCATCTCCCAGCCCTGGACCCTTCCTCCATCTCCCAGTCCTGGACCCTTCCTCCATCTCTCCAGTCTGGACCCTTCCCTCCATCTCCTGAACTTCCTCCTCCATCTCCCTCCCCCTGAACCCTTCCTCCCATCTTCCTCCCAGCCTGAACCCTTCCTCCATCTCCCATCCTGAACCCCTTCTTTCCATCTCCCTCCCCTGAACCCTTCCTCCATCTCCCAGCCTGAACCCTTCCTCCATCTCCCAGCCTGAACCCTTCTTCCATCTCCCCTCCCTGAACCCGCTGAACTCCTTCCTCCCATCTCCCTCCACTGGACCCTTCCTCCATCTCCCTCCCTGGACCCTTCCCTCCATCTCCCAGCCTGAACTCCTTCCTCCATCTCCCAGCCCTGAACCTACTCCTCCATCTCCCAGTCCCTGAACCTTCCCTCCATCTCCCGGTCCTGAACCCTTCCTCCATCTCCCAGTCTGGACCCTTCCTCCATCTCTCCTGGGAACCTCTTTTCCATCTCCGCCCCCTGGACCCTTCCTCCATCTCCCAGCCTGAACCCTTTCCTCCATCTCCCTCTCCTGAACCCTTCCTCCATCTCCCTCCTGAACTCCTTCCTCCCATCCATCTCCCTGCCTAGACCCCTTCCTCCATCTCCCTCCCTGAACCCTTCCTCCATCTCCCAGCCTGAACCCTTCCTCCATCTCCCTCCCTGAACCCTTCTTCCATCTCCCAGCCTGAACCCTATCCATCTCCCAGCCTGAACCCTTCCTCCATCTCCCTCCCTGAACCCTTCCTCCATATCTCCCATCCCTGAACCCTTCCTCCATCTCCTCCCTGAACCCTACCTCCATCTCCCAGCCTGAACCCTTCCTCCATCTCCCAGCCTGAACCCTTCCTCCATCTCCCTCCTGAACCCTTTTTCCATCTCCCTCCCTGAACCCTTCCTCCATCTCCTTCCCTGAACCCTTCCTCCATCTCCCTCCCTGAACCCTTCCTCCATCTCCCCTGAACCCTTCCTCCTCCATCTCCCAGCCTGAACCCTTCCTCCTCCATCTCCCAGCCTGAACCCTTCCTCCATCTCTCTCCCTGAACCCTACCTCCATCTCCCTCCCTGAACCCTTCCTCTTCTCCCTCCCTGAACCCTTCTTCCATCTCCCTCCCTGAACCCTTCCTCAATCTCCCTCCCTGAACCCTTCCTCCATCTCCCTCCCTGAAACCTTCCTCCATCTCCCAGCCTGAACCCTTCCTCCACCTCCCTCCCTGAACCCTTCTTCCATCTCCCTCCCTGAACCCTATCCATCTCCCTCCCTGAACCCTATCCATCTCCCTCCCTGAACCCTATCCATCTCCCAGCCCGAACCCTTCCTCCATCTCCCAGCCCGAACCCTTCCTCCATCTCCCAGCCCGAACCCTTCTTCCATCTCCCAGCCCGAACCCTTCTTCCATCTCCCAGCCCGAACCCTTCTTCCATCTCCCAGCCCGAACCCTTCCTCCATCTCCCAGCCTGAACCCTTCCTCCATCTCCCTCCCTCACTTTCCACAGTTGTCACTCCAAGAAAATCTGGTTATAGTGAAATCTCCTGTTTTAAGCTCCTGATTTATACTGGAAAAGATTTCTGGAAGCTCAAATGGAGACATGTATCTCTTGTATTGTTTTGCAGGAATCATTGTGGTGGATGAGCTGCACATGGTGGGAGACTCTCACCGCGGCTACCTGCTGGAGCTGCTGCTCACCAAGATCTCCTATGTCGCCAACAGAGTCAACACTAACACAAAGTACTGCTGTTGTCCATCTGTTTATTGTAATCCATATATTTTAATGCTATTGTGTATCAGTGAAAAGGCTGTGGGATAGCCTAGTGGTTAAAGTGTTTGCTTGTAATGCCGAAGACACGAGTTTGATTCCCCACATGGTTACAATGTGTGAAGCCCATTTCTGGTGTCTTGTGCGGTGATATTGCTGGAATATTACTAAAAGTGGCTATCTCAAACGTGATGTTGGTAGCTTTCAGCCGTCATAATTCATAGTCTGTACCAAATTTATAAGAAGTCCTAATAGTATAATGTTGATATTCATTGGAAAATGTTTGGCTTTGTTTGTGTGGACCTCCTCTTGCCGGTGATGATACGTCCATGCTACAGGCACATGTGGTGCCGCCGTCTGACGTCAATGACGATGTGTTGCATGGGGCCATCTGAGGCAACTGCTAACCATTTGATCATGTCTCATTTGCATGATAGGCACCATCAGTTAAATAAATTAGAGAGCACTTCAACATTTCCTGTGTTTTACTTTAATTATTATAATGTTTTCTTATCCTGACTCATGATCATTTGCTTATCTGCCTTTCCCTTGCGAATGGTAGTGGAATCCTTTCGAGTTCCTGAAGCGGACGTAAAAATACACTCACCCACGAGTTACCTCCCTTTTTGCCCTTTCCCCGTTCAAACAGTCACTCGTGGGTGAGTGTATTTTTACGCCTGCTTCGGGAACTTCAAGGGATTCAAGTGTACCATTTGCAAGGGAGATAAAGCAATAGATCATGAGTCAGGATAAGTATAAAAATATCAATTTTACTTGAAAAATTACAAATTTTTCCCTTATCCTGACTCATGCTCTTTTGCTTGTCTTCTTCTTCTTGCAACATAGTGGAACACTTGTATCTCCTTATTTGAAGCTCCCCTTCAAAATAAAATCACTAATTGGTACTCACCACGAAGTTGCTCCCCTTGCTTCCCCTGGCGGAAAGGTGTCGCCACCCTCTGGCCATGTGCTCCACTCTCTCCTTCTTCGCCCAGTGGAGCAGGATGTGAGAAGCCTTTGTGTCTCCTTACACACCATATCCTTTGATAATCTCTTAGTTTTTACCCTCCTCATAGGTTACTATAGAGGTATAGCTAGTATCCCTTTACTATTTGTATTGATTAATTATTATCGATTTCTACTGTTTATTCACGCGTATCGGTGATTGTTCAGTTAGTTTTACGTTGATGAAAATCTGTATGCGATTTGTAGATACGCTTTTTCTGCCTCCGGTCCACATGTAATATGCCTAGTTGTTCTACGTTGTCTGCGTTTAATTCACGCTGCAGTTACTGCATTAATTTATCTCATTCTGCATTTAATAAATATCACCTTCGTGCCTTTAAGACGTATGCTGCAGATAGATCGCATGCTAAACAAGGGCAAAACATGGCAGAGAGTCCAGATATTCCATCCAGTCAGCTGCTAGCGATCGACCCTCTCCCCGTCTGGTGTTCTGCTAGAGACCCGGGCGGCAGAGGAGCGATGGGGCCTTGATCCGTTTACCTCGAAGAAGAAACGACCGGCCTCCCCAGACATCTCTGCCATTGCAGACCAAGTCTAAGAGGGCTCTCATCGCCGCCTCAGCGCAGATTGAGGGGATTACGCAGGGCAGCTTAGACTTCAAAGGGAAATCCACTTAAGACAGCAAGAACTTTTCAGCCGAGATCGCTCCAGCAGCAGAAGAATGGGCCCTTACTGATGATCAGCCGATAATCATCCCCCGACTTACGCCAGAAGAAGCGACCGGGTGTCAGCGACTGTGACTTCTGCAGAGATCACCATGCAGCCTGATGCCTCTACACCAACATCAGACGCCATTGATGTGAACCCCATCGCAGAAAAGACGCCCGACCGACTTCCGCCACAGATCATCCCAGAAGACGATGATGCGGCAGATTATGAACATCATGGAGGACCACTACAAACTGCGCATGCAGGGTCCGAGTCGAAACCATGATAGCTCCAACGTGACAGCACCCCAGAGGCACCCGGCCACAACGAAGCAGCTAAGACGATGTCACCTTTCGCGAAAGGAAGTCCCAGCACCACCTTGGACGAAGCGACCACAGATGTACAGCTTTCGCCGAAGGCCTTCAGCTAAGGCGGAGAGGATCATCACCTTCATCTTCGATTTCATCTCTCTAGATATGGACTCGCACTATCGGACATCACGAAGCCTTCGCTAAGGTCATATCATCGATCCCTCGGACTGACCGGCGCGCAATGAAGCGAAGGCATTCGGCGGCGACATATGATTCCAGATCTTCATCATCTAGAAGAACATCGAGGGACTGCAGAAGAGCCGGCGCTATCAACATTCAATCTCCCAAGTCTCTCGAAGATCATCCCATAGACGATCTCCACTTCGTTTCATCACCAGGTCGATCACCCGTCAGATTCCACATAGAGCGGTAGCACAAGTCAACTAGATCAGCCAACAAACCTCATCAGATATACAGACAGCTACACGCAGTCCCGAGCATCTCTACAATTTGTTAATGATGATGGTTTTGAGGATGATGGAGAATCATATTTTCTGATGCAGAGATACGGTATGGCGGATGGTCAACAACCTAGATCTCACATCACCATCTAAAAGTGGCAATACAGCGCAGGACGTATTTGATGAAGGAAGATGATCCAGATGCAATCACTCTACCCCGATCGACTTTGGATTAAGGCAGTGCCACAGAATCTAGATGCAGCTTCCAGAAAGCTAATGAAAAGTTCAGATACCACATCTGCCCAACTTTTCAGTTGGCAGCCCGAAGTTCTCCACGATAATAACATGGACTCCTTCTACAGAAGCTCTGGGACATCGATGAGAACTATAAGGATCATCAGCGATGTAAAGAACAAGATTTTACAAGATGGATGATCGCTAAGTTGGGCACTATATAGAAACTTCATGGCGAGGCGTAACAAATATGTTCTTTGGGTTAAATATAGATCTAGGACTGATCAATGAGACCCCTTATTACTAGATTCTACGATTCCACGCACGGAAGATGATAGAATGATTTATTCTGCCTTTTACTTATGCAAAAAGAAAGATCAGCAGTTTTAACGGATCATCTTTACATCTGTTTCAGCAGCACTGACCCTTAGCTTCGGCTGCCAAGGCCTCCTCGGCTCCTGTAAATTAAGGAGAACTTTACAGCCCCACTTTATATACAGCCCGGGGGTTTCCACAACATCCATCTTTGACGGAGAAATCGACAAACTCGCTTAAGGAAGTCTCTTGGGATTCCAGGGAGTCCTTATGATGATTAGATCGGGATGGACACACTAGCCAGCCATTCACAGACTTCACAGAGATACACTCAGGCAGATCTAAGTTCACTGGCCATTTTACAAAGAGCAAGTATATGGCAGCGAAGATAGCCAGCTCTAGAGAGGCAAGATTCCTTTAAAATTCGTATCACGGCAACTATAGAGGGAGGATCAGGAAGAGGCAGGACGCAGAGGTTCCATAATTATAGGCAGCACGACACGGGTTACGGAAACGACTGGAGTCTTCCACCCCAAACTACAGTTTAAATTTTATCCAACTCAAGTGGGTGGAGCCTTCTCCAGCCACTGAGGAAAACTAGGGGAATATTACCTGAACGCTGCAAACCTCCAACATTCTTCTTCAACACGATTTCAGATCCCCCTACAGGTTAAGCTCCGCTTCGGCAGTAATCAGGACCCCCAAGTTCGACATTTTAGAAACGCTAACAACTACTAAAGATAGCAGAGGCTGAACACACCCTCCTATCCAAACAGGGGCCAGAAGTAATAGATCAAGCAAACGTCAACCAGGTTTCCTACTCCCCAGCTCTCTAGTTCCCAAGAAAACTCCACGGAGAAATAAGCAGACTCATCTTACAACATGAGCTTTTTCAACAAGAACTATTCATTTGAAATCCCACCGGGTTTCTCAAGATGGATACATTTTACTCCTCAGTTACGCCCCAGATGATTCCGTCCCATGGACTACGAAGGGCAGCATAGATCTATGCAGGATGCCTTACCTGCGAACAATCCCCATTCATCCCGACCCAGGAAATACTCCACGCATTTAATTTAGAAGGGCTAAGCATTACCAGTGAAGAAAGTACTCCTACATTGCGGAATATCAGCAGCCTGGCTGCATTCACGCAGGATAACTAAACCGATTATCAAATTTCTTACATCGCCATAGGGCTAAGGGCTCGCCGAGTCGTTCTACCTATCGACGGATACAAGTAGATCAAGAATCCACTGCGCCTCAAACTACAGTTAAATTACATCAGCAAAGCCATTATTCGGCCTGGCTTCAGTTTGCCAGTTGAAGTGAAGCCATAAGAGTGATGGACGGACCCTAGTACCATCGCAAGTAAGACCTTGCAGTTCAGGGTATTCGATTCATCACAAATCGCTTAACTCAGTATGTTTGGTACCAGAAGACCGCTATTCAAGAATACAGCAGACCATTCCACCAGCGGCTACTCTCTCGCTACCACTGCTTACAATGGCAGAGCCTACTATTAGGGTCTTCTCACATCAGCCCAAGACATGACTGTCACAGGTAGATTACAGTTACGATCCCTACAGGTCCTCATCAACGCACATCTCCAACGATGTACAAACTATCTCGTCCTGCCAGTATCTCAGACCCATCCTATGGGATAAGAAATCAGAATGTCGCGGGGACATTTTAAGGCGGGAATGCAAGAAACCATCTACCTGCTTATGTAGTAGCGTCCGCGCCTCCAGGTTGGGAGAAACAATCACCATAACCACACCGCGATTTGTGGAATCAGCAGAATGCAAACTCATATAAACAGTCCTGAGGAAAGCTGTAATCAGCATGCATTCTACGTTGGGGCACATTTCAAAATGCGGCCTAATGATCCAGCCTGAACAGATTACGACTGACAGTGGCGTTCTACATAAACAAGCAAGGCTCAGCTGAATCGCGGGTGACGCTTTTGAACCTAAACTTTCAACTGTTACCGATTTAATACAAGATCTAAATCCTACATGTCAGAGCAGTGCACATTCCCGAATTAGAAATATACTAGCGGGCGGCTCTCTCACCGGCCTCGCATCTGCAAAATACAGGACAGAGTGGATGATCAGCAGGGAAATTTTTGCACAGATAATCGAAGAAGCAATTAGGGAGAGCGCTAATAGACCTATTAAGCCACAGCGATTCAACAATCAACTACAAAATTGATGTCCGCGGTCCCAGACCCCCAAGCAGGCAGCGGGCGGCTCTAAGTCTATCGTAGGGAGAGAGCCTCAAAGTCAATGCAGCGTTTCCGCCGCCTTCTTGTCAATACCTCAAGTATTACAGAGAATCCAGAATAAACACTGGGCCTGGCTTTCACAGTGCCCTACAGCCTACGGTAGGGTCGTTTCCATACAAATCAAAGAAGAATGGATCAACCGGCGCTGGAACTACCCAAGCGCTTGGTACATTAATTCATCCTCCACACCCAAACCAATTGCAGGAACCCAGCAATGTTCCAACTACCGCGTATGGACTGTATACAAATAATGTTTTAAACAAGAGGATATTCTGCCAGCCGGAAAACCAAAAACGTCTCCGGCGCCCTACGTTACTCAACTTCGTGGCAATGCGGCGACAAGTGGCACAGTTTGAAAGTTATGCAACAAAGAGGGTTTACAGCAAAGAGGAAGCTGCAACCTCAGAGTGGCAGACTATATGTTTACCCTCACGACAAAACAAACAATTAAAGGTTCACGGCGATATCAACATATCTTGCGGCGGCAGTTTCTGTAATCACCATGAGGAGCGGGTGTCAAATTGACAAGATCTCCAGAGTTACTGGCCTTACTACGAGAGCTTTCCGATTGGAGGACCAAAGTAGCCCGGAAGTTCCACGCTGGCAGGATCTGAATGTAGTGTTACAACACCTCACGCAGGTGAGGTCTATGAACCCCCGGATGTCGACAAACACAGAATTTCTCTCACAGAAAACACTGTTTCTGCTATAAGCTAGCCACAGCAGCAAGAATATTTGAAATTCACAGCTCTGGATTCACGAAGAGGATACAGTTTGATGACAATCATAACACGAAGCACCTCGGGATTTAAGATGGGATTTCATTCGCCCAAAATCAACTGCCAGGTCCAACCAGACAGATTATTCCACATCCAGGGCTATCCTCTATTCTCGGATCACAAGATACACAAGACCTATCACTGTGTCCGGTAAAAAGGCTCAAAGTTTATTTCTGACGATCCAAAACAAGGAGAAGATTTCTCAAGCGTTTATTCATCCCCTTATAAGCCCCTCACGAATCAAACCAGAGTGTGTCCACGGACTTAATATCTATTTGGATAAGGACTGTCATTCTCCGTGCCTACAAAGGCAGCAGGCTTGAACCCACCAAGCAGCATCAAATCCACGGGAGATCAGGGCACTGGCCTCTACCCTCGCCTACGGTAACTGTTCCTTGAACCACGATTATGGAAGGATGCTATTGGAAATCTAACATGGTATTTGCTAATCACTACAAGGGGAGACATCACTGCACAGAAGATGTCTCTGGCATTTCACCATGTTGGACCACTGGTCCACCGGCTCCAGCAACTGACAGTCCCTGCGTGGCGTTAAAATATTATCCTCCACAAGATTAATATGTATTGTTTTATACATACTCATCTAGCTTATAACACTGAGGGTTTTAGGGCTATGTATATATGTTCAGCTTAAGTATTCAACCTTAAGCATATACTTTCAGTATAGTCAATTTCAGTGTCTCTATCAAGAGTCACCTATATATATATATAAATTTATATGTATTGTTCAATATATTCATAAATGTAATTCCCCTTTAATGGCTTTATATAACCTATGGTTTCAACATACAGGAAACATCCTAAATCTAAGCCTTCACTTGAAGTTCCCTGTGAGGGGATATTACAGTATATCTATACAAAATCACTAATTATAAATCCAAAAGTATTATGTACTACTGCACCTCAGCGTTCCATGGGGATGCTACAAGCAAAGAAAAAGGCATTAAGTCAGGATAAGGAAAAGTATGTATTTTTAGAGTAAAATTGATATTTTTATACTTATCCTGACTCATGGTCTATCAAGCCTCCACATCCTCCCCACATAACACTTTGGATTTCCCTGTAAATTCAAGTGTTGAAGCTCGCTAAATCAGGAGAGAGTGGAGCACATGGCCAGAGAGGGTGTAGCGCTGGCACCTTCCCGCCAGAGAGCAAAGGGAGCAACTTCGTGGTGAGTACCAATTAGTGATTTTATTTTGAAGGAGCTTCAAATAAGGAGATACAAGTGTTCCACTATGTTCTGGAAGAAGAGAAGACAAGCAAAAGAGCATGAGTCAGGATAAGTATAAAAATATCAATTTTACTTGAAAAATTACAATTTTCACCTTGAAAATGACTGGTTTCTCTGTCATTTGTATTGAAACAGAAAACTTGACTCAGAGTATGCAGCACCACCATGTATATGACTCTTTGCAAGCTAGGATTCACTTCACATGCACTTGTTGGCAATACACCTTGCTTTTAGAATCACGAGGGCTTGAATGTCTGAGACCTGCATCATTGTGGGCTTTTGTAAAAACTGGACCCATGAAAAAACTGGGTTGGAATTGATCATGAGTAACCCATGCTTGTCATAAGAGGCGATTGACGGGATCGGATGGTCGACACATGCCATTGTATCCCAATTGCATAGATCGATGTTCATGCTGTTGACCACTGGTTTGTCTGGTCCAGATGCAAATATTTACAGATTGCTGCCACATAGCTTGATTATTGCTGAGTGCAGCATTAAACATCCAACCAATCAACTGATCTGGGCTGTTAAAAGCAGCTTTAGCCCCACTCACTCACTCTTCACTCACTCACTAACTCAACTCACTCACCACTCACTCACTCACTGACTCAGGCACTATCACTGTTCAGCACTAATGAGCATTGAGATTTGTAGTAGTTAGCCCTGTGATTTGTAGTAGTTAGCCCTGTGTCATTATGAAGTAATGAGATGTGAGTGTGTCTTTCACCAAATATACCAGTCAGAATATCCTTTCATTTGCTTGTTTTCACAGTGCAGAGTCCACTCTGACAGAAGACCATGTCCAGATAGTAGGTATGAGTGCCACATTGCCTAACCTTGACCTTCTGTCCCGCTGGCTGAAGGCCGACCTGTACAAGACTGACTACCGACCAGTGCCCCTCACCGAGAGCGTCAAGCTGGGGACCTCAGTGTTTGACTCCCAAATGAGGAAGCTGAGAGACCTTGACCCCAACCACACATTCCCCGGCGACAGCGACCACATCATCCCGCTGTGTCTGGAGACGATCCTCGCCGGCCACTCCGTCCTCATCTTCTGCCCTACCAAGAACTGGTGTGAGAAGCTGTCGGAAACCATAGCCAGGGAGTTCTATAATCTCAGGAAGGCGGCCAAACCTGCAGGAGGAGACTCTGACAAAGGTAAAGTAAGGTGATGCTTAAACAAAACCTTTCTATAAGGACAAACGTTATGGATGAACAACTTCTTTATTCAGGCGATGCTTGTCATACTTGCTTGACACGATACAAGAATCTGTATCGAAATGTTGCATCGCCTGAATAAAGAAGTTTTTCCATCCACAAAGTTTGTCTGTATCTGACTCTCCAACTTCTATCGAGAAGTGGTTAGAATCCGCCCGAGAGCTGGAAGTTAAGATGTTCAATCCCCGACCGCGTCATACCAAAAAGGCGTTAAAATATGGTACTTGTTGGTCCCTGCCTGGTGCTTTCGGCATTAATGGGTACAACAAGGACTGGTAGTCGGCTTCTAGGAGTCAGTATAATGTGTCTGAGTGGGATATTCATGCTTCACTGCGGCATGGTATCTCAGTGGGCTAGCACTATAAAACCAGCTTCAGTCTGGGCTAGTACAAGCAGCCGCTTTTATACACATACACACCGCATGCGCGTTCGTTATATGAGCGAAATATTCTCAAAGGACGACGTTAAACCCAGTTTCACCTCACCTCACCTCCAACTTTTAGAAATACCACTCAAAGAAGAAACCTTTTTGGTTTTTCATTCACAATCCCTCGGGAAGGAAAAGTTGAACTTGAAATATAAAGAAACACACACATTATACTAAGTATTTTGGATGAAGGTGATGTGAGTGTAGCCAGTTGCTAATTGTGTGTCATCGGGCTTTGCGAGCATGTTTCATTGCAATGAAACAATGGTTTGCCTGGTCCTAGCCTAATTTTTTGCAGCTTGAAAATTGTTGCCAGTGGCAATTCATTTATGCATGGATTGAAAAATTAAAATTCAGTCTTTATCACATAACATGCCAGTGCTACAATTTACTGTGCAGAGTTGTGTCCCTTGAAATTCAAATCTTGATTTGCACTGAATATGTTTATATGTGTTAGCACAATATCAGTGCTTATGGGTTTCTCCAAAGATGGTGGCCTTTATTAGGATAACATGCCATGATATCAGTTTAACACTATTCAAAGTCAAATCAAACCTCACTCGCTCCCTCACTCACTCACTCACTCACTCACTCACTCACTCACTCTCCACTCACTCACTCACTCACTCACTCCACTCACTCACTCACTCACTCACTCACTCACTCACTCACTCACTCACTCACACTCACTCACTCACTCCTCACTCACTCACTCACCTTTTTATGTTTTGTGATATTTGTGCTGTAATTTATTTTAGTTTCAGTTTCAATACCAGAAAATAACAAGCTATTGCTTTAACCCTTTTGTCAACAGAAGTCAACTTCACTGATGTACGTAAGGTAACCTGGACCGCTGATGCACATGTTTGACAGAATCATTCATGACGATCAAACCAAGATGGCTAACACAGAAATATGCATAAATAATGCAATCATTTTCATCTCTGTTGCACTTGATGTAGATGTTGAAGTTAATATTCTACAATCCTGTTTCTATGACTCAATTATGCATGTTGGTATAAACTGAATAGTTTGAGGAAAGATGGTTTTGGAGACAAGAAGATATACTTTTTGGAAGAAGTTATAGAGAACGTGATTCTTTTGCCTTACTTGTGTAGTAAATTCTGTCAGTGCTCAAAAGAACCAGGTGATTTCATATACTTCTTTTGAGTGTTAAATATGTAAACATATGGTCATAATTGATCAGGCTCTGTATGGCAAATCAATTTCAAGCAACTGAATGAGATCAGAAATTCAAGCATAAAATTTGACATCTGATCTCAAATTTTGATAATCTAGTTCATTTAAAAAATTGATGAAGACTTTTATTGATATTTAGTAAGTGCTGACTTGAATGCATATTTCTGCTGTTACCATGACAACACCACTGATTCTACCAAATTGTTCCTTTGCACTTGCACTCAACAACTGTATGTATACGTTGTCAGACATCCAAACAGTTTTAGCCTCCTGCAGCAGTGACAGAAATTAACTAAAACCTCAAGCTGGAGCACTAATAGCAATAATAGAGGATACTCCCCAACCCAAGAAATCTGGTCCCTGTTTCACAAAGCGATCGTAGTATTAAGATTATTGTAAATAGGGGTGAACAACTATTGCGATAGCGATAGTCAATTGTGCAATAGGTTTTTGCAATATTTTTTTTCTCCTTGAGTTGTCTCATTTGAAGTCATTTCCCAAATGAATGTATAGTTTATATGAAATAAAAACAAGCTGAAGTAGTTTCAATCTCTTTTAATAACAGGCAGACACTTGAAACCCAGATCTATTAAACAGTTAAAACATGAACTCAATGAAGCTGCAAGTCTGCACCAATACTTCCGTTATTTTGCGCTGTGCGTTTATCAATGGAAGTCAATAACTAAACTATCGATAGTCACACATACTATCAATGCATCGATAGTTTTTCGTTTCTACCATAGATTAATTGCTATCGGAGACTCAACAATTTCAATGCATCGATAGTTTGATGCATTGTTACAGCCCTAATTGTTAACCTATGTTAAAGTATACGATCATTGTACGATCATCTTGAGTTACGATCATCTTAGCCACGGTCATTTTTTGGATTATGACGCTGAAATTCTTCTCACCCTTGGCCTACCTTTTACATTACAAATGCTGACAGCTTGAGTAGACTATATTTCTGTCCCTGCTGCTGTGTTGGACAGAATAATGACCCCTCCCTGTCTTGCAGGGTTTGTGAGGGCGTCGTCCCTGGTTCGCCTCCCTCTGGACCAGACAGCCCTGAGGGACGTGCTGCTGCAGCTACAGAGGAGCCCCGTGGGGCTGGACTCCGTGCTGGGGAGGACCGTGCCCCTCGGTGTCGCGTACCATCATGCAGGTAACGGATGAGATCTGTGGAGTGATAAAGTATCTTTATGAATCAGAGTTGATATGTTGAATTAGACAGATGAGCAGTGGTTCAGGGATTTCATGTAGATTGGATCTCCACACGATTGTCGTTAACATGGAATAAATGAGGATTGGATGGTTTCAATCTGTGATATAGCATGTGTCATGAGTTTAATGTAACTGTTTGCATTAACCATTATTTGTTTTTTGAGGGATTCAATATCGAATATCAAACACTTCACATCTTCAGTACATAAATACAAAGTTTGAAGAGAAAAGACAAACATTTAATAGGTCTGACTTTATCGACTAGATATGACACATTATATTGCCACCCTTTTATATTCTTAAATATGTTTTGGAAACTACTATACAGGTTTTCTCAAATGTGTAAATAGTCTTTTATCAAACTTCAGTGGTGGAGATATTAGTAATATCATTAGATTATGACATCATGGTCACCAAAGCATTGTGATGCAACTGAATTGTCCTGATATCTCCTGTGGAAGCCGATTATTGATGTTAACATGAAATATCATGATAATTTATAATATCAACGAGTCATCAACACTACCTGGAATTTGTTAAACTGATGTGTTTTCAGGGGTGGAAATAACCAATTGCCCGATGTCCGAGTCCAGTGATTTTTTCTGTCGGGCAAGCAAATTTGTATATCACACTGTACCAGTGTCCAGTTGACTTTCCAATGTTAATTATGTTGTTTATTTAAAAAATCAACAAGAAAACGGCTGGTATAGTGGAAAAATTATCAGGGCAAGTGATTTTACATGTGCCACTGTACCGGAGTACACTAGCAATTTTAAAGTTATTTCCACACCTGGTTTCAGGTCTGACATTTGACGATCGTGACATCATAGAGGGCGCCTTCCGTCAGTGTTCTGTGAAGGTCCTGGTTGCAACCTCAACATTATCCTCTGGCGTCAACCTACCAGCCAGGCGTGTCATCATACGTTCCGTCATGTTCCATGGTAAAGTGATAGACACCTTGACATACAAGCAGATGGTTGGTCGAGCTGGCAGGAAGGGCGTGGACACAGAGGGTAGGTGATAGACACCGTAACATGCAATGACTTTATACATGTCTTCTGTTAATGAAGAGATACTTCCGCTCTTATTCCCATATTTTACATGTGGTCTCTGCCATCACAAGTATGATCACAAGATAAGATAAGTCCTGAGAGTTTCCAGAACTGCAGTCCTGCCCCACCACAAAGCACATATGACACGTGTGGTCTCACCTTAGCAGAGATGCCAACCTCTACGATTTATTTGTAGTTGCTACTGAATTTTAGCCTCAAACTATGCCAATACGACTGCACTAGAAATTCTACAAAATTTGAAGAAAATTCATTAAATTTTGGATACATAGACCAAAACATACATTTTCGAGACAAGAAGAAATGTAATGCTGATAATTAGGAAATCTGCTATTGGAGGTATATGAAGTTAAAGCTCCACTCTTGATAAGTGTCATATTATCATTCTCAGAATCCATCATGATATTAAGTATTTAGTTGACAACTAATTTTATGGTCAAACTACTAATTTTGATCTTTGAAACTACTATTTACAACACTTTGGGGTGTTTTAGGCAAGTGAGTGTTCAAAATTGCCTCTGTTCAACCATCAGTGAATGGGTACCCGATGGGATAAGATGATCATATGACTGTTAACCTTGTAACGCATCACAGGCAGTTTGGGTTAACTGGGGTAATATAATCATGTGGTTTGCGCATTATTTGTCCTTAGCACCACTGTAGAGCATCTTTGAGGTGGATATTAGGAGCTCTACAAATGTATTATATATACATAGACCTATCTGTATGTAGAGTTATACATGTGACACCCATCTTGCCAGGTGAGAGTGTGCTGGTGTGTAAGCCGAATGAGAAGAGTCGCGCCATGGAGCTGATGAAGTCCGAGCTGCCTCCAGTGAGGAGTTGCCTCATCCGGGAGGGGAGTGAGGGGCTCAGCTCCAGCATGAAGAGGGCAATACTGGAGGTGGGGCATCACTTGTCGATTTACATGTCTCATTTGCCTTACATCATTAAAGTTGTCAAAACATCTGTCAACTATTTCCACAATGATGTTTTTACCAAATGAGTACTGATAATTTTACGCCACACTCAGCAATATTCCAGCTATATGGCTGTGGTCTGTAAATAATCAAGTCTGGACCAGACAATCCAGTGATCAACAGCATGAACATCGATCTACGCAATTGGGATATGATGACATGTGTCAACCAAGCCAGCGAGCTTGACCACCCGATCCCTTTAGTCGCCTCTTACGACAAACATGGGTTACTGAAGATCAATTCTGACCCGGATCTTCATGGGTCCTTAAATAATGACTACAGCAGAGATGGGATCTATCGTAATATAGACAAAATACTTGGTAATTGGGTTTGTGATCAATATGGTGTGAGTGAAGTTTAACTCAGTCTCGGCTGTATGTCATACAGTGTTGTCTTTGTGCAGATTGTGGTTAGTGGTGTTGCAACAGCTCCTCAGGATGTTGCTGCATACGCGTCGTGTACGATGTTAGCAGCCACTTCGGAGGAGCAGGACAACAACCAGTTGATCGACACCTGCATCAGCTTCCTCAGAGAGAACGAGTTTGTCACACTGAAAACTACTAAAAACAGTGGTAAGACTAAATATTTATGTCAGGGTAGAGATTACGATCTGGTAGAATCGGAGATACCTGATCTAGTAAGAGGATCCATATTTCAGTGAGTTGTATTTTACACCGCTTTAGCAATATTCCAGCAAAATCACGGAGAAAATGGGTTTCACACATTGTACCCATGTGGGGAAACAAACCCGGGCCTTCAGCAGGACAAGTGAACGCTTTGACCACTGGGCTACCCCACTGCCTCCACATATTTCAGAGCAACTGGATGTCTGGTTATGGTTGCTGTGATTTGATGATCGGTAACATCGGGTCCAGTTGCTTCCTGATGCTTTTCTCAAAAGCATTGAGTTTATGCCATGAGAAAAGATACATGCTTGTGGTAAATCATGCACAGGGGCAGTGGGGTAGCCTTGTGTTCGCTCGTCACACAGAAGACCAGGGTTCAGCACATTGGTACAATCTGTGGAGCCCACTGCTGGTGTCCCTAGCTGTGATATTGTTGGAATATTGCTAAAAAAACCCTCCTCACTCAATCACAGCGTACTAGGGGCCTGACTTTGTAACTACCTGGTCTTCATTTCAGTTTTGCTTCTGTGACAAAGAGAGATGTTTATTCTATACTTGAATGCCCAACAGTTATATGCCTTACCTGTTGTTAATGTTGAAGGTTGGTTTGTTGAGACACATGCACACTCACTCACATGAATGCAAGAAATGCATGCACGCATGAAAGCAAGGAACTACGTCAAATTGGCTTTGACAATAGCTTTTATGCTTTCCCCGTCAGATGGCAGTACCAGTGAGAGATTCTATCCCACCCAGCTAGGTTCAGCAGTGCTTGCCTCATCTCTCTCCCCGGACGAGGGACTGGCCGTGTTTGCAGAGCTGCAGAGAGCTCGACGCTGCTTTGTTCTAGAAGATGAGCTGCATGTCATATATCTGGTGGGTTGTGTTTTCTACATTAACAGCTCTTCAGCTATAGTCTACGGAACTGTCCTCACCTCAAGTATCTCCCCATTAATAACAGTTTACTGTTGATTTTGAACTGTATACAGATATAGGATTTTGTTCATCACCTTAAGACAAGAAATCAACTTGCCTTAACCAGTTTCTATAAGTCAGGTAGGTAACATCTGTGTTTGATTTGTGCAGGGCTGGTGGGGTAGCCTTGTGGTTAAAGCGTTTGCTTGTCACGCCGAAGACCTGGGTTCGATTCCCCACATGGGTACAATGCGTGAAGCCCATATCTGGTGTCCCCTGCTGTGATATTGCTGGAATATTGCTAAAAGCGGCGTAAAGCTAAACTCACTCTCACTTTTAGGCTCAATGTTTGTCTTCAGTGGACCATAACAGGGTGTTTACAGATATTTGTTTGAAATAAGAGGATATAAGTTACCATATCTTCCATATCATAAGTTCAGTTTGTTTGACAGTACTCCTCTATTTATGGACGTCAACTTCTGTAACGATTAATGTGACGTTTTGGAGTGTGTTCTTATGACTTCAAAATATGAATGAAAATTATTAAGCCAGTTGTTAATTGGAGCTGATTGATAATACCACTGGACAAATGGAAGCCAGGAGTAGATCCAGGCATAAATGGTACTGATAGGTAATAAGCTCTGATTGGTAATGGACAAAAGATGGCAGACATGGATGCCAGATAGATGGATAGCAGCACAGATAATACTCCTCTATAACTAATGTCATACTTGGACCCCCTCTCCAGCAGCCTGTGGTGTTTATAAGGGTGACTTAATGCATTGGATGGTCAGACTTGGTGGACTGTGTATCATGACTCATATGAGTCACTGGATTATCTGGTCTACACTGTTAGGCCCACATTACAGCTGAAAATTAACCAAATGTGGCATTAACCAAATAGTGTTATGTTATGTTCAGAAGCCTACAGTGTGTATGTTGATGATGACAGGTGACCCCTATCTACTCCGGGGAGGTGTCGGCCAACATAGACTGGTACCAGTTCTACTGCAGCTGGGAGAAGATGCACCCTAGTCGGCGCCGTGTGGCCGAACTCGTTGGTGTGGAGGAAGGCTTCATTGTCAAGGCAGTCAGAGGACGCATTGTCACCAAGACAGCTGCTCAGGCTCGGTCTGTCGCCATTCATCGGAGGTTTTACACCAGTCTAGTTCTGCTGGATCTTGTACAGGAAGTTCCACTGAATGAGGTCGCCAGGAAGTACAATGCCAACAAAGGTCAACTTCAGTCTCTGCAGCAATCCTCTGCTACTTTTGCAGGTGAAATATTTTCCTTGAAACAAATAATGATCTTCATCAAATGGTTTTTTAATGCAAATAAAACATGGCACTAATTGGAAGGAATGGACTTAAACATGTGATGCATGTGGTCTCAACTAAGGCAAGTGAGTTTGTTCAAAATTGCCTCTGTTCACCCAGCAGAAAATGGGTACCCGGTGGAATAAGTCATATGACTATAACCTTCTAGCACCTAACAGGCAGCTTGGGTTATCAGGAGTAAGAATGGTGTGCTGTTTGTGCATGCTTTGATCATGCCCCTTTGTGTTGTGGAGTATTGCGTGGTATAAGTACCCTCATTATTATTATTAACACACATGGAATAAGTATAAACATGTCATTAAGTTGTATCTTACTGGATGATTTCTTGAGTTCATAGTGCAGTCCAAGAAGCATGTTGTTATCCTAAGGCTTGTTTTGTTTTCATAAATTGGTTTCCGCAGTTTTAAGGCTGGTGGCCAAAATTTTTTCAGAATGTAATTCCTTGAAAGTTTGGTGAAAGTATTATTTGTGAAATGCAAAAAATGAATAAAAAATTTAGTAGGAAATGTCAAGAGGGTTACTTAATCTTTTCACGCCATAATGATTTGCCCCTTCATGACAAATTATGGTGAAAGTGTTCTGTACAAAACTCCCTTGACAATGACTACTCTTCATTTCTAATCATGCTGACAGTGTTCGCCACGATACTCTCTCTGCAATGACTGGTCCCTTCCTCACTAGGTATGGTGACTGTGTTCTCTACCCTACTCTCTCTACAATGACTGGTCCCTTCCTCACTAGGTATGGTGACTGTGTTCTGTGGCCGCCTTGGATGGTACAACCTGCAGCTGATCCTGTCACAGTTCCAGAACCGACTGACCTTTGGCATCCAGCGCAAGCTGTGTGACCTGGTCCGCATCTCCCTCCTGAACGGGCAGCGTGCCCGCCAACTGTACAACGGTGGCTATCAGACAGTTGCCTCCCTTGCTAACAGCAACACACAGGATGTGGAGAATCTGCTTAAAACATCCTCACCATTTCAAAGGTATGAAATCAGTGTTTGTGAGTTTGAATGAATGTTGTTCCATCCAAGTCAGCAATATGCTCATCATCATGGCAGTTTTTGAATTAGGATTGAGTCTGTGCCCGACAAGCACTGGTTGACAGAATGAAAAGTGATTCACATTCACTGTATGTAAGAAGCAGACCATTCTGAAGAAAAAGGTAAGGTTCACAGTAGGACCAGTCAATTGGTTTGGCACACTTGCATCTCTTGGGCATGCCAGAAACCATTGATCTTGGGTTCAACTCCCAGTTCATCCTAATTATGTTTCTTGTTTGTCCACACCATAACCATGCTTCTGGGTCTAAACATCTAGGACCTCCATCTCCTCAGATTTTTTTATCCCACATTCAGCTGACACACTGTGATGTAACTGAAATACTGTTCAATGCAGCATTAAGCACTCACTCACTCACTCACTCACTCACTCACTCACTCACTCACTCACTCACTCACTCACTCACTCACTCACTCACTCCACTCACTCACTCACTCACTCACTCACTCACTCACTCTAATGATGTGATGAACCATAACATGCATGCATTTTCATAGGAACAGATCTTTGTGCCCCGAACTGTTGGATGAGGTTATGGTAAATTCAATAAGAAGTTCAGCTGTCAAGTCTATTTTGTTGGTTACGAGGGTGAATAAAAACTAGATTAATCAATGGGAAAGTGAAAATTGTATTCATATTTGCAGGGAGAGCCTCCTCTAACATATTTGTTGTGTTTCCCTGAAAATTTCATTGAAATTTGTTTCGGCATGATTAGTTCCAAGAGACAAGACAATGAAAGTGAGTGGGAGATGGAACAGAGAAAGAAGGCTCGCAGTATCTGGCTCAGCGGCAAGAAAGGGGTGACAGAAGCTGAGGCAGCAGCTGCCATCATAGAAGAGGCCAAAAGCATCATTCAGGCTGAGTTAGGAGGTCTCGGCATCCAGTGGAAGCAGCAAGGTCCTGAAGCTGAAGCTGAGGCAGATCAAACATCAGACTCCAGTGTAAGAGAGGAGCAGGATAGGACTGGTAATGTGAAGGTGTGTGTCACCAGACCAGGATCTCACAATGAGAGCAGTGTTGATACCCCATCTTTGAATCAGGGATCAACTCCTGGCAGGACACCATCAACTTCAGGAAGGACACCATCAAACCTCAGCAGACAGCATGGGGCAAGGGCAGGGAGTTCACGGTCAGGAGGCAGGCTAAGTTCAGGGTCACGAAACAGGGTGAAGAGGAGGACAGGGTCTTCTTTGATTTCTCCTGCAAGGAACAACTCAGGCGGGACTGGAGCCAGCAACAGTTCTGTCTCAAGGATAACACTTCTCCCAAGTTGGGAACAGGGAGAGGCACTGTGGAACAGACAGAGACAATCCATGTAGGCCTGATTGTAAGTCCTCCACCAGCACTGAGGACATCTTTCAGTAAGTTATCAACAAGTCCTCAGAGTGCTCCTCAAAGCAGGGCTGACTCTAGGCCTGGTGGAGAAAGTAGTACCAGTGTTGTTATGACCTGTGATGAATCCCTCAAGAGGATGGCAAGAAGGACATCTAGGGATAATGAGGAGAAAATAAGTGTCACTGAAAACATTGATGTGAAGGACAAAATCTCAAATATAACACAGGACATTTTGCCATCTGGCAAATTGCAACAAAACATTTGCCCTGTTAGCAAAAAATGTCAAGATTCACAGAAAGAAAATGTTCATTTTTCTAATGGAAAACATCCATTGGATTCTTCCAGTTCAAAAACAAATTCAGATGAACTACCTGTTGCAGTCCTTCCTGATGGTGTGATTAATAGGTCTCCAAATGTAATTCCATTAGAACCAGTGGTGACAATAGAAAAACGACCAAGTGTAAATGAGGACAACTTGACCGAAGATTTGTTCACAGATTCATTCACCTCTCAGATGATTCTGGATGTCAAAAACTCTCCGAATATCCCACAACAATCCCAAATCTCGAGTCCAGAAAACAGTGCCGAACATGTAAACTCTCCAACTAATGACAGGAACACAGGGACTGAGTGTGATGGGGAAGACTTCACAGATAGCTTCATCCTTGACACCCAGATAGCTAAAGCTGTATCAGGGAAAGGGAGCTGTTACTCATGGCACACCAAGTCATGGCTGCATGCCTCACGGACAGAGTTGTGTTGGGTCTGTGAGTAACAGAACAGAGTCCAGTAAACAAACTGAAGCCCTGGTTAAAGAGACAAGCCCTCCACTGTACACTGAAGAGGGGGTTCAGGATTTCAGTGGTTCTGATACATTGATATTACAGTTGGAGAGCTGCCCACCAACCCACAGATCATCTTCTGAATCCCATGACAAAGAGAATGGTGGTTCTGTTCATGGACAGGGTGAAGGGTTGGTAAAGAAAGGGACTACTTCCTGTAATGTGATTAGTGCTCAACAAACAGAGACAAGTCCTGTAATGTATAGTGAGGAGGGCGATAAGGATTTTAGTGGTTCTGATGCTTTGATTCTGCAACTGGAGAGCTGCCCACCTACCCAGAGCATTAAATCCCCTTCAGAGACTTGTGACAATGGGAAAAGAGTACCTAGTGGGCCAACATCACCGCTATGTGACATGGATGATTCTACTGGTTTGATTCCGGCCAGCAACTATGAGAGGATAGCCTATCAAGAAGATGCATTCATGGACTCCACAATGTTTGAGACATCTTACACTGAGCTGAAGATTCCAGACAAGCATCCTCAAGACAACAGAGTCACCAAGGTCACTGTGAAGGTCACCCATTGTGATAACAAAGCTGTGGATCAGATCTCAGAAGATAGAACAGTCTGTCCTAGAGGATCATGTGATAATGTTGTACGGGTAGAGATTGGTCTGAAGATGAGGAAGACGCCAGATGAATCTCATACAGGAGCTTTACAAGATCATCCTGGAGGTCAATGTGATACTGAACAGATGCTACAGAATAGGGAGAGGCCAGAGAAACCTGCTTCAGAACATCCTGGCCCGGTGTCCTGTGACTATGATGAGCAGCTGCTGCAGGGGGATCTGGCAGCTGCCCTCAACATGACAGACTCTTTTTCTTGCTCTCTCCTCAACAGTCAGAAAGGAGCAGGGAAGAGTCACAGCAAAACTATGAAAGCTCCTGTTGCCCAAAACCTTGTCAGACAGGCCCAAACTAAGGCAGGTCTCCCCAGTACTAGTCAGTCTTGTGATTTGTCAAAGAAAGGTAACTGTGATAAAGAAACTATTAAGATTCAGTCAAAGCATTCTGTGAAAAGGAATAATGGAAAGGTACTAGCAAGGTCACCTTTAATGGAATTTGATGATCCAGATAACATTTTTGGAGATTCTTTATCATATTCCATGGTTGAAAAACTTTTTGATGACAACAAGGCCAAATCGGGTAATATGGATTCAAACTGTGATAACAAAACAACGACTGAGTCAGATAAACCAAGAGGTGATACTTTGCCCAAGAGGAAAAGGAAGAGTGTGGAGGCACAGGCTTCTACACCAAATATTTCTCGGAAGCAGAAGAAAGATGAACCGACACCTGGACTGGGTACATCACACAATGACAGCAACGGCAGTGACTGCCTCCCACCAACACCACCTGATGGAAACAAGGTCATCATGTCACCATGTCTTAGGGTGACGCCAGCTCGAAGCTGTAGAAAGGCGCCCCTCAGTGCCTCAGTCCTCAAGACACAGGCTGGTAAATCTGCTACTTCTAAGAAGAAACCTTCAGGTCCAGTAAAGAATATTCTAAAAGATGATAATGATCCTGGAATGAAAGGCAAATCAGGAGGATGTGACACAGATGCTGAGGCTACACATGACAGAAAGATAAAGGAATCTGGTGTTAAGGGTGCTTCTTCATCTTATCCTGAAGCTTCATCAAATGCACCACCTTCACAGTCCACTGGAGTAGGAGATGCAGATATTCTGTTTACACAGGAGTCCTTTACCATCATTGATGTGTGTGCAGATCGTAGGCTGTTTGAGAGTTTCATCACAGAATGGCGAGGCAAGGGAGAGTACTCTCTGTGTGTTGCGTGTGAGAAGAAGCCGTCTTGTCAACCTCAGGCTGGTGTTGGTATAGGAGGAAACTTCATCAAGAGTGAGTACTGTTGAGGTGTTGAAATGATGAAACACTAGAAATCTGAGACAAGTTAATCAAGAGAAATGTAATGCTTTGATTTAAAAAATGTGATTAAGATTTTAGTGTGTCAGCTCCTAAATATGTCTTCTGGCTGGAAACTAGCTAATGCATGAGACCAGATATCACCAACACTCTGTTTTAGCAATCATGCAATGGTGAATTGGTTTAATTTTGGGTTTTTTGAAGATTGACACATTTTCCAAGATATGATGAGCACGACCGACTCTGGAAATGTGATAAATGCACTATGAGTGCTCTGACTGTAGTAAATCTGTTTAAATGTTGGGGATTTAAGGTACGACTAGTCAGAGATCCAAAATTGTTTGAATGAATTTGAAAAGGATCATGTGGATTGAATATATTACAAAGCCAGAGATTTTGAAATAGTTTGAAATAATTGTGTATATGCTGAAACATTCTAGTTCATGTCGATTATAACAAAGAAATCATGGTCTCTGATCATGTTGACATTAACATAATGCTGGTCGCTGTGTTTTTATGTAGACAGCAGGAAGTCAGTTGCCTCCCTTGTTCCTGGGATTGAAGTGGATGGTGACGTCCGTGTCATTGTGGGTGTGGCAGTGTCCTGGGAGAACAGGGACGCCTACTACATCTCTTTCTCCACTGTCAGTGGCATCAGTAAGTTCAAGTAATACTCACTAAGTTAAACCCCCCACTACATGACCTGGAGATCATCAAAAGTATGCTTAACTACCCACAATTTGTTTTCATTAGACAGGAAAGATGTGGTTGAAAGTCAATGCATCCACATAGTCCTAATGTTACAAGTGATAGATATAGACATGATAGACAAGCCTAACATTCAAATTCTTTGTCCACAGATTTTTTGCTCTGTTCAAAAGACTCAGATTAAGTGTTCAAGTTATTGTCTCAGATGAAATTCACTACACAGTTTGACTCACTATGCTATTCAAACTTGATGATGCAGATATATTTCCTTCACTTATTTCAGGCAATTATTTTATTTCTATTGTCATATCTTTGATTACCTTTGAATCTTTTTGAATCTGTTCTGGTTTTGCCCCTTGTGATGAATGACTTAGACCATACCCTACTAGTGTCATCAGTGCTGGGCTGGTCTTTCCCAGTCTCCACTGTTTACAGGCGTATTGCTGAAATATTGCTGTCCGAAGAGTTAAACAAACAAAAAGCTTCCTTGACTTGTTTCTCTACACATGTAGTTTTCTTAAATCTGTCAACACTTGTTACCAGGTGACCCTGACGACACACTAGCCCCACCCCCTCTAGACACCAGTCTCTCGCTTGAGGAGAAGATCAGCAGCATCAAGTCAGTGCTGGAACACGGCCACACCCACTCAGTCACCCTCATGTCCTATGATGTCAAGTCCCAGTACACTACCCTGGCTAGGGGATGTGGCTTGTGTCTGGGAGGGCGTGTCCAGGACCCCCGTATTGCCAGCTGGCTGCTGGACCCGGGGGCGAGGGAGAAGAACATGCAGGGGCTCGTCACCAACTACCTGCCCCAAGAGGTCTTCATGATTGACAGTAGGTTCCGAGGAATAACTTGAGGGGGGTCAAAATAGGCCCCGACCCTCCCATGCCCTTTGTGACTAGGGTGCAGGTGTGGTGTATGAGTCAGTGAGTTTAGGTTAATGACGTTTCTAGCAATATTCCAGCAATATCATGGCAGGGGACACCAGAAATGGGCTTCACACACTGTGCCCATGTGGGGAATCGAACCCAGGTCTTCGGCATGACAAGCGAACGCTTGAACCACTAGGCTACCCCACCACCCAAAAGTGTGGTGTATGGCCTATAGCCATGTGTTAAGATAGAGTGGATCATTGATCATGCTTATGGCCAACCATGTTGACAAGACCTGTTATTTACAGGTCGCTTGACAGAGATGTTAATATTGTTAACTGCAGCACAGAAAACATTGGCTCACTGACTAGCTCAGCTGTCTTAAAATGAGCATCTCACTGTGCCGATTTGCTTCCATTAGATGTGACAGAACTCTGTAATCATGTGTCTCTAAATACCAGATTTGCCCACTTAGTGTATTTCGGTCTGTAAATAATCTAGTCTGGACCAGACAATCCAGTGATCCTTCATCATGTAAATGTTTCAGATAAAACCAAAATGTCTAACAGCAGGCAATCTAAACAGAGAATTCTAGCAACAGATGAAATTATATGTACAGGTATATAATGAGATGTGTCATACATAGCGTCTTTTATAATAGTTTAGTGGTACATTGCTGATTCACATCAGACAAACCACCAGAATGCCAGGTGATGTAATATAATGATGTGTTATGGCAGATATCGGAGGCGGGTTGGGGCTGGGGAGTGTAGGGCTGGCACCCCTACCCCCGGGCAGTGGACGATACAGAGCCACGGTGGAAAGTGTCCTGACCAGGAGACTCATGGCCTTCTTCATGGAGAGGCTGAAGGACGAAGGGCTGACTGAAGCCTTCTGTGACGTTGAGATGCCAGTTGTCCTCACCATGGCCAGGATGGAGCTCAATGGATTTGGTAAGACTAACACTTCATTCTTAACATTTATTAAATAATGAGGGGCAGTGGGGTAGCCTAGTGGTTTACTTTACAACAATTGTTGTTATTCGTCCGTTAAGACCCGGGTGGAATCCCCAGAGAAGGGTACACAATGTGTATAAGCCCAGGTGTTCCCTGACGTGATGTTGCTGGAATATTGCTAAAAGCAGCATAAAACCAAACTCAGTCAGTCAGTATTAATTAATGAGAAACCTTCGTTAAATTGTAATGGTAGTTTACTTTGCAGACCAATTGTTGTTATTGGTAGTTATGATGAGATAAAACATATGAACACCAATGTTATCTAAATCAATTTTCCCTTTGCAATAACTTTTTTCTGAAACTTGAAAAATCCCTCTTTGTATTTCTTCTACAGCCTTTAGTAACTGTGACCAGAACACGGTCTTGTGAGGCAAGTAAAAATAAATGCTCCATTGTTTCTGGCTGAACATTGACAAATACAAGATGGTTCAGGTGCAATGACTGATCTATTGCAGCCATTTCCTGATGTAATCACGATAAGCTTATTAATATTAGGACACTGGACTGTCGAGATGTAACACAATGAAAGATTTCCGGGTGGCCTTGTATGTTCAGAGTTCTACATTAGTTCATAACCCCAGACTCAGTTTTTTGGTGTTATTCAACTTCAACACTGATCATAATCAAAACATCAGACCAACTCTGTGATTTTTTTGCAGAATTTATGTCCTAAAAATTAAAAAGTTGTTTAACAAATTATCATTAAAAGTTTGAAGAAGTTCACTATTTGTTACGAGGGAGGGCTGCAAAGAGAGGAACAGCCAGGTGTACGCGGAGCACATGCCGACAAGTTATTGAATCATTTACCTGTGCTGTCTCCATCCTTTCTCGCACACCTGGCTGTTCCTCTCTTTGCACCCCTCCCTCATAACAAATAGTGACCTGTGTCAAAATTTTAATGATAGTTTGTTAAACAACTTTTTTAATTTTAGGACATTAATTCTGCAAAAAAATCACAGAGTTGGTCTGGTGTTTTGATTATTATCAGTGTTTCATCTAGCATTATATGTTTAGTAGTTTTCGAGTTACATTGCAATTCATCAGTCCAATTTTGACCCAAACGGACTATAGTTAACAACATCTCAAAGTTTCAGAGTTGAGAAAATTAAATTACATTGAACCATACATAAAATGACTTTAAAATGTCTTTTCATATCTTCAAGGCTTATACAAGTCAGGTAAAATGAAAAAGGAAGCATTTTTATAGAAATAATATTGTCATGGGTTTGTGTTTCACGTGAGATGTATTGTCCTCAGATGTATAATCAAAAGTAGATGCTTTGAGTAAAGATCAAAAGACACTTAATGAGCTTATTGAAGGGAGACAACTTGTTCAGTGTTGAAACACTGGCGATGGATTTTATGTTGTGTCACTTGGGTGAATGAGTGAGTTTTACGCTGCTTTTAGCAATATCACGGCAAGAGACACCAGAAATGGGCTTCACACATTGTACCCATGTGGGGAATCGAACCCAGTTCTTCGGATGTGACGAGCGGACACTTTAACCACTAGGCTACCCCATCACCTCTTGTGTTACTTGGATTTTCCGGTATAGATTGTATTTTGAAATGGCTGTGGACAACTTTGTGCTTCAGGTTTCAGTGAGACTGAGTGTGACAGTCAGAAGACTGTTATGGAGGCCAAGTTGACTGCCCTTGAGAGTCAGGCCTACGAGTTAGCCAAACACCCATTCTCCCTCTCTTCTACAGATGATGTTGGGCAGGTAAGGTATACGGTTCCCCTTCATTCGCCTACAGATACTAGGATAATGTATACCTGTCTGTAGTCTAATCAAGTCTATGCCTGTGGATCTAGTTATGCATTGCACACTTAAAAGATATCTAGAACATTTTATTCATGTTCTGTAAAATATGACTTGTCACTCACCACAGGCATTAAGATTATCCTTAATCTTTTCATAGTGATGGGTTTTACCAAAGTAGCAAATGTCTCAGACATGCATCATTTGTTTTTCTCACATGTCGGTAGATTATTTCAGGACACACATTTTACCATGGGGGAAGGGGTTTATGTACAAAATAAGTGAACTCCCCTGCATGTCATGCACAAAATCAATGGCACCCCCTCCCCTTCCCATCATTTTAAGCTATAATTTTAAACATATTTTTATGTACAAAATTGCTGACACCCCAACCCCCAGTCCAGTTCATGTGAACAAAATGATGACCCCCCTATCTCTCTGTCAAGTCTCTGTCTGGGTCTGCCCCTCTCTCTCTCTCTCTCTCTCTCTCTCAGCAAATTGAAGTGGTTGGTTGAGATAAATTGCACCCTCCTCTCTCTCTCACTCTTTCCCCCTCTCTCCCTCCCCCAAAGCCATAAATTATGATCGGTCCCTAAGGTTTAAAAGCTGCAGAGTGAGTGAGTTTTGTTCCACACTAAGCATGGGGCCTGCCCTGGACCCCTAATCACCATTTTCTCCATAATCCCAGGTTCTGTTCGTGGAGCTACAACTCCCCATCAATGGTGACCCCAACTCTGCCCCCGTGACACGGACAGTGGGCCACCGCGGCCAGCGAGGACGTCAGAAGGCTTCGTACAGCACCTCCAAGGACGTCCTGGAGAAGCTGAAGCCCCTCCATCCTCTTCCCGGGGTGATCCTGGAGTGGAGGCGGATCTGCAATGCTCTCACCAAGCAGGTGTTCCCCCTTCAGAAGGAGAAGGTCCCCTGTCCGCACCTCAACATGTTCCGCATCTTCGGGGAGTGTCAGCTGCACACTTCAACAGGGAGAGTGTCCATGTCGGAACCAAATCTGCAGAACATCCCTAAAGATTTTGAAATTGCTATGCCAGGTAACTTTATTTTTGTAGGTTTATTTTTCTCAATATTTTAATCATTATGTCCATTCAATTCTATATGGATGAAAGAAGTTTTTGACCTTAAGATGTTCCAGTGACAAATATTCGGTACATCTAAATGTACAATTAGTTGTCAACAAGCAGAATTATTTAGTATTACATGGAAAGCCCAATATCTGAGGGAATTTATTGTATGTTATTTGGCCAGGATCATTTTCAAGCTTAACTACCGGTGAAGATCTGGGTTAGAATTGGCCTTCAGCAATCTGTTTGTTGTAAGAGGCAACTAATAGGATCGAGTGGTCAGGCTCGCTGACTTGGTTGACACATGTCATCGCATCCCTGTTGCGTAGATCGATTCTCATTATGTTGATCACTGGATTGTCCGGTCCAGACTCAACTAGCTACAAATCGCCGCCACAAAGCTGGAATATTGCTGAGAGCTGAGTTAAACAACAAACAAACAATTTAAGCTAAACATAAAGATTTAGGATGTAACACTCAACTGGAAGAGGCTAGTTGATTGAAAGGTACCTTAACAATGCTTTGAATTTAAGTTGTTTCGAATGAACAGTTGAAAAGTAATAAGAAACAGGAGAAATTTTGTGCGTGTGTCATCATACTTCCGGTGACATGAACTGTGTCATCATACTTCAGTGACATGAACTGTTGTTCCCTATATCATGTGCCTGTCCAGTCATGATTTGATCCCCCGGAGAGCGGAAGGTCGCGGGTTCGAACCCCGACTGCGTCTACCAAAAGACGTTAAAATATGGTACTTGTTGGTCCCTGCCTGGCGTTCAGCATTAATGGGTACAACAAGGACTGGTCGGCTCGGAGTCAGTATACTGTGTCTGAGTGGGGTCTTCATGCTTCACTGCGGCATGGTATCTCAGTGGGCTAGCACTATAAAACCAGCTTCAGTCTGGGCTAGTACAAGCAGCTGCATATACATATACACACGCATGCACGTCGTCATATGAGCGAAATATTCTCAAGCACGACGTTAAACCCAATTTCACCTCACCTCACCTCATGATTTGATCCCACGTGTACTGCAGTGATACACCATGCTCTCACTCCTAGTTTTAATCTCATGATTGTACAGACCTGATTGGTGAGAGTCCGCCAGCCAACACCATCAACATGCCAGCACTCAGACCAAGGGAGGTAATTCTAAGTTGAGGCAGGTTCTCGGAGGCAATCGTCAAGTTGCCAGGGTAATGGATACAGCACAGTCAGTCAGTGTGGCAGTCAGCATGAGACATGCATTTGTTCCCTTCAAAGGTGAGCGCCAGTGATGGAGATTTATGATAAGTTTTAAGAAAAACTTCACAATTACTTTGTAGATTGTAGTTCTGTCAATTAATATGATTCTTAATGTTGACTCATATTTATGATGATTAGCCATACGATAAAACATCTCCCACGACCAAAAACATTTAGTGTTACTTGGTTCTTGTTGGCAGAAGTTCATCTTGTAATAGCATGCATTCTTCTCATTCCATTACAAAAGGTCCCCAGCAAGTATCCTATGTATTAAGAATCAACTTAATGGATTGTACTGTTAGACTAAGTGACTTGTTTGTGTGGATAGATCATTGCCCATTATATCAACAATGAGAGTGTCTAGTCCAGATTTGATTATTTACATGTATCTGTGAAGATCTGGGTTAGAATTGGTCTTCAGCAACCCATGCTTGTTGTAAGAGGCGAGTAACATGATTGGGTGGTCAGGCTCTGCAATTGCATAAGGTCGATGCTCATGCTTTTGTCACTGTATTGTCTGGTCCAGACTTGATTATTTACAAACCGCCGCCATATAGCTGGAATATTGCTAAGCGCAGTGTTAAGCAACAAACCAACCATTCCAGTAGAAAAGGTCCCCACCAAGTGTTCTTAGTCTTTAGAAGCCAGACTTGTTTTTGTGGATAGATCATTGCTCAACAACGAGAGTGTCTAGGCCAGACTTGATTATTTACAAGCTGTCATACAGCTGGAATGTTGCTAAGTGTGGCATGAAACACCTGAGAAACTATTCCCTCCAGGTGGTGTTCTGCTAGCTGCGGACTACTCCCAGCTGGAGCTGCGGATCATTGCCCACTTGTCCCAGGACAGGAAACTCATGTCTATCCTCAACAAGGATGGAGATGTGTTCAAGCTGATTGCAGCCCAGTGGAAGAACTGTTCTCCTGATGACATCACCAGCGTAGAGAGGGCCCAGGCTAAACAGGTACTAATGAGGCTATAGGTGATTTTATGAATGCTTCTCTCAACTGTTGATACAGTTTCTTGGGACAGGGGTAGGAAGCGGAAAGGAGGGGCTAATTCATGAAAAGTATTTCAAAATGAAATTGTAGTTATGGTATGGGAACGGTTTTCACTGATTTAACGTACTTCATCATGCCAGATGAATGCAACTTGTTCAAGAAATAATGTGTCTCTGATAATCTTGTAAAGTTTTGGTTGACCTTACCAGGCATAGCACTTGAAACCTGCTGCAGTCTGTTTTATGGGGTAGATCATGTAATTTTACACAATCTGTGGTTGGTGGAAAAGGCCCTCTCATCATTATAATTGGTAAACATTTTCTCACTACATTGTTTAGCTATGATAAGCAAGGAAGCTAGTCTGCCTGTCATTACTGTGAATTGGTTATCAAGTCATGAATGGTAGATATTCAAAACTTTCCACATATGTGCAACTGGCCAAAGATACATTGACATTTTGTTTAACACATTTTCTGCTAAAAAAACATAGGTCATGGGAAAGGAATCTTTTCTAGACCATTTCTATACCAAATAACTCCTGCAGAAGAATAGACATGAGCTATGACAATGGGCTTTCATATAGACTTTGACAGTCAGTGTTAAGATTACTTTGTGGAAGAGGAACCTCACCTGCTACTTTTGACAGGAGTCTGAAGCTTATGTCTACTCACTGTGCTTACTAAGGACAGACCCGTGAAGTTCCGGGGTAGAATAGGTCTTCAGCAACCCGTTCTTGTCATAAAAGGCTACTATGCTTGTCATAAAAGGCGACTAAGGGGATCGGGTGGTCAGGCTCGCTGATTTGGTTGACACATGTCATCGGTTCCCAATTGCGCAGATCGATGCTCATGCTGTTGATCACTGGATTGTCTGGTCCAGACTCGATTATTTACAGACCGCCGCCATATAGCTGGAATATTGCTGAGTGAGGTGTACAACTAAACTCACTCACTCACTACTAAGGACAACACCTGAGATAGTAAAACTAAGTATCGACTGAGCTGAAATGCCACTTGTGACTTGCTACATGATGGTTGTATTCCTTGTTGGCTACAGGTGTGCTATGGCATGTTGTATGGTATCGGACCCAAGGCTCTGGGGGAGCAGCTTGGAGTTGATGAGAACGACGCCTCTGTCTTCATGGAAACTTTCAAGGCGAAGTACCCAGGTGGGTTTCACACATGAGTGAACAGTACAGCAACTTTTGTCCTACCTTTCAGCAGATGTGGATAAGTTGTTGGTATTTTGTGTGTCGTATCATGTTCATGTCTGAAAGGGGGCGTTAGGGTAGCCTAGTGGTTAAAGCGTTGGCTCGTCACACCGAAGACCCGGGTTCGAATCCCCACATGGGTACAATGTGTGAAGCCCATTTCTGGTGTCCCCACCGTGATGTTGCTGGAATATTGCTAAAAGCGGCGTAAAACCAAACTCAGTCAGTCATGTCTGAAAGACTTGATGAGTATGCAGTCTCATGTTTTTACTTTTCAATTTAAGGACTGTTTGAGAGGAACCAAATAATAATACTTTTGAACAGTCTATACTTTTGAAGAGACTTTCATTCATGAACAAGATAGGCATCTGAATCGGGGAGAAAAGACCTGATTGTTGTGTAATGTCACACTCATACATTACTGTAGCTACATGAACCAGACAATCCAGTGATGGACATAGTGAGCTATGATCCACACCATACTGGTATGAGGATCAACAGTCAACAAGCCCCGCTACCAACTCCAAGCCTTTAACGACCAGGACAGATTGCTGGGAAACAATTCAAAACTGCAATATCAACAAGAGTGGAACTCATTCCCCAATGTGACAACCAAGTCACAGAACCTGACCTGGGATCCATCTGGACAAATTCTAACCTGTCATCTCCACTGGGTACCGCCTCCGTGGTGTAGTGGTTAGAGCGTCCGCCCGGAGAGCGGAAGGTTGCGGGTTCGATCCCCGACCGCGTCATACCACAAGACGTTAAAATATGGTACTTGTTGGTCCCTGCCTGGCGTTCGGCATTAATGGGTACAACAAGGACTGGTCAGCTCTGAGTCAATATAATGTGTCTGAGTGGGGTATTCATGCTTCACTGTAGCATGGTATCTCAGTGGGCTAGCACTATAAAACCAGCTTCAGTCTGGGCTAGTACAAGCAGCCGCACATACACATACACACGCATGCACGTTGTCATATGAGCGAAATATTCTCCAGCGTGACGTTAAACCCAATTTCACCTCACCTCATCTCCACTGGGGAGGCATAATAATTTATATATTGGCTCTTTTCTAGATCTTTGAACGTCTTCTATTATTTCGAAAGTGATATCAGCATGTTTGTTATGCAGGCCTGCGGACATTCCTGCGGTCCACCGTTGAGTCATGTCTACAACATGGCTACGTCCAGACCATCTCAGGCAGGAAGAGGTACCTCCCGGCCATCAAGGATGTCAACCCACACTCCAGGGCACAGGTACATACTGTAGGGGGATATCTGGTGGGGTGGCCTAGTAATTAAAGTGTCTGCTCATCACGCTGAAGACCCGGGTTTGATTCCCCACATGGGTACAATGTGTGATGACCATTTCTGGTGTCCCCCACCATGATATTGCTGGCGTATGGCTAAAAGCGGCGTAAAACTATACTCACTCACTCACTCACTCACTCACTCACTCACTCACTCACTCACTCACTCACTCACTCACTCACTCACTCACTCACTCACTCACTCACTCACTCACTCACTCACTCACTCACTCACTCACTCACTCACTCACTGTGGGCTAGTTGTTCATGTGTTACTTTATACACTGGTGGCCATGTTTGATTCCTTGAACAATGTGTGAAGCCTTGCATTTACTGCAATGATATTGCTTGAATAAAGATAAAAGAAGCATTACACTCAACTCACTCATCCAGTCTCTGTTCCTCTCTGGTCAGGGTTAGATTTGGTCCACAGCAACATTTTTATCATGCCAAGCAACTTGGGCCGAATATATGATGTCTTCACATCCACCAAGTTGGTTGGAAGGCATCATACCCTGACAGTGTGGACATCGCTCACAACATCAATCACCGGTTTGTCTGACCAAGACTTGATTATTTGTAGGTCTTCATCATAGAAGTGAAGCATTAGGTGTAGCCTTAGACAAAAAGACAGTCACTAGTAATGCTGATACATTATCTGGCGTTAGTTATCTTGAATTTGAATTTTTGTGTGCATTTGTCATTGTGCATTGTTTGTCATTTGTTCATCATATAACTATCTATGCAGGTACTTGAAATTATAGTGTTATGATTATCATGACAAGGAAAGGCTGATGTGTGTACTGTCCTTGCAGGCAGCGCGTCAGGCTGTCAACACTACAGTCCAGGGCTCAGCTGCAGATGTGGTCAAGGCAGCCATGATACAGGTGGAGCTGGAGCTGGCCAGGGTCCTGCCGGAGAGTGGACGGTCACACCGAGTGTCTCGTAGGTGGACAGGTGAGTGATCGTGCTGCATTGTGGGTGGGTGGACGGTCACACAGGGTGTCTCGTAGGTGGACAGGTGGGTGATCCTGCTGCATTGTGGGTGGAGTTGGGTGGACGGTCACACCGAGTGTCTCATAGGTGGACAGGTGAGTGATCCTGCTGCATTGTGGGTGGACGGCCACACAGGGTGTCTTGTAGGTGGACAAGTGGGTGATCCTCCTGGATTGTGGGTGGAGTTGGGTGGACGGTCACACAGGGTGTCTTGTAGGTGGACAGGTGGGTGATCCTCCTGCATTGTGGAGTGGGTGGACGGTCACACAGGGTGTCATAGGTGGACAGGTGGGTGATCCTGCTGCATTGTGGGTGGATGGTCACACACAGGGTGTCTTGTAGGTGGACAGGTGGGTGATCCTCCTGCATTGTGGGTGGAGTTGGGTGGACGGTCACACCGAGTGTCTCATAGGTGGACGGGTGAGTGATCCTGCTGCATTGTGGGTGGGGACGGCCACACAGGGTGTCTTGTAGGTGGACAAGTGGGTGATCCTCCTGGATTGTGGGTGGAGTTGGGTGGACGGTCACACAGGGTGTCTTGTAGGTGGACAGGTGGGTGATCCTCCTGCATTGTGAGTGGACGGTCACACAGGGTGTCTTGTAGGTGGACAGGTGGGTGATCCTCCTGGATTGTGAGTGGAGTTGGGTGGACGGTCACACAGGGTGTCTTGTAGGTGGACAGGTGGGTGATCCTCCTGCATTGTGGGTGGAGTTGGGTGGACGGTCACACAGGGTGTCTTGTAGGTGGACAGGTGGGTGATCCTCCTGCATTGTGGGTGGAGTTGGGTGGACGGTCACACAGGGTGTCTTGTAGGTGGACAGGTGAGTGATCCCCCTCCATTGTGGCTGGGGTGGGATGGACGGTCTAACCGGGTGTGTCACACTTGGATAGGTGAGTGATCCTACTTCAAAGATGTGGATTGTGACACACACCTCAATCGCAGGTGGACGGGTGATTAAGTCTTCTTGATATTTAGTTTGGAGTGTGATGGATGGGTGTGTCATACTTGGACAGGTGAGTGATTCTCCTTGACACTACACATTGGGATTGGTACAGATGGAGCTAGGTAGACTTGAGACACAGCATGGAAGGTCACGCAGGGTGTGTTACAGGTAGACAGATGTTGAGGTTTTAGTAATGGAAGGGTATGATAATCACCACAAGGTGAGAAGTCATACCTCACAAGGATTAATCAAGTGATGTTTGCTGGCACCCAGTCAGCCTTGTGTGTTGAATTGTGATAAAGCTGTTCTTCAGTACTATCCATTTTTGTTTACGTATGTTGACCTTGTTCAGGTGATTACCTTGAATTATTGATGTTCAATGTGAACACCTGCCATGATTTTAAAGTAATTTTCCTTTCCGAAACCTTAGTAGTCAAAATATGTTAATGCTACGTATATTTTAGAGGGGCAGTGAGGTAGCCTTGTGGTTAAATCATTTTACTTGTCACACTGAAGACACGGGTTCGTTTCCCCTCATGGGTACAATATGTAAAGCCTATTTCTGGTGTTCCCCGCTGGAATATTGCTAAAAGCTGCGTAAAAATAATCTCACTCACTCACACATATTTTAGATGGTTTCTAATGCTAATATTTCATAACGGATTCAAAGTGAAGAACAAATTAAATTGGCATTATGATTTTATTCCGTATTTGAGAAAAATTTGGTTCACAAAGTTTATTTGCATTATGGTAATTGCAATATTAAACATGATTCACCTTCACTTAAAGGTCACATGCAACGTAAAACACACCTTTGCAGATTCTGATACCTTTCGGTATTGACTTACCGAAACAAATCATCAAAAATGCAAATTCAACTTATAAAGTTGAAAAATAACGCAATAATGAAAAACCGTTTAAAATCGTAGTTCAAACAATTTACTAACTTTCCCCCAGCGTTTAGGGGAATTGAAGTGATTTCAACAGCTGGGCTGCGCTCATAGCACATGCGCAGTGAAATAGGTTCGCGGAGCTTGGAAGCGGGTTGTCCGGTGAATATTCGGTGAAGGCTTTGGTGTGAGCTATTTTTCTAATGTTTTGTTGATATTTCACAGGCGCAAGCTTTTTATATGTTATTACAGAAGATTACCGATTTAACTTTTTATATAATTTCATTTGTCTATTTCACCACACGTTCTTCTTACCGAGTCACTTTCTCAGTTCGATACTTAAAAGCAATGTCATTGTTTAGCGTTGACAGAATTTCCAACTGTGATATAGATATGTCGTTGTCACAGACAAAACTCAAAGTCTGTTTTATTGACACCTATGTGTCTGCCTGCCCGTCTGCTAATGACAATATTCAATACACAATTCCAATCACTGACCACATGCAATTTGAACTTAACACCTATCAGGCTATACACCATAAACAAAACGCTTTGATTTATGGCCCGAGTTCGGTCTCTGTCACATTATGTAATTACACACACAGGCAGGTGTGACACATGACATGTTATGATGTCTGTTGATTGCAAAATGTTATACACAAAAAATGAGCATGTATTTACAAAACCCAACATCTCTATATATACACACACAATGAGCCGTGAGGGCATCTGCAAATGAACCAGCCGTTACACTTGAGTGCACACCCACCCGCTCTGACTGGGTTCGGTATCCCGGCTGCTTCGTTTCTTGGGAAGTAAACCCAAGTACAAAATATTGCACTTTTGATTTGCGATTATGTACGCTTATAATTTTGTTTTTATGTCTTTTCATAACCAGCAATATATATTATATGTCATGAATAAGTGATAATTGTGTTTTAATTATGTTTGATTTTTTGGTTGTATGTGACCCTTAATGGACGTGATATTCTCACCTAACATGATGTGTATATATAATAAACAATGTCAATCTTACGCACTGATACAGTCAAGGATCTTACACAACACTGAATACCTAATCAGCATGAAGTAAATTGATCGGTGAAAGCGTCTCTGTAATCTGCAATCTGGTCAGTTTGCATGACAGCTAAACAAGTTATCATACAAATTGTCCATACAAGGATACCACACACTGATAATTGCACCAAAGTGGGTGTTTGTCAAACAGTCCCATCAAAGGAACGGACACCTTGTTAACAATTAATAACATCAGATACAAGAGCTATTATCGTAACAATCTCCAGCCCATTATGGAGTATTTGTCAAGGGAAATGTTCCCTGCTTCACTGCCATCGGTCACACGAGATTGTATCGTTAACAAATCCTCCCTTGTTCACAGAAACACAAATGAGTGGACACAGGCTTCCATCCAAGGCCGGTGACATTCCCAAGGGAGCATTCCTTGTGTTGCAACTGCATGATGAACTCATTTATGAAGTCTCCCAAGGGGAGGTAACTCTAGCAGGTCAAGTGATCCAGCTGCACATGGAGACTGCTACCAAACTCTCTGTGAAGCTACCAGTGAAGGTCAAGGCTGGGGCCAGCTGGGGGACTCTGGAGGAGATACTCTTGAAATAACATGGAGATAGACTGTGTAACTGTATGCCAAACAGAATTGTCTTGAAGGGCTAGATTTCACAAGCATATTGTTCACAGATTTGTCAGGATATTTGTTCATGGAGTAATATAAATCAAACAATATCAAAAGATGGCTGACAGCCCAGAGTTAGAGTGATATTAGTGCTGAAGATTGATTGGGACATTGTGTCATGGCATGAATGTGACTTGTGTCGTGGCAGGGGTGGAAATAACTTTAAAATTGCTAGTGTACTCCGTAACAGTGGCACATGTAAGATCACTTGCCCTGATAATTTTTCCACTATACCGGCCGATTTCTTATTGATTTTCTAAAATAAACAACATAATTAACATTGGAAAGTCAACAGGACACCGGTACAGTGTGATGTACAAATTTGCTTGCCTGACCGAAAAATACACTGGACTCGGACGTCGGGCAATGGGTTATTTCCACCCCTGCATGGGGTCGCTTGTCTCACATGACTTAGTGTCATGTTGTTTTTTTAGTCATGTTATCATTGTTTGAGCATCATGAGGGGCGGTGGGGTAGTCTAGTGGTTAAAGCGTTGGCTTGTCACGCTGAAGACCGGGTTCGAATCCCACATGGGTACAATGAGTGAAGCCCATTTCTGGTGTCCCCCGCCGTGATATTGCTGGAATATTGCTAAAAGCGGCGTAAAACCAAACTCAGTCAGTCAGTCAGTTGAGCATCATGGGATGACATGTGGGCTGATGTAGACATGGTTTGACATCACAACATATACTTAGAGCGAATCATGTCAGTACAGAAAGGTAAAACCAAGTTTCACCAACAGGCAATGTCATATGATTAAACGATGTCAGTATTGCAACGATGGACATTACTTCAGTTGAGAACTACAGCAAATAGACTGGTGTCTTATATCATTAACCATCTTGTACATGTAACTACATTACTGCAGAAATGGTTATGTAGCTTGTCAGGGATCCATAAGCATACACTGTGTTTATCCCCTGGCTCTCCAGTAATTGTGTCTTCAACAGTCCAGTCAGGCCATGCAACACGATATGTGGTGTTGAATTACATGTCTTAATGAAAAATGTTCAAATGTCATCTATTGCCTTTCATGAGCTGCCTCAGGTTGAATATGATCTTGTTTGTTGCCACATACACACTGAATGAACTCTTATTGTAGATGATACACTACTCAAAATAAGTAAAGGAAACCTGATTTCTGTATAATCTGATGTATTAACTCTGACCGTATTGAAGAAGTGTTCTTTAACTTTTTTCAAGTAATATATTTTGTTTTGTATTTACAGTTTTCTGTAGACTGAGGTGAACAAATGAACTTCCTCACTGAATTGATTCATCATGCATAGCCATCTTTTTTAGGCTTGTATGACAGGGATACAGCTGTTGTGGACTGACTTTTTCAGACGAAAAATGGACATTTACTACATTCTGATGGATGGAAAATAATGAAATAACGTGTTAATTTTCTGTAAATATGTATAAAAATATGTTGAAATATAAATACTTTCAGATCAGTTGTGTCTGTTCTTCTTGTTGAGCAATATATGGTTTTATGCCACTTTTAGCAATACACAGCAGAACACCAGAAATTGGCTTCTCATGTTGTACCAATGTTGGGAAACATACCATGTCTTTGTGATGGGCGAACACTGTAACGACTAGGCTTGGCCAGACTGTCCGGAAACTACCGACCGTGTCATACCAAAAGACGTTAAAATATGGTACTTGTTGGTCCCTGTCTGGCGCTCGGCATTAATGGGTACAACAAGGACTGGTCGCCTCGGAGTCAGTATAATGTGTCTGAGTGGGGTATTCATGCTTCACTGCGGCATTATATCTCAGTGGGCTAGCACTATAAAACCAGCTTAAGTCTGGGCTAGTACAAGCAGCCGCACATACACATACACACGCACGTCGTCATATGAGCGAAATATTCTCCAGCGCGACTTTAAACCCAATTTTACCTCACCTCACCTGTCCAGAAACTGATATCATGAGAATCCATCTACACAACTGGGAAAGGTACACTGAAGATCGATTGTTACACAGATCTTTACTGGGCTCAATCCAGATCATTGATCACTATAATTATTGAAGGTAATCTGTTTGTTTGTTGTTGATGCCGCACTCAGCAGTATTCCAGCTATATGATAGCGGTCTGTAAATCTACACAATCTAGGTAAATCGATCTACGCAATTTGGATAGATGGCATGTGTCAACCTAGTCTGTCGTACAGACCCTGAAGCAAATATATCCAAGTCCACGCAAGTCTAGAAAATCTGGCAAGTCTAGATTTCCTCAGCTTCTGAAAATGAAGAAAGTCCCTGGGTTCCTTTTTATTGTATTTACGATTTTAATTTAAAAACTTTTATTTTCTGTAAAATGTGTTCATTTCAGAAACTTGCTGTGAGTCTAGTGTCAACCAAGACAGCAAGACTACCAGTGAGCCGCCCATTACAAGAAGCATGGGCTGCTGAAGTGAGTGAGTGAGTTTAGTTTACTTTACTTTTACATGGCACTCAGCAATATTCCAGCTATATGGCGGCGGTCTGTAAATAATCAAGTCTGGACCAGACAATCCAGAAATCAACAGCATGAGCATCGATCTGCGCAATTGGGGTACCATGACATGTGTCAACCAAGTCAGCGAGCCTTACCACCCGATCCCGTTAGTCGCTTCTTATGACAAGCATGGGTTACTAGAGATCAATTCTAACTCGGATCTTCAGTCTTAAACAATATGAAATATATTTGATGTTAACATTGCACATTAAAATTTCTCATCACTCCAAAAGCGTGTTAAGACTTACTTTTTTATGCTAATATATTTAAACGATATCCTACGTTCAATAATTATATTCTAACACCAAAGTCGAGTTTTGAAAATAATTCCACGTCAACCATTCTTAAAACAGATATAATCGCCTTCATCGTTTTCTGATAACACGCTGAAAATTATTCGTTTTCAAATTACGGTGACACCGTTTGAAGTTAAAAAAAACAACATCAAAGAGAGTGTTAAATTAATTTCCGGTCAATTTACCTGAGAAAATTGGTCTCGAATATGACGGACACGATAAGCGAGCTCATGATTTTCACGAATAGAAGGGTTTGCACGGACTTCTGGTGTGGCACGTGCATCTTGTGTGGCGTGTTAACCCTCTCGACCAACATCGATTGTTTGGACGCGCGGCGCTCGGTCTACACTTTCACGGATAAATCAAAACACTGGCAATGCAATTACTCCCAGGGGAATATGCAAGTGATATCTGGCGGACGACATGTTGATTTTAATAAACCTCTTAGGATGGATTAAAGAGATGATTGTCGTGGCTCTTGTAATTATTATCCCTGTCAGGTTTCAGGGGCGGTGGGGTAGCCTTGTGGTTAAAACGTTCGCTCTTCACGCCGAATACCCAGGTTCGATTCCCCACATGGGTAGCATGTGTGAAGCCCATTTCGGATATTGCTGGAATATAGCTAAACAAACTCACTCACTCACTCTGATACCTGCAACACGATTGGCTTTGTTCCCATTTTAAAGGGGCGGTGGGGTAGCCTAGTGGTTAAAGCGTTGGCTCGTCACGCCGAAGACCCGGGTTCGAATCCCCACATGGGTACAATGAGTGAAGCCCATTTCTGGTGTCCCCCGCCGTGATATTGCTGGAATATTGCTAAAAGCGGCGTAAAACCAAACTCAGTCAGTCAATCCCATTTTAAACTGAAGCGCCCATGATATCGCTGGAATACTGTTTATTACGGCGTCCACCCAACTCACTCACTCACTCACTGAATGTAAATATTCTAGTCCGAGATCACGCAAATTCGCGTTGGAATTAGTCTTGAACAACCCATGCTTGTGAGAGGCGACTAACGTGATTGGATGGTCAGGCTCGCTGACTTGACACATGTCATCGCATACGAGGTGTTTTGATCTAGGTGCATGATCTGAATCATTGGATTGTCTGGTCCAGATTCGATTATCTACAAGTCGCTGTCATATAGATACAGTATTGCCGAGAGCGATAACAAAAACAAAACCTCACCACCACCACCACCCCACCACCCCTGGAACCACTGTCCTACAGTGATATGTGACTGTCCGCCTGCGTTTGCAGTGATCGCGTGCTTGTTTTGGTGGTGAATGTAAGTTCGGTGTTAACAATCTAGTCACCAGTTGTGAAAGACGAACAATATCATTTAGATGTTAACATTTCACGAATGCAAAGGTTTTGATGGTTTGATATTTATAGAACGTTTTTTAAGTTGCTCGGTAAAACATGAAGAAAGCTATCAGCGATTATCGGCAGAATATACCTTTTCACTTAGATAAATACTAAGTTTATTTGAAATATAATTTCATTTTCTTATGAATGACATTCAAAGTTCAAAATGATCACCAATAGTAGCTTCTGTGAAAATAGGAAGTCATCCAGGTGAAAATTGAAGAAGTTATTGTACAAAATGTGAAGTGATCGCGGGAGTACATTGATCACAGAATTCAATGATAGGAAATTTGGAATATGCAACGATCGGAATTTTCTGTACACCTTATCTTAAAGTTTATCGAAAACAGGAAATAGGTGAATGTTTCGATGTAACAAAGCATGTTTTCGATCATTTTCATACTGAGCAACATGGATGAGATTACATGTAAAACGATGTTTTAGCTGATGGTGAAATTAAATTATCACCGGACTCAGTTGGGAAGAACAGACTTTTGGTATTTGATGAAATGGCACATTCAGGCAAAGGATTAAAGAAATAAACGGCAAAAATCAACTTTCAACTATCTCCGTAACTATGAATAGTCATAATATAGTAGACCGCCTCCGTGGTGTAGTGGTTAGAGCGTCCGCCCGGAGTACGGAAGGTCACGGGTTCGATCCCCGACTGCGTCATACCAAAAGACGTTAAAATATGGTACTTGTTGGTCCCTGCCTGGCGCTCGGCATTAATGGGTACAACAAGGACTTGTCGGCTCGGAGTCAGTATAATGTATCTGAGTGGGGTATCCATGCTTCACTGCGGCATGGTATCACAGTGGGCTATCACTATAAAACCAGCTTAAATCTGGGCTAGTACAAGCAGCCGCACATACACATACACACGCATGCACGTCGTCATCTGAGCGAAATATTCTCAAGCACGACGTTAAACCCAATTCCACCACCACCACAAGATAGTACCAAAGAATTAAATGTCTCCATGACATCTTTGTCGATGGTAATTAAGATAAAGACGATCCATATTTGAATGCTTTGCACACAATTCACGTTTGTATTCTTTT